TGGTCACGTGCTCCTGGGTGCCCAAATCACCTGGTCACCGCGCCAGCAGGTGACAACTTTCACACCAAGGTTCAACTCGAGTTCAACTCGAGTGACAGGACTGCACCCAAAAAAGGTCAAACAGGCTAGTAAGTTGTACCCTGCAGGCACGGTGACCAGCTGACTGGTGTACGCAGGAGCACGTGACCGCTTGTTCAACCATGTTCGATTGGGAATAAAGGAGGAACGCTGCATCGCAGCCTTTTCGGACCAAAACCAGTCGACTCAGCGTCCAAAAGACTACAACATATGGGCCAATCGCGGTCATCCGTGCTTTTATAAGAACGAAATGGCGTTTTTAGTGACATTTTGCATACAAATCCCCATCTAGTAGGGCGCAGTCACCCAGTTTCGGTGGAAGTGCGCGAGTTCGATTGGGATTCAAGTAGGAAGGGAGCGTCGCAGCTTCCTCGGACTAACACCATTCGACTCAGCACACAGAAGACTACAAATGGTGAAAATTTGATTTTAGGGTATACTTCCCCTTTAATAAGTACAGTCAACTTCGCTAATAACGACTGCGGATACAATGACATTTCGCGAATAACGACAGAATTTCCATGCCCAGAGCAAGGTCCAATCTAACTGCAATACATTATAATGAGACTCCGGGTACAGTATAACGACACTTCGCGAATATGGACACTTTTCTGATGCCCCGCCGTGTGTCGTTATACGCAAAATTGACGGTATAGAATCAGACATGGATGTCAGGGCAAGTATCGTTGATTCAGGCCCTCGAGCGTAGCCCAAGGCCGGCCGACGGCCGAGGTCTCGGCTCGAGGGCCTGAATCAACGATACGTGCCCCAACCGTACACATGGTACACATCTGATTGTGTTTCAGACTGCCACCCACGTACAACATACATCCCGTATTTCCCAGAATATAAGTTGCACCTTTGTACACTAAATTTCAAGGGTAAAAACAGGGGTGCGACTTACAATCGAGCATGAGTTACTACTGAAGTCAATACATGTACAATGAAACCTGTCTAAGACGACCGTTCAAGTGACCTTCAAAACGTGGTCTCTGTTACCAGGTGGTCTCCTTATCCAGGGTCATTTGACTTGAAATAGCATCCCTTGGTCCCGGTTGCAGTGGTCTTCTAGGACAGGTGGTCAATATGGCTAAGACCTGAAAACGGAGGTGTGACTTATAATTGAGTGTGACTTCTATTCGGTGAAATGCGGTAGATATATTATAGTGCCTTTATCAATCCACTGACTGACCAGCGCTTTGGCCGAGTGGTTGTGGGCTTGCCTGCGAATCACAAGGTCCCGAGTTCGAGACCCGCGCTGGGAGCAGGGAGCGTATACTGTGCTAGCAAATGCGGTGATGCATGCGTGAACCACTTTACATGCTGTGAACTGCGCCGACACCCACGGTCAACTGGGTACTCACTACTCGGAGTGAGGGTAACATGGATGCAGCTAACGAGGTTAGCCCCCTTGTCGGGCATTGGTTGTGAGACTTACCACCTCACCCTCGCCGTTAGGCGCTGCATCTGCCACCCTGGTAGCACAGGCATGGTGGTGGCCTGGCACATGCGAAACTTCCTAAGCTGGTTGTGGTTCTCAACGCAATTGTATAGCCGGTGGTAACGCGGACGTGAAAACTTTACTTTACTTATCAATCCACATAAACCATGATACTAGCTTCGCAAGCAAGTGAAAGAAGACAGTAAGATTGAGAGGAACAAAGAAACAAGCCTTGCTAGTTCAGATTTCTGAAAAGAGAAGTTACAGTTGTGAAGTACAATTGCTGGTGCAAACCAATTTGATGTTAATTGCACCAGACAAATTCGTTCCTGCAAACTTTACTAGAAGTGATGGAGGACTAGATGGAGCTGGCTCTTGCTGTGCTTTCTCCAAGACAGATAGGCTTTTGAAAGCCTAAAGGACGAACGTTTCGTGGTCTAGGCTTCTGAGGAGATCATCGACGTTGTCAACCGGGGCGCAACCGGCGCAGGATCTGACAGCGGCACGGTCGGGGTATCTACCACTGGTTGCTGTAATCTTGGAAAGCCTGGTAGTGGTAGCAAACGGAACTCTTCAAAGCTGGGTAGAGCAGGCAGCTGCAGCGGGAGTTGGCATTGTCGGAAAACTTCCAGGATTTGCTATAAATAGACGTGTACTTGCACTAGGTAACGGCTGTGCTTGCTTGCTTCATATACATTTACTTGCTATACTCCAGTAGCGGTTTAGATTATTTGTAACCACACTCTGTTCCATATTTAGCTTCTGGTACATGTAGCTAGAGACACTGGCCATGTTCCGATGGCCAGGGATGTTCATGATGTCTCTTTCAGAGACAGCGTTGGCATGCAGTGCTTTCACGGTTGTTGACCGCAAGCAGTGATTCGTGTACTGGACCAAGTTCCTTTTGTCACTACACTTCCTGGGCTGGATAATGGAGATCAGTAAGTCTCTCAGGCGCGTATGCCAGTTGTTGTTGTTGTTGAAATTATATTATATATTGCAGACCAAACGGGCAATGATGCCCATGCAATATTATGATGGCGATAAAGTAATGGCCAAAAGACAAGGGTACAACAAGCAAGCCTCAACGAAAGAGAGAAAAAACATACCCATAAGGCCAAACTAAAGAAGGTGTGTGGTTCGACTAACATGGACATTTTTTTTACGGGCGGGCGGGCGGATTTTTTTTTTTAATATATTTTTTGGTACATGTAAATACACTGTACTGCCTTAGACACCCAGTACATCGGCATTATTACGCAGTGTTATGCCATACATGTTGTATAAAGGGATCACTGGCTAATACTTTGAAACATTGTGTAGCTCTGGAACGAGAAGAGAATAACTTCAAGCGGTGACTCTGACTGTCCAAATCATCAAGCAAATGAAGAACGATGCGAGTTGAAAGTAAGTTCGGGAACTACTTCGAAGTACAAATTGTACAATGTACCGGTACATGTATTGCTAGTTTGGTGTCGGCGTGCACGAATACATGGGCTTTTTCCATCGACGCTTCCTGTGCTTGCACACATGGAGCAGCAACTTACCGGTACAGGTGAAAATTGGTTCCCAATACACGAGGAAAGTGCAATCTCACTGCACTGCACTGCAGTACAACTACAAGTCAAGTCCAAAAGGAGCCGCCTGCGTCCGCAGACTCACGCTGCACAGCACGTAGACTAGACGTGGACGTGTTCAGTCCACGTACGTCAGTCACACGACAGCCCGCCGAAAAAAAGTTACGGTCGGGCTGAAAAATGTACGGTCGGTCGGGTGAGTCGAACCACAGACCATGTACCATGAGACCTTCTTCAGTGTGGCCTAATACTCCAAATAAAAATGAGAAAGAAAAAAGTACGAGGGAAAAAGGAAGAAAGAACAAAAGACAAACGTAACGAAACAAAAAAACACACAGTGGAGTCACTTCACAGGAGGACTCCAATTCCAAGCCTACAAATGTAGATGCTGGCTAGCAATAAAAATACACCTCTACTCTAGAGATCGATTCAAGTACACACGGATGGTCGAGGTGAATAGCAATTTCTGGACATGAAAATAAAATAGAGGCCCACTGGCTGTGTGTTTTACATTTTTCATATCTTTTTGTATCTATTGTATGGCCTAATCCTTCATCTTTCCAAATATGTGACAATTGCTCATGCTGTGATCCCAGAGACTTTATAGCAGGATGTTTTCGACAGGCCAATTTTTTGGCCTAAATTTCAGTGTATGGAATTCTGGACATGAAAGTAAAATAGCGTCAATAGGCATCCTATACTGCACCATTTTTGTTATTTTTTCTATTGGTGGACTGCAGTTGGCCTCTTCACACTTCCAGCTAACAGGTCCAAGACTATACAGCGTCTGAAGTGAGGTGCACATGGGGAAGCCAACAATTCGTCCATTACTTCTTATTTTACTCAAAATTCAAAATTCTCATGCGACATAGTACCACAAAACTCGTTGAAATGCCTCCCAAGAAAAGGCTATCAACAAGGCACCGACACGAGGAGAAACTACAACAGCCCAGCTGTCAACTACAACAAGAAAAAAACTTCATCAACCTGACTGACTTGACTCTACACGCGACGAAAAATTATTTTACTCGAAATGTCCAGAAATGTCCAATGTCCAGAAATAGCAATTCACCTCGTAAAGGGTTAAAAGTCTCTTGAATGATCTATGGCAGGCGAGGGACTTGAACTCTTCGAGTATAACCCATCACGTGATCATTCAAGCCTAGGGCCTGAATGGCACCGTACACGCGTAGGCGCCGCGGGCATGAATGATCACGTGATGGGTATACGGTACGGTGCATCGTAGTGAAGCTGGCAGGCAGGGCATGATGAGGTGTTCAGGCCCCGCATGTGAGCCGCTCTGATTGGCTGAAACCCTGGCAACGAACACGCGGCACGTCTGAAGGTAGCTTTACTACTGGTCACACTCTATATTTGGGACAGTATCATGAGATACATGGATTGTACCACTCATACTCTGTGTATACTGTGTCCCTCATATTTTCCCTCGTGCTCACTCACCCGTGAAAATATTCGGCGGTATACGCCTCGTACCAAGAGTCCATGGACTCTTGCTCGTACTCAAAGTATAATCCATACCAAGAGCACATAACCCCCCAGAGTGTGCAACACCTAATCCAACTCTGCATAGGGTCTTGGGCGAGCGTAATCGGATCTTCTGATGTCATGCGTACACTCCACACCAGCGCAAGGCCGGTCGCGAGGCAGGGCACCATTGTTTTTTGATCCTAGAGTACCCGCGACTCCCCGGGTTCCCCTCAGACGTGTACGCTATTATGACGCAAAGATCCGAGTACGCTCGACCAAGACCCTATGCAGAGCTAGATCAGGCATTGCACACTCTGGGGGTTATGTACTCTTGTTCATACTTACACCCTATGATTGGTCAAGACAACCAACCACACCCCAGAAAATGTCCGTACTGATGACGATGACTTTTGTTTTATTTCTCAAATCCAAACGGCAGTTTCTTCCCAGTAACAAGGTATTAAAGAGATAGGGTATAAAAGAGAGAAGAGGTGCATGCATGTCAAATGTGTGTGGAGATGATAGTCAACCGGAGATCAAGTAGTATGAATCCAGTGTCAAACATGCCATTAGCTAATGTTGCAGGTATCGAGGTTGTGGCGCTTGGGTTGCAATGAAGCGGAGACCCTATGGTCGGTCAAGCTGACCCTGCCTCTCCCCCACTCCTGCCATTCCATAATATGTCTCATCGCTGCCTTGCTGCTTTGTGCCGTCAAATGGTGTGTTTTTTTGCAAAAAAAATTGAGTTTGTGCTAAGCACGTCACGGTGAGTATTATCAGAGAACATACTGTCGTGGACATGGAAATCCAGTCAAATGACCGGGACCGGCGCCTTCAGCCAGTCCAGAACTCTGCGTGCAGTGCACATGTTGATCCGACGCGACCAGCACGCTGCGTGCAGATCCGACGCGACCAGCATGCTGCAGCGCATAAATGCATGTGTGCACCGCTAAAGGCCGATTCATACCTCATTTCGCGTACGGGAAACGCGTCGCATCGCGCGACTGTCGCAAGGTGGCTTTCCACAAACCGGAATGAAGTATGAATCGGCCTTTACTCACGGCTGCATGGCCAGCGCCCTGGGGCCGCTAGACGTGCGACCTGATTTCCATGTCCAGGACAGTACTAGGTGAGTCCCACAGTAGCTTGATCATTACACTGCATGGCAGATAGCTATGGAACAAACCAGCAACAAAAACAGTGTTACACAGCTTACAACGCCAATTCTTTATACTGCATCAAGTTATATATTTATACTGCATCAAGTTATATATTTATACTGCATCAAGTTATATATTTATACTGCATCAAGTTATATATTTGCCGTGTGACATCTTGCACGTAGCACACATCCTGGCTATCAACATCATTATGGCTTCTAAGATCATTATGGCTTGTAACGGTATCAATGATCTGTGATCTGCTACTCTGTGCAGTCAACGCTGACATGTGTGTAGGTGGTACATATAAGTGTTGATCTGACAGGGCCTGGTTCACATACCCATGTAGATCTGATGTACGGCTGAGCAGAGTTGGATGATGGCAGAACACAGCCCTGTGGTTGCCGCACTGTACATTGTCTTCTTGTTGCTGCTGTTCCTGCTGCTGCTGTTCCTGCTGTTGTTGCTGCTGCTGTTCTTGCCGTTGTGGCTGCTGCTGTCGCTGCTCCTGCTGCTGTTGGTGGTGCTGCTCGGGACATTGCTGCTGCTGCAGTTGTTCCTGTTGCTGTTGGTGTTGCTCCTCCTGTTGCTGCTGCTGTTGGCGTCGCTGCTGCTGCTGCTGCAGTTGGTGTCGCTGCTGCTGCTCTTGTCGCTGCTGGTGTCGCTGCTGCTGCTGTTGTTGTCGCTGCTGCTGCTTGGGACATTGTTGCTGCCGCTGCCGCTGTTGCTGCTGTTGATGGCGCAGTTCTAGTGTGTTCACAATGGCTCTAGCGTTTCTCTCCTGATCAAACATGACGGGGAAGAGTAATTGGCGAGTGTGTTGCCGTGACCGCAGTACTGTGTGTACAGTGCCGATACCAGCATGGTGCACTATCAAACCACACTGTGAAAACAACGGCACGTGATCTAACACATCTGTCACCACGTACAAACATTTGCCAATGTACTGTCTCACAGTCGGCACAGAGTCATCGCTATCGGAGCCAGCACAAGAACTCCTTCCACTTTGGCCTGCATCAGCAGCGGCACGTGTATGCAATCCACTATCTCGCCTGCAGGTGCCGCGTTCACGGATATTGCTGCCGTCAGTCAGCGATGATGTTATGGCCGGACTGCACTCAGACCCGCTGCTGACACGAGTAGTTAATGATGTAATGGCTGGGCTGACACATCCAGCACCAGTGGTATGACTCACCGATGACATCATAGTCGGTGAGTTACAGCTGTTTTTCTGAGTACTAACACCAGCAGCACCACCACTACTGCAAGTATCGGTGCGTGTACTCACAGCTGCTGGAGTACTCTTACCACAGCTAGCGCCATCCGGTGACATCACTGATGACATCATAGCTGATTCCGGATGTAGATCACATGACAACAAGGACTGAGTAGTGGCCGATTGTTCTCGCTGGTGGGATGACGTCATCGGTGAAGCAGATGAGCTTACGGTAGGCTTCCACCCATCACCTCCTGACGATGTGTGCACGTGTGAGGATGTGTGGACCTGTGGTGATGACATCACTGATGATGTAATGCTTGTTAACATGATCTGACAAAGTGCTGTGTGGAGGTTGGAGTTTGGTATTGTTTGCAGAATCAACGGGTGACCATGTCGCTCCGCCAGAACTGAAGACATGAACAACCACAGCAATCACAATGGACACCAAAAGTGGTCGAAATCCGAAATCCGAAAACCGAAAGCCCCAATCGCTGCATCCACTACTGTAGTGACGTGCATATAGGCGCAGGTGCCTATGTCCGGGTACGAGCACACCCTCACAAATAAGTGCATGGGCTTATGAGTGAATCTAAATGCAATTCCATCCGCGACACACAGACACCACAAAAACACCATGTCACATAGTTTAATGTGCGGTGCGGTAGTGCACTATTTGCATAATTTTACAAGGCACCGGTACACAAGCAACTCAAGCACATGCGCCTATGTGTGAGACAAATCGACCCACAAAATATAGCAAATAACGCAAAAAAAAACACTCATAAGCGCATGGGCCTTTATGTGCGTCACTACAGTACACACGGTATACAGATAAAATCTTCAGTGAGGCGAGACCAAAAATAGAGATTCCCGGGCCCTCCCGCACCAAAATCGAGCCAAAGTCAATTTTTTTTGAACAGTTCATATCCATGTACAGTACTGATTGGATGAGTAGATTTGTGACGTGGAGTCACACAAACCCGAGCTCGTACGACTCCCTGATGTACAGATCAGGGCCATCGTTGGCGGAAATACAGAAAAATTGAACGGGTAAACCGCGTACCTGTTGTCTGTAAAAAAATTGAATGAAAATTCCCGGAAATGCTGTAAAAAAAGTCCAGCATGGCATGCATGCAAACAATAGGAAAAAATTAAAAAAATTAAAAATTCGCCCGCACGCACCAATTTCACATGGATCCTGCCCGGGAATATCGAATTTTAATTTTGGTCTCGCCTAAAGTACCCCATAACATACATTTCTCTTTGCACCGCATATAAACTTCACCCAATTTTCCGGAGCATATGCTGCACTGGAGTATACGCCACACGCAGATTTTTGTCACGAAATACAGACATCTTCCCTATAATTATACCACGATTCATTTGATCTTATTTATTAGTACAAGTCACAGTTATTTGGGAACTTGTGGCCTGGCATGAGGGTAACATGGATGCAGCTAATGGGATTTCGGTCTTTGACCACTTGGTGGTGGGTCTGATCTACTCACCTCCCACCGGTTAGGCGCTGCATCTGCGCCTTTGATCCTAGAGGGTGGTGGCGTTCCCACGACGGATGCGGAAAACTGGGCTTCCAGCCGAGTCTCACGCGAATCGTGAAATATATTTTTAATTTTAATAGTACAAGTCACACCCACTTTTTTGGGTGAATTGTGAGTGTTTCAAGTGCGGCCTTTACTTCAGAAAAAACATGTACTTTTCAGGATATGCATATCCATTCACCGGCAGTTGAACATTGAAACAGATCCAACCTAGCTCGCGTATAAAGTACTAATTTTACATCCGTTGTAGCTACTGTACACCCACACTTCACTGTACAATGCTTAGTATGCTGGGAGGTACTTATTATCCAAACTTTAATACTTGCGTGAGGCACTTCTTAATCTGTTTTCCCAACTGGCGCGTGGACGCGATACGCTTGCGGTTCATGCGTGCCTAAACGCGCGCTCAGGCTTTCACAAAAAAACAGCACTTCGACACGTAGTTATGGCGTGTGACGCCTTCGAGTACTAATTTGTTGACCCCGCCAGTGAAAGTCACTGGTACGCGCTTGATACGCGCTTAAAATTCCATGTTAGAATTTTCAGCGCGGCGCGTTCCGTACGCATGACACCCCAAAAACCAGCAAAAATACGCACAAGCGTGTGGTTTCACGCGTACACGCGCCAGTTGTGAACACAGCTTTATCTAAACTTTAATACTTGCGTGAGAATCAATACATCCATGCTCTGGACGATAAACGTACCATTTTTTTTGAACACTCAAAGTTCACCCCAAAAAAGGAGGATGCGGCTAATACTCAGATGATCAAATCAACCATGAAGTTGGTTGTTCCAATGAGGAACACACACTTCTTGCTGACACTTGACACAACAACCAACTTCATGACTAATGCTGACGAAGTCGCAACTTGTAAGTTAGGATCAAATTAACAGTGAAAAATTGGATAGATGTCTGTATTTCGTGACAAAAAGGTGGGGGGGGGGGGGGTATACTCCAGTGTACAGGAAAATCTGGTGTAAGCGACCTCTGGGTTAGGCGACCACCTGCTCTTAACGACCGTTTTCCATGCACCGACAGTTCTACACAGACACTGTGGGACCTGGTTCTAAGACCACCTGGCTTTAACGAAGGCTTTTGCTTGCACCGTGGGGTGGTCGCTTAAACCAGGTTTACTGTATTCCTATACTCCGGAAACACGGTAATAAGTAGGGGTGTGCACGGGTAGGCGGGTACCCGTGTTACCCGTGGTCCTCGCGGGTAACACGAGTAGAGAATAGTACCCGAAAACCCGAAGTGGCAGATGACATCAAGTACAGTGCACGCGTACAAATTCATGTAATACTCCGCATGTACACCCAGTGTGTAAGGGAAGGGTTGTAGTGTGGTGTTACCACGGAAACATTACCCGATCGGTTACCCGTGCTACCCGTGGAAAACAACCCGAACCCGATACCCGAAGAAAATGCTACCCGACTCAGCCCTAGCGATAACATTGCACAACACTGGCACTTGGTCCTTTTTCTTTCTATAAATTTATCCTTGGCTCTCCATCTGAGTCAGAGCAATTTTTTTAACGGTTCGCGTCAGACTCGGCTAGAGGTCGAGTTTTCCGCATCCGTAGGAACACCACCACCCTTCAAGGATCAAGGCGCAGATGCAGCTCCTAAAGCGGTGCGAGGTGAGTAGATCAGCTCACCAGCAAGTGGTCAAAGACTGAAAATCCCATTCACTGCATCCATGGTTTCCTCGTGCCAGGCCACGAGTTCCCAACTAAGGCTGTGTTTACATGAGAAATTTCAACCCGGGTCGAGTTCAGCCCGGGTTGAAAGTCTGTACGATAGACAAAAGAGGTGAGCGTTTACATGAAGACAGTTGACCCGGGTCAAATACTGATATGCCGCCAAAAGTCCACTTCTACAGTCCTGTATGGTCACGTGAATCCGTTTGCGCGAAATTTGCATCTGCAGTGCTGTTCAAACCTGGTGCGAGATACGCACAGAAGTATGTTTGTACGATTTTCTTGACCCGGGTTGATTTCAACCCTCCCCTTGGGGGGAGGGTTGAAATCAACCCGGGTCAAGACAACCCGGGGAAAAATTTCAACCCGGGTCAAGCGCAATGCGTCATGTAAACGCGCCATTCATTTTGTGCACATGGCGGGTTGAAATCTGACCCGGGTCGAACTCAACCCGGGTTGAAACGCTTCATGTAAACACAGCCTAACTGTGGGTCGCAGCACGGCTGGAAAAAATCCTTCCGCTTCCAAGCAGGATTTGAACCTGGTACCCTCTGTTTCTCAATCATGGTTTCGACCATCCCACTATGCCGATAAAATTAACAGTGATAAATGCGGTAGATATCTGTATTTCGTGGCAAAGGGGGGGGGGGGGGGCAAAGGGGGGGGGGGGGGGGTATACTCCAGTGTGGCTTATACTCCGTAAAATAGGTTAGAAAGCATGTGTACGTGTCTTATCAGATTACTGAATACAGGTAATTAGTGTGTTTAACTGTACAGTAGAAAACTGACATACCTTGCAGGAGAACGGAGAGGAACTTCTTCCATTCCCGCACAGTGAGGACATTGAGTGCATCCATAGCACCGAATCCACAATACACTGGCGGTACAGAGCAGCTGGTACACAACAACAACAACAACAACAACAACAACAACAACAACAACAACAACAACAACAACAACAACAACAACAACAACAACAACAACAACAACAACAACAACAACAACAACAACCAAAGACGAAATGACAACAGCAGCGACAACAACAACAACAATCGTCATAATACAGATTTGACACAACAGCCCAAAACAAAATGACAATGTTGACGAATCAAGTAGAAACAGCAGCGGCCACCGCTAGAACTGTGCCAGCAGTAACAGCAGTAACAGCAGCAGCAGCAGCAGCAGCAGCAGCGGCAGCAGCAGCAGTAACAGCAGAAACAACACCATCACCATCACAAGCACCACTACCACCGACAACGCAAGCACCGACAACGCAATCACCGACAACGCAATCACAGACAACGCAAGCACCGACAACGCAAGCACCAACAACGCAAGCACCGACAACGCAAGCACCGACAACGCAAGCACCAGCACAGCGCCCATAAGCGAATCCGCTGACTCACGCTGTACACGTTGCGCCTATAAGTGAATCCTCAGAGAAAGCATTCGCATAACCTCTGTAAGGGCCGATTCCCACTACGGTATCGAGAGTGCCGTGCCGTGAGTACCCATGGTGATTTGCTCACGTGAGGGGCAGTTTTGGCGCGAGTTCATTCCGTGGCTCCTGCCGTACCGTGCCGTGGACATCCCGGTGCCGAGGGCCTCTGGGGGGGGGTGGAAATGGCATGCCGTGGTATTCCGCGAGGTCGAATGCAGTGAGTAGTAGGTATTTTACTACTCCCTGAAAGGAAGTTTTTTCTTTCTTTTGTATTTGTGGTACGAAGTTTTTTCTTGGCTTTTGGCTTTTCGATTGGTTGCTTCTTGAGCTTTCTCCAGTCATCTCCCCGGCCCCTGCTATTTTCCCTCAGGACCAAAGTCAGAAATTGATTAAAAAAAAATGGTGATCCGGCCTGCCGACTGAATGCACGGAATGACTGTGCGCAGGTGTAAATCACTCTCAGCGTCAAGCTCGTACCGTGGGGTACACGTGACCTTCCCAAATCGTCGGCACGGCACTCACGGTACCGTAGTGGGAATCGGCCCTAAGCTAAAACGCAGTCTTTCTCCAAAACTCAAGTGCCTCTTCTATTCAACACTCACCTGTCAATGAAGCTCTGGAGTGACACGGGCAGTTGGTCTCGTCCTCCCTGCTCTACACATGCAGTGCTGGTAGCCAGTTCCTGCTGCTCCGCCAGTTTGCGGTTACGACAATGCATAGCGTGTCCACATTCCACAATGTGTGTGCTATACACAATACACACAGCACACACACAGCGTACACACAGCGTACACACAGCGTACACACAGTATACAGTGTAGATTGAACAGGCCACGTAGGGTGCCTGGGTGGCAGTGCAATTTGCACGATTCACATCATGCATTTTTTACCACCAATAATAACACAAGACCGAGAGCTACCCATTTCCCCATGAAATGCACACGCACCACGCGCGCGCACGCGCGCGCGCACACACACACACACCCACGCGCGCGTGTGTGTGCACATGCACACACACAAGACCGAGAGCTACCCATTCCCCATGAAATGCACACGCACCATGCGCGCACGCGCGCACACACACACACACACACACACACACACACGCGCGCGCGTGCGTGCGCACATGCACACACACAAGACCGAGAGCTACCCATTTCCCCATGAAATGCACACGCGCGCACACAAACACACACACACACGCACACGCGCGCGCGCGTGCGCGCACGCACACACAAACAAACGCACGTGCACGCACACAAAAAACACGCATACCTGCTCGGAAACTGGAGACCGCTGGGAATCATGAACTGAGGTGCAGTGACAAGCAGTGGAGTTGCTCGCAGGAACCGTCGATCCGGCAGAGGGCCATGGCCAGATGACGATAATGGTGATGATGCTGGTGATGGCAAGGGTCTCTTTGCTCTAGGCTCATCAAGGCCATCGTCATCATCATGAGCATCAGCATCACACCCAGTAGGGGTAGTGCAAGGAGATGTGAATGCCGTGACCAGCGGACACGGGTCTATGTCGTGGTCAGTGCAGCAGTCACCAAAGTCACTCAGCATACACCTCCACAGCCAGAAACGGACGTCCTCATACCCTATGCAACCTGCAACAACAACGACAACGACAACGAGAACGACAACAACAACAACAACAACAACAACAACAACAACAACAACAACAACAACAACAACAACAACAACAACAACAACAACAACAAGATCTCTTATTGGCGATGGTGCCATCGTGAGAATAAAGAATTCAAAAAAAAAGCAATAATCTCTTATTGGCGATGGTGCCATAGTGAGAATAATGAATTCAAACAACAACGACGACGACGACAGCAGCAACAGCAACAGCAGCAACAGGAGTAGCAGAAGCAGCAACAAAAAACAACAACAACAACAACAACAACAACAACAACAACAACAACAACAAAAACAACAACAACAACAACAACAACAACAACACCAACGAAAACAACAACAACAGCTAAACTTTGATTTCTCTTTATCCGATCCCCGTACCTGTATTTTCTTCTCCTCTTATTGGTCACAGGCCATCGTGAGAATGAAAGATTTCAAACAAAGTGGTGCAATTTTTGTTGTTGTTGTTGTTGTTGTTGTTGTTGTTGTTGTTGTTGTTGACCCAATGGGTGATCTCACTCATGGGCTACATGTGAGCTGTTTTACATGAACTTCAACTTTTATTTAGAATCCGGTGTTTCCTGAAATGAATCTGCGAAAGGCAGCGATTGAGTGTGAGCCAATATAGCTCACAACCTACTTCAACTTTTATTATTATCATAATAATCCAATAGCCCTCATGTGTTTAGATCCACCAGAGCTGTACATGTACTGAAAACCGCCCAATATTCGCGTAACCAAACCCCGCTATCTCTCAGAAACAGTGAATTTACACAATGGCAAATGTTCGCGGAGCAGTGTGGTCACACACATACACCCACTGTTGAAGTTTGATTTCATGATGGCTAATACCAGTAGTCTCGTTACGTTCTTCTCGCAAAATTAATGAACATTAATACGTCGCGAACAATAGGTAGGCAGTTCACGGTACTGCTAGACCTGTGCCAGAGGTGCAGCTGGTCCACCTTCTAGGGGACGCACCACTGGCTTCACAGCAGGCCCTGAATTGCAATCCCTAGGCCACACCACTGGCTTCACAGCAGGCCCTGAATTGCAATCCCTAGGTCACACGGCACAAACGTTCATATGCTAAATGAAGTTCGAAAGGTTTACGGGGTGCACAATCCCCCTGCCCCCCCCCCCCCCCCCCCCCCCCGGGACCCCTGTACCCCCCCCCCCCCGGACTCCTGTACCCCTGTACTCCCCCCTGTACCCCTATACCCTGTACCTCCCCCTCCCCCTGTACCCCTGGCTAGCTACACACCTGCAGTCTTGTAGAGTGCAACACAGGGGAAGCAAAAAATGTGACAATTGAGCACAAAATACTCAAAATAATAGTGATAATATTGTACTCACCCTGAGGTGCTTCACGGAGACCAGACAGGAATAGCGGGTAGTCGGCGTTGATGGCCGCTTCCACTTCACACGGCATATGTCTAGTCAGTTATAACAACAAAGAACGACGACGACGACGACATCGACAACAACAACAACAACAACAACAACAACAACAACAACAACAACAACAACAACAACAACAACAACAACAACAACAACGATGACGATGATGCCGGCAACAACAGAAACATCTCGTATTGGCCACAGCCAATCGTAAGAATGAAGATTTGAAAAAAAACAGCAGCGGCACCACCACCCTCATCATCATCATCAGCAGCAGCAACATTTCTAACAATCCGTATGTGTGTGTACATGGTGGTTGAACTACAGCTGTGCCCGGTGAAAACAAACCCAGCTGAAAGCATGAAACTGTCAGAGAGTGGATGAACACTTTTAACACCAACACACAACACAGACACATCCTTACTCCACTGGCAGATAAGGAGATACGGCCAACGTAGGTATTGAGAAATGTTGCGCAATCAGCCATGCATCCAGCGAGAACAGGTTGAAGACAATGAGGTGTGGTTGCTGGCCCCTGCACCACTCCAGGCAGTGTGCAAACTCCGTGTTCAGCACACGCTGTCTGCCTTCGTCGTCCTCTCGTAGTTTACTCACCTCCTGGACAGGTAATGGGGTTGGACACATACAAGAACAATACTCGAATTGCAGAAATTTTACCTGCTCAATATTTTCCGTATGAGGGCAAAAGGCCAGGTTAGGTGAACCGAAATGTTAGGTACAGAGTGGCAGTTCCCTATTGGACTATGTGTGTTAGTGTTCGTTCGGTGTATTGAAATTTTAGGTATGAAACAGACGCACCGAAAGTACCCAAAATAAAGGTACACCAAAAATTTGTGAAATTAGTACAAATTACAGCACACATACCGGTACTCGGGAAGATATGGTACAACACATTAGCTGAGTGACTCTACGACAAAGTCACTCCACTTACGACGGCAGTGTGTTGATACGGCAGCCATGTTAGCTGGTCACCATGACAACCGAGCAGAGTCCGCACCTGCACCATGACGTCAGGATGGCACATGACGTTGAGTTGCCATGGCAGCAAACGGGAGCCTGCACCAGTCCCAGCAGCAATGACATCATCATTGGATCTAGACCAGGGCATGACATCATCAGGAATTCCCAGGAGAGAAAAAGAAAATCAGAATAGAACGCACACCAGCAAGCTGACCATTGCCGGCAAGTGCTCTCAACAACAGGATACGTACACAGTGACTTGCACTTATGTTATACAGTTGCGCTCGGTGAAATCCAACCCAGAGTGCATATTTCATACTCCTGCCCATCGCTGACATCATCATTGGATCTAGACCAGGGCATGACATCATGGGGAATTCCCGGGAGAGACAAGACAACATCAGGATCCGTACACAGTGACTTGCATTTATGCTATACAGTTGCGCTTGGTGAAATCCCACCCAGAGTGCATATTTCGCGACCTCGACTTGCACGGCCCTTGACGCCCGGGAAGTGGCACAAGTCCGGCTGAACGTACACACATGTACAAATACAATGATGTAATCGGGAACTGGTGCAGAGCGCCGACAGCTTTTCACTTTGTGTGGCAGTATTTCACCTAGCATACCTGTATTTGTAGCTGTACAAGTCATGTACATTACACACATACTGTAAAATCATACCAGGGAGTGTCTGAACTTGATTACTCCATCGGCCGGGAAAGCGTCTACGGCTTCACAACTGTTCACTTCTATGGGTGTATGAGTAAAATAATCATCAATGCTGCAAAAATGCCTGGACTTGCAGCATGATCTGTGCATGTGATCTCTGCATTTTTTTCATTTTTTTCTTCGCTTTTTGTAGGAAAGAAAAGGACCAAGGAACTACAAACTACATCTTACGCTATGGAACTCACTACCGTCACCAATTACTAGTGCTCGACAACCAGTTCATGCAAAAAATATTGCATGACACTGGCCAACGGTATACGACGCGTTCTACAACTAACTAACAATCAACTCTAGCACCTCTCAGTTTTTCTTTTCTGTTTTTCTTGCAAAATTCACCACAGGGCCGGGGGTGCGGGGGGGGGGGGGGGGGAGTAGTGCCCAGGATCATACGGTTACCACTGCATTGTAGTACAGCCATGGTAGTCTGTGTGTTCGACGCTTAGCACATGCCAATTCAGATTCGTTTGCAAACATGAATCACGACTCATGATGCACGACTAGTTCATTACGTCATCGAGATATTGAATGAGTTTTGAAAATTGATGGCTTCCTGCGGAATTATTTGAGAAGTTCTACATTTACTGGTTCATTGTTCATGATGGAAAGTTATATCTAAACGTTCAAGGTACTTGTACATAATAGGGAGGTTCCGGAGTACGGTTTTTCTTGCCAAAATCCGTAGAGGCTCTACGGATTTTTTATACATCGTTTTTGAGCAGTGAAATGTTCCGGAGTACGGAACTTATGTGTTTGCCGTCATTGCCTAGGTTACGATTGCAAACACGTCACATTCCCGCGCTATGCCTTTATACTTTGAAAATACAGTAAAACCTGTAACTAAGGACCACCCCTTGGTGCCCGGAAAAGTGGTCGTTAGTGGCAGGTGGTCTTTAGTTAGAGGTTTGCACCGCGCGACCATAGATGGATCCCATTATATGATATGTATGTCAAAATGCAGATGATACAATCCCCCACCACTTGCGCACTAACATTCTTCTTTCAGATCATACAACACTTGGAGAGAGAGAAAATCAAGTTTTTTATACACCGGAAGCGATACGACCTTTTGACAGTATGTCGACTTACTGGGTTTCCAGAGCAGCGCTGGCCTGGCCAGGCAGTGGACTAGTCACTATCGACTCCAGCCAGCACAGACTGTCAGTGTGACCTGGTGACTGAGCCGTGTGATTGCACTTCGACAGAGAGCCGCTCAGTCTTAGGGTGCGTTCTTAAATCCTCTCGGAAAAGTTGGAGACTCTCCGAAAAGTTCGAGAGCTGTTCTTATATCCTCTCCGACTTTTAGGAGACTCTCCAAAGCTCTCCAAGCTCTCCAAGCTTCAGAGGTGGTTGAAACTTGGAGATTCCCGCGGTTTGGGATCAGCGCATGCGAACTACGACTAAAAGGCACGTGTTCATCATTAGTGTACGCATTTCCCTTTTCGCATACGCACACGTGCATTACTACATTCATCACTCAAGATCGCGGCCCCTTTGGCGCTTCATTTTGCTTGACATGTGCAAAATATCTCCGAATTCTTCGAGACCCGTTCTTGAGTAATCCCAGTTTCTTCGACTTCTCTTTTCTTCTTCTTCTAGAAGCTAGAGAATATAAGAACGCACCCTTAGTTTCTCCTTCCAGTAGTAACATCGATCAAAGAGCGCTTTGGATGCGCTCTCCAAGACGTTTCCTATCATGTTTGTTCTTGACAGCACTTGAAATTATGACAGGTGTAGTGCAGTCCACACTGATTCCACAGTAAAAATGAGACTGCGCTCATTTGTCCAGCTGTAGTGTCGAAACGACCATGAAAATCATCAAAATTTCGAGAAGGAGCTTCAAGCAATGTTTGATTTGCTACATCGCGGTCGCTAGTTACGGGTCAAAATTCGACATTGGGACAAGAAAAGGCGGTCGCTGGTCGCGTTCAGCAGGTAGTCGCTAGTCACAGTGCATTTTGAATGTGAGACCGTCCGTGCCTGACAAAGTGGTCGGTAGTAGCAGGCTGGTCGCTAGTCTGCACGGTGGTCGTTAGTTACAGGTTTTACTGTAGTACCAGGCTGGTCGCTAGTCACGGTGGTCTTTAGTTACAGGTTTTACTGTAGTACCAGGCTGGTCGCTAGTCACGGTGGTCTTTAGTTACAGGTTTTACTGTAGTACCAGGCTGGTCGCTAGTCACGGTGGTCTTTAGTTACAGGTTTTACTGTAGTACCAGGCTGGTCGCTAGTCACGGTGGTCTTTAGTTACAGGTTTTACTGTATGTACCGAAATCAAAACTTCCCGCGAAAAATCGATGTTTCTCGTACCAAATTTGTATGCGAAAATCTTTCTGCACCCGATGACGCAAAATCTCCATACGAAACATGTTTCGTATGAAAGCCAGTCCACACGGATTCTCCGTGCCGAAAAATCGTATGGAGCACCCCTGGAAAAAATCCGTAGCGCCCATACGGATTTTGGCACGGAAAATCGTACCCCGGAACCTCTCTAATTATTATACTCGTACATGCACAGCATATGCATCCGATCCAAGTGCAATGCAGTGCTGGCTGTGACAAATTTGAATGAATGGCTTAGACTCAATTTCCATTTAGACGCAGTTTTTTTAATGCCAAGCTAACGCCCTGTAACCACCTCAAGTAAACAGCAGTTAGATGCGTAACCATGGCGGACAGCTGCACATCATGTCATCAATTCCCCGAAATCAAAATGACACGCTTCTAGAAATTGCTTCCACGCTGCACACAGCTCAACTGGACGATACCTGCAAGCTATCAGAAGACGAAGCACTGGAAGAACGTCGCCCACAGTGCCTTTACACACGACAAGAATGGTGCTCTTCTGGACAACGTTTGGCCCCTCGCTGCACTCCTTATCCAGTGTGTTATCCGTCTTCTCCATCGCCAAACAAACGCATGACATACACTATTATGTAATTAAAATTAATTCCTAGCTAGCCTTTTCAGTTTTTGAATTTCTTTTTATGCGCAGATATCTACAATGTAGATGGCTGCCACGTGGGCACGTGCCACGTCTTCCCGCGGGCACTTGTTCGTTCTGTGCGCAAGTGGCGTCGTCATCTTTCTCCACTAGCTCCAGCTTGCTTTACAGTACTCGACAGCTTTGTAAATTGTAGTCTCATTCATGTCAGACAGAGCTCGAACTCACAGTCACAGCCCGATCTACCATGATCTACTGCAAGATTTCGGTCGACATGAGCTGAACTGAACTCTGAAGTCTACGTCTACTTGTCTATGTCACTAGTAGTAGTATGTGTACGTCTCTCGCCGGAGTGTCAAGAGTCGAGATCTCGCGAGTCGAGTGAATCGCGTCAGTGCTTGTAGCAAGAGCTAGAGCGCTTCGATCCTATGACTCAGTGTGGAGTGATGTTCGTGTTGTGGTACGAGTCCCCAGTGCCTGGAGATATGTGGATTTTGTAGAAAGAAAAAAAGTACGAGTATCTACGAGTCGTACTGCTGGTCCACTACAAGAATGTTGAATCGCGTCTATCGGACATCGCGCCGGCGTCGCACTTCTAACCCGAGCCGCTAGCGAGCCGCTAGCGCCGAAGAAAAAATAGACGTTTTAAATATTAGAGTCTACACAGTCATGGTCGTCATGACTGTGTAGATATACTCGTACAACACACAATCGTTACTACAGTCATGACGTCATGTGTTAGTACTAGTAGCAAGAGTCCATAACCCAGGTTATGGACTCTTGCTACTACTACTAGTACTAGTAGTACTAGTACCAAGAGTAGATAAACAGTTTATCTACTCTTGCTAGTACTAACACATGACGAGTCCATAACCCAGGTTATGGACTCTTGGCAGTCTTGCTACTAGTAGATCATCTACGATCACCAACGACCTGGCTCCATGGACCAGTCCATATCAGTTCTATCACGCTGCCATCCCGCCAGGGCGATGGCTTGCTAGAATGCAGGTTGTTCTAACTACAATGATGTGGTCGTGTATGATTGTGCTTATTCCACCTTGTTTCATGCTGTCAATCTGACAATATGATTGTACTTCTGCCGCAAAGTATAGCGCTCGTAGAGACTCGTAGTACAATCTGTATCACTACTACTACTACTAGTAGCAAGAGTCACTATTATAGAGTTATATACCCTTGCTAGCAGTCATACCAGGCAATAGTACGCAAGGAGCATAATAATATTGTTATTTATTTAGCCGGCACTACTCCATTCCTACTAATCGTAGTACGATCATACAAGCCTCAAGTCAAGACTATACGTAGAGTCAAGAAACACGACAACCGGTAACCGTATAAACCATTCTTTACTTTTCTTTGTCCGCGCTCGCGTGAGACAAAAAAAAACCAATAAATGTGACATGTACAATCAGTCATACTCTGGACATGGAAATCCGGTCGCACGTCTAGCGGCCCCATGCCATGGCCGGCCCAGGGTAGATCTACCCGGGTATGCTGGCCATGCAGCCGTGGATAAGCGGTACGACGCTCGTAGATCTACACACGTAGATCTACACTCTCGCATTTCATGCGCTGCATGCAGCGCAGCGCGCTAGTCGCATCGGATAACATGTGCCCTGCACGCAGCGTTCTGTACGCGCTGAGGGCGCCGGCCCCGCGCGCGACAGAGGCCCGGTCAATCGACCGGATTTCCATGTCCGCATAACACTCATTGCCGAAGTTGTGTTGCCATGGTGCAAAAATGGCGTTGGATGGCTACGCCTGAGCGCTCGCGCTGTCATCGCAGCCCACGACACGTCTTCCTGCTGTGCTTTCCTGACAAATTATTTTGTTTCGCTTTGTCCTTGTTGCTGGAGGGTTTGATTCTTTGAGATACTGTAGAGCGATTTGGAGTTGGTCAGCCGAGAGTAGTCTTGAGAAATGGAGAAAGAACGTGAGAGAACCTGGACTGCGGATCAAGTCGCTCTGTTCCAGCGGAGGCGAGCAGAGGGTTACGATCTCAGTGCCCAGGCACGTCGCTCCTGATTATTTCAAGGGGCTCGATGTGCAAGTGGCACTCGAAACCAGTGCTGCGTAGAGTGCCCATGTTCCTGCCAGTGTCGCTGCTTCAGCCGGGCTGGCGCTGGCGTCTCCAGTGCAAGCAGTATCTGAAACCACTCCTGGACCTGCTGTAAAACCCGCCGCTCAGGGCCAGTGCAAACAGCAGCTGATGCTGCTACTGAAGGGGCCACACATTCACTTCTGTCCAGCTCTGTCCTGCGCGCTCCCACCTCTTGTGGGGATATCATGCGCTTACGCATGCAAGGGCTGCGCCAACTTTGCAAAGACAGTATTCCCTACCAAGGGCGTGTATCCAGACGTGATCTTTACCTTCTCATCTGTGAACATTTCCACTTGAGTACTGCTGGCGAAGGGGTTCCAGACGAGGAGGCAGACAAGCCTGCATTACCAAAGCCAGGAATGGCAGCGTACAAGAAGCTACCAAGCTTTTCACACATAACATCTGGCTGGTCTCTATCTCGCCTAACTAAAATCCCTTTCTTCATTACTGAGGCTGTCAAGCACTATATTATGTTAAATTCCCCGGACAAAGATTATGACAAGGAGAGCTTGCAGTGCTACAAGCAACTTCGTGCGTACCAATTATTTGATGAGCACCACCTTCACCATTTGGAGGGAAACCTGTTTGCAGGTGGAACAAACTTTTGTTTCGTCCGTGCGAAATGCTGGCCATGACAAGATACATCAAAGCAAGCCTACACGTGTATCGTCTGCATCAGCAGGGACGATCCAGTGTGCTACGGTGGATACTGCCAGTGCATTTCCGGATAATGAGAGTGCTGTTCACATGTCGCGGCTTTGCTGTTTGCGCTGGATGATTTTTGCAGTCATGGCATGCAGAGTTTGTCTGGACCTTCCGTAACAGACATGTTGTATGCATGCACGCTCGTGCTTCTGACTGTTTTTCTAGATCATGGCTTCTCTTCTGATCTTTCCTCGTCATGTCTGTTGACTTTTGTGAATTATATCATCTTGTCAAACATAATAACATTACACTGTGAACGAAAGCAACATTTCATTCCACCTCACCTCTCAACCCCTCACAAACAACCGAAAACTCGTCATCGATTGCACTGATTTTTTAACGACTTTCTGGATCAATAATCATCATTTTTATGTCTTCAAACCAGAAATTGGCAGAGATCAAAATGGTCTGTCATCATAGTAAAACATTGACTTACAAGACATGAGTGTCTGCTCCAGCGCCGGGTGAGCCGGGTAATCCACCCGGTTGGGCGGCGCTTGGACCCGGTTGAAAATATAGTACTGGGTCACCTGTGACCCGGTTGGTACTTTACACTTTCGAACTTTGAAAGGACTGACTACATGGCTTGTATCAAGAGTACATGAAAACGGTTTTCATGTACTCTTGCTTGTATGTGTCAGATACTTCTTCTTCCTTCGTAATTTTCTAATTCCTGTCCTCTCTTTTCTAAATGCGGCTTATCCATTCGCCTTTATATCATTGGGCCTAGTTCCCGTTTATTGTCCGAATTAAAATAAACCAACCAACCAGTTAAAGCACGTGACTCGGCTGGTGAGACAGCGCCAGGTACATGTGTACCCGGCTCCGACCCGGTTGAAATGGTTGCGCCAGGTACAAGTGTACCCGGCTGTCCTACAATCCTAGAGCAGACACTGGACATTTCTGAATAATAACTTCGGACTGATGTTAGATTATTACTGGAACAAATCATTTCTGAATGCACAGATTGAGCTAAGTGGAATACTTGGTTGGTTGATAGAACTTGTATTTCCGGTGGAATATATGTAACAATCTTTTTCACATTCACGCAGTATTTATTGGAACAAATTCATATTCTGTGATGATGATGGTCAGCCAGTGTCGGTGAAACGTCTAATGGCCATCGCTGAGGACCAGTGGCATACAAATGTCTAAGGGTAGATAGGCCGCGCCAAGTTTGCATCCTCTTGGCTTTGGGTTCGAGGTATTTGAACAGGGCAGAGAACACTGCGTAGTTAGGCAGCCCGGTGAAGTGCCTGAACTTGTCAGGATTGTTTCTGATGCTGGCTAAATCGATCGAACGACACTTCAGGCTCTCGTACTCTTTTTTAATTTCACTGAAGTCTTTTTCTAGGCCAGCCATGTGATCATCAACTTCACTCGGGTCACTTACACTGATATATCTGTGATCACATGGCAAACCCTGCACAGGACCAGGGGTCGGCGCTGGGTCAATAGCCGAACAGACACCAGACACCACAGAAACGACCCTGGAATCATCAATATCTTGTGGCTCCTCAGACTCTTGACGTTTTCTCTTCAGAACTCGTCTCGCTGGTTTAGGAGTTGCCGTCCACTGGAACTGGGTTGGCACAGCGGTGGGGTTGAGCCATTTTCTTTCTGGCTCCTCACCAGACAGGAGCTTGCCGACGTAATCATCTTGTTTGAAATGAGAGCTGCATACTCTGGTGTTTGATGTGATCTTGAAATTTGATCCCACGTCCCTCCTAATTTCAAATTGCCATAACTTGCACCTTTCTGCATCACTGGGAAAACGATGAATTGCAAGTGACATATCTCAAGACCGATTACTGCAGAGCGGAACAGCACAGTAGTAGCCCTTGCCTGAAGTTCTTTTCCGCTTCTTGGCAGGTTGGCTGTCAGTGCCAGATTCCACTGCGGCTGACCCCACGGACACTGAAGGCGAAGAAACAACACCAACACTAGCTGCAGCGACAGTTTGTTCGACTGGAACCGGTTCAGGAATGGTTTTAGCTACTGCTTGCACTGGAGACGCCAGCGCCAGCCCGGCTAAAGCAGCGACACTGGCAGGAACATCGGTACTCTGCACAGCGCTGGTTTCGAGTGCCACTTGCACATCGAGCCGCTCGAAATAATCAGGAGCGACGTGCCTGGGCACTGAGATCGTAACCCTCTGCTCGCCTCCGCTGGAACAGAGCGACTTTATCCGCAGTTCAGGTTCTCTCACGTTCTTTCTCCATTTCTCACGACTACTCTCGGCTGACCAACTCCAAATCGCTCTACAGTATCTCAAAGAATCAAACCCTCCAGCAACAAGGACAAAGCGAATATTAATAATTTGTCAAGAAAGCACAGCAGGAAGACGTGTCGTGGGCTGCGATGACAGCGCGAGCGCTCAGGCGTAGCCATCCAACGCCATTTTTGCACCATGGCAACGCATCTTCGGCAATGAGTGCAGACTACAGCACATCACTGTCATCATAATCGTAATGATGAGTGGGGTACATGTATCGGGAGTAGTACTAGTAGTAGGGGCCACTGCGGCAGGTAGATCTGCGGTCGGATCGATGTTGACAACAACATATATTAACATCAGTACAATAACATAACAACCTCCCACTACTACTACTAGTACTAACATAGATCTGCCACGCGTGTGCATGTGCACGATCTACTGCGTACTGGACCGGAGTCAACATGGTCAAGAGTGTGGCCCTGTGCCTGGACGCTGTGGCCCCGAGTGGGTTGAACTGTTTTTTGTTGTTGTACTTGAAGCAACTGGACACAAATACCAGCGTGCACTCTTCTTGGTTGAAGAGCGAACAGACTACAGTACAGTATGTCACATAGTTGTCAGTGTGCAAAGCATGACCGACAGGTCGACTAACATCAGGCATCACGGACCATCGACCCGATTCGTCCTCTACTCTAGTGTTAGTTCTGGCCATTCAATGCCGCTTCTGAGTGGTATCTATGCCTATGGTCGTTGTGTTACTTGTTCGACCTACTACTACTAGTAGTACTACTACTAGCGCTAGCAGCAGCTGAGCTAGTGCTAGTCGAAGCTGGCGTTTGACAAGAGCAACCACGTGGCGATCAGTGTAGTCGTTTTAGCCTACATTCAGTACATGCCCACTGCATGCAGTGAGGACATAATCATTTGAGCACGACGTTCGAGACCGCGAGTATCTAGACAGTTCTAGTACAGTGTATTAGGAATCGTAGATCTGCTGCTACCGGTAGCCGATGATCGTTACTAGTGATGTGGGACGAGGCGGTGTCGACATGCAGCCCGCCCTGACAGAAACTCGTCATGCAACGGCCTGGACCGGCACAGCACGCTAGCTGCAATGGTCAGGCTGGCGTACCAGAGAGTGGAGCTGCTGCGCAGGCAGCGCACCGGAATGCCAGCGTCAGCGAGCGCATCGGAAATGGAACGGCAGCGGGACGGTCGGTGGTACAGGCTGCGGCACCTGGGAGCGGAATGAATGATTCCGCCGCGCACAGAAACAGCACAGCCAGCTTGGACAGCTCGCGTCGCAACAACGTACTCAGCCCAGCACCCGCTATCGCTGCAGGGTCCGGAAGGAACAAGGCCAGCGATGTGACTCCTTGTCCAACAGGCAAAGCAGACATCCATTGTAATGTGACTTCCTGTCCAGGTAAAGCACACAGCAGTGACCATGGTGACACCAATGGCAGTGTCAGTTCACATAACAGCGCGGCCACTCAGCCTACTCCAAACGAGCCACGGTCAGTTACCATGGCAACGACAATGCAGGAACGCGCTGCTGAGAACTCTGGGCAGGCCGCCGCCGAGCACCGCCCGTTACCGCGACAACACGGTGCACCCAGCGCCCCGTGCTCTAACCCAGTCGTGCACCGGACCGGCAGAAAACGGAGGAGGGAAGTGGCACGCATTGCCCTGCTCCGTAGTAACCGGGCGGCAAGGAGCAAACACATGGGGAAGCATCCGTCGCGCTGTCTGATTCGACGCGGCATGAAATCATGCCCGATATTTCAGACGGTGCAGTTTCACAACGACCGGGTGAAGGAGATATTCGAACAGTACTTTCTGCCGCAGAAACTCGTCGACCTAATCCAGGCGAGCTTGCTTCTGATCATTATACATTTCAGCATGCAGGTTATCCTCTGGTCACAACTACCGCACGGCGTACGCTACCTGGACTCGCCTGTGCGCTATAGATCGCTGGTTAGCGACGCAGTCGTCGTCTGCACTCTAGGCATTCTCATAGTGATGTGCATTTGCCTGGGTCTGAGGTCGCTGCTGGGTCCCACGCCGTACTTGTCGCCGGGCTGCAAGCTCTACAGCGCTGTGCTGATAAGCGTGATGATTGTGGACAGCTTTCTCATGCCGCACCATGCATTCTCGCAGCCGTTCACGCCGACGACGTCGCTATGGTTTGTTGTGATCGTCGTCTTGACGATAAACACCAAGTCAACGTTCTCGCCGTTCAAGAACTGTCTGGTGACGATCGGCGTGGCGATCAGCTGGATAGCGTACACGTGTGTGGCTGCCGACGTGAAGGAGCAATTGCCCCGTCAGGTGAGGTGACGTGTCTTCTATGTGTGTACGTGTGTGTGTACGCGTGTGTACGTGTGTGTGTGTGTGTGTGTGTGTGTGTGTGTGTGTGTGTGTGTGTGTGTGTGTGTGTGCATGAGTGTGTATACACGTCGGGGAGTTTTTATGGGGCGTCGGACGTTCAGTGGGCAGTTGGTTGAATCAATAGGGACCTTTCGCACCACGCGTACGGATACGAAACGAATGCTGATTCGTCACCTGGGTTCGAGGATTCGAGTCCCTGCGGAGAGCTCGTTTTCACGAATGGAAGCCTCTTCATTCGTGGCGCGCTCCGAATCCGTCAGGTACACATTTATTTGGCCAGCTACACATGTTTTGCCAGGTACACATTTTTTCCCTTGATTCCATGATCCATGCACGTGTGCGTGTAAACACCCGTACGCCAAGCTACTGGCCGTATTCGTAGTTGCCATGCACATTTGCATGACGACTTGCGAAAACTGAAGTCTGTTTTCAACGAAACGATTAAGAACCGAATCAAACTTTCGTTTCGCATTCGATTCGTAGCAATTGCGAAAGGTCCCTATCAGCCAATTGAGTCATCTTTCCAAGATTCCTTTTGAGTGTCTCTCCTCTCTCCCGGGGAGACTGACGTGACCCGTTTTGGCAGTGAGCTACAAGTACAAGTACAGTACAGTCTGACCTCGCCTATCCGGTCACTTTTTATCCGGATCATGATATACCAGTATCTCACTACTCCCTGGTACCAAATGCATGGGCGTCGTCATCTTCATCCCGCAGATCGAAAATGTGCAGGTGCCGCGTGATTTCGCGCAATGCCCTCGCCATCCGGAAGAAAATCGTTGGTTACCGATTTACAGTCTATGCCGTGCATACATGCAGTATGTGTGTTCGATTATCCTGTTCCCTCGCCTATCCGGATATTTTTGTGGAGAACGGACGTGTGCGGTTAAGCGAGGTCTGACCGTACACACCGTCAAATCCGGCCAGAGCGGCCCTCCCTCCGCAACCATTCGAGTAGATAGATCCATTGGGGGAGGGGCGGATGGGCGAGTCCTACTTGCCGCATTCAGTACTACATGGAAAAGTACTCACCCCACGAAATCTGTGCGTGCGTTTCGTACACCGACCGAAGGTCAAGAGCTGGGAGTCGTACAGACCCATCAAAAACCAGGTTTTGCGCCATCCCTGGTCAAGAGGGTGGGAACTGTTGCGTACATTTCCAACCAGGTCGAGGACGCGTCTGCCGTACAGTACGGCCTCACACACCTCACAGAGTCATACGAGGATACAATCAATCACTTCGCTGACAAGAAGCCAGGGAGGGGCGCTCTGGCGGGATTTTACGGTACATGTCAACAAGAGTGCACGTAAGGAAGTGTGCCACTCCGCCTGAGTTTACAAAAGCAGAACACAGTGTTTGCATCGTTTTCGCTGCCGTCATGGATACCACGATCCTTTAGGCCGTCACACTACGTTCACTGACTCCCGTTTACGTTTATGTCTACGGCGAAAATTCCGAAACGGGTGATCGTACTTGGATCATCATGGCAAACGACCGAAAACTCCTTACGTGTATGTAGACGCAGCGCTTTGTACCGTGGTGTGATGACAGCCTAGCTGCAGCCGTGCATCCAATCATTATGACCTTTGATGTGGCGTATTCACGCTACGTGAAAATGAACGAAAACACGTTTGTGTAAAAGTGGACAAGCTGCCCATCGGATTCACACGGACAACAGACCTGTGCACATCTCGCATGCGTCTGTGTACTCAAGTACTTTTGCTGTTTTACACGCGGGCAAAGCACAAAAGTGGGCCTAGGACTCCTGAGCAAGTTTATCAAGACTTTGCATGCGTTTTGGTCACACAAGTAAAAAGAGTACCACACGCGTGAGTTTGCGCGTCGTGTGAATCCCCTATTATCGAGCAGTGCAGCGAGAACATCACGAGTGCGAGTTCATTTGATAGACTATGAGTAGCTACTAGCTAGGGTAGCAACCGTTTTGGACTCGTCAATCACAATGCAATGCCACGACAGACAAGCCTCTACGAGGGGTTGCAGCGGCTTGTTTTTTGCGTTTGCGAGTCGTGACTGGTGCTATTCATGGGCTGTAGTTACGAAGATGGTAGATCTACGTTTTTCTTGCACCTCTGCCTTCACGCTAAGTGATCCCCGGAAAAAAACATTCTAAGGGGTCGTCCGTAATTATCGAAAAATTAAAAAATCCGTCCTCGTGCAAAATTGTCTCTGACCCACCCACCCACCCCCCCCCCCATTTTTTTCCATTAATTTTTTGATTTTTACCGATGCCCTGCTCGAAAATAAGAACTCCTGACCCCATGTTCACTGATTGCACCTACATGTACATGAATGTCAAGTACTAGTAGCTAAGTAAAGTGAGTAGGAGGTCTACCGACGGCCATGCACGTCCTACAACTACATGAAGAGTCATGTTATTATAACCCAACACTGGTTAAAAACCAGTATTAGATAAACCTTGTTATAGTTCACGCAATTGTTAGATTGACAGCATGAAACAAGGTGATCTAACAATTGTATGATGAGTCATGTACCGGTATAATTATATTGGTGTTTGCGATCCTACACTACGTCTACAGTGCACTACATGTCAGTGCAACAAGTGTATGAAAGTCACTGAAGAAAAAAAAAAAAAAAAAAAAAGTACGAAAAATCAAAAAATTAAATTCCGCCAGCGCTCTTGACCACCCACCCCCTTTCTGCCTGAGGACGGATTTTTTAATTTTTCGAAAAATACGGACGACCCCTAACATGTGTCGTGCTAGAGTTTTGCCCGGGGATCCTATGGTGTGGATCTCTAGTGCCAAAGCAACTTTAGTCTGCCTTCTGCGTATGCAAACTCTGCCCAATGCAGCACCGAATGTCGTGTGTGCAGAGGCAGAATTTTAGGGTACCCTGTAAGAAGGCCTTAGGCCTGTGGGGATTGCCCTATCAAAAATTTGATAATAATTATTATAATAATAATAATAATACTGGGTAGAGCTTGTGGACAGGTATAAGGAATTTGTTCTACTCGTATACCTTATTTGGTCAGAACATATAATACACATGGGAAAGCAGAGTGGCGCAGCGGAAGCGTGCTGGGCCCATAACCCAGAGGTCGATGGATCGAAACCATCCTCTGCTAACAAACATTTTTTCTTCTTTTTTTCTTTTTGTGGAACAGATTGGAAGCTTTCCCAATTCTAAAAAGTAGTACATGTACTGTATATGCATCTACAGTCGACCATACCAATCAAGAAGTTTTCTTCAGGCTTTTTTCTTTTTCTTTTTTTCTTCTTTTCTTGCATGTGAAAATGAAATGGCTGTTGATGTCTATGGATGGCTTGGGTGTGAAATGGTAGTCTGGAGTTATAGCTGATGTTCATGAAATCAAGTGAACATTTCGTTGCTGGTTGGACAGATGCACGCCCGTTTTGTTTTGGGTCACATATCAAAAGCGACAAATAATGTACGATTTTTCTGGATTTGATGGAGCTGGTCGAAGAAACTTATATTATTATCCGTTCCGTGAAATTAGTGCTGTCGTATTTCACCGGATATTCATTTATATATAAGTTGCACATTTCAGAATTAACTTGCAGACTCAATGCGGGGATGGGGGGGGGGGGGGGGGCAGGGATGGGAGATTACTAGCAAGCATGGCACGCACAAGTGAACATATTGCAACAATATGCATGCGCGGTCGAGACCTGAAAATCGGAATCAAGAGCGACGTAATCAGTCATGATCGGTGTAGTACCGTAGCCCACGCTTACCAGAGCAACTGCTTGGTTCCAGAAGATCTGTATTCTGATTCTGCATGATGCGACACTCGGCCTATAACACAATACGGTATGTGCCAAACTCTACACTATAGTATGATGGCGTTAATGCTATAGCCTATACTCTACACTATAGTAAATACTACACATCTAGCTTATGATTGTTAGAGTTGGACACTAACTACGGAGAACATGTAACATGTTGGTCCTTTCCTTTCATTAATTTTTAAATACTGATAGCCCCTATTATGGGGGTGCGACGTGTAACGTTAATCGATTGCGACTTACAATCGAGTGTGCCAGTCAGCTCTACTTGTGTGGCCAACACAATAAAGCAATATGGATGGGATGGGATGTGATGGGATGGGATGGGATGGGATGGGATGGGATGGGATGGGATGGGATGGGATGGGATGGGATGGGAAAATGGCGGTGCGACTTACAATCGATTGCGACTTAAATCAGGAAACATGTTCAATGTTTACACATGTGCTGTGAGTAGGCTCGTTTTCCTTGGTTCCGTACAAGCCGAATGGTCCATGACGCTGTGTGGCCTCACAGTGACTTTGCTGTTGGGTCTGAGTTCAACGCATGTCTTGCGAGATGTTCTATGGGAGAAGCTGAAGATGACAATGCACTCTCTACTCTACAACGTCGAGGCCGAGTAAGGGCTCTATGCTGTATTTGGTAGCTATGCGCCTGAGGGAAGCAGAGTGGCGCAGCGGAAGCGTGCTGGGCCCATAACCCAGAGGTCGATGGATCGAAACCATCCTCTGCTAACTTTTTCCTTTTTTTTCTTCTTTTTTTTCTCTGTGTATCTTTCCTGAACGTGACGAAATTTTGGGCTTTTTGTGAATCTGTATTAGAAATTGCACTGAGGAAGAAACCAATCTGAAAGAATTCCTCGTGGGGCACTGGCTGTTGCGCAACTGAGTAGTGAGAGTGTGCTTGGCAACCGTGGCGAAAGAGCATGAGCGGCTTTTGAAAAGTGTAGCATTTGCTGCTCTGGACTCAAGTAGTACAATTGTGGCTTTTCTCACAGAGCTGCACGGCAGGGCATTGCTGCTCCATTACCGCTGCCTCCACTGCAGGCTCTGGTGCAGATTGTTAGGTAGGCTAGGCTCCAGCAAGCACTTCTTCAGTGTGTTCACTGTCACGCGCATTATGCGCTAATTTGTTGCTTTATTCGTTTTTTTACTTTGTTTTATTTCTCAAATCCAAACGGGAATTTCTTCCCAATAGCAAGGTAGGGAAGAGGGAAGAAAAATAGAAAAAAGGTTTGAAGTGCACAAACCACAGCCTCAGATTCGACTGGATTTTATTCATAGTTTTGACTGTGTGACTATGACTGACATCTGCCTCACTAACAGTAGACCCATTCGGGAGAAGGAAATCAAATAGAGTGAAAAAAAGAGGAGAAAGAAAGGCTAACAGCGATGTAGGCAAGGATGCTGCTTGTAGAACTGATTGAGACAGAACAGAGCGTAGATGCCCACGCTATAGCACATTCCTATCATGGACTCGGATCGAGAGCCGAGGATAAATTTATAGAAAAGAAAAAAGGGCCACGGAACTACAAATTACGCTGATTGTTTAGTAACTGGTGGTGTTATTGGAATTATAGCGCAACTTGTACTAGTTCCTTGGTCTTTTTTTCTTTTCTAAGACACATTCCAGTTAGTACTACACTACTAGTACTAGTTGGTCAAGCCGGTGACGGTACAATGGGGAAAACAAAGGCCTTGTCAGATTCAGTCTACATGGTAGTCTCCCACAGAACTGCAAAAATATAATAAATTATAAAAATAATAACCTTTTAGCAATGAAGCACTGTGATGAAGTCTTTCTATTTCTAGTTCCTGGACAATGATGTAATGCAAGCAGACAATGATGTAATGCAAGCAGCTCAGTCAAGTAGCTAGTTGTACTGTGAAAGTGTGTGCGTGTGTGAGAGTGTGTATAGGTGGCACTGGGTGTGTGTGTGGGGGGGGGGGGGGGGGGTGGAGTTGTGTATGTGTGTATGTGTGTAGGGGGGGGGGGGGAGTTGTGTGTGTGTGGGGGGGGGGGAAGTTATGTGTGTGTGTGGGGGGGGGGGGGGAGTTGTGTGTGTGGGGGGGGGGGGGGAGTTGTGTATGTGTACAGAAAGGTGCGGGAAGCTCCAGACCAGGAGAGGGTGCACCAATTAGGTTTCTTCAAGTGTGGCTAAGTGCCGGACTGACACTCTAAGTGCCAGACTCTACTGGTGAACCGGCACAGAATGGCAGGTACTAGGCCATTGTCACCTACTGTTCTTGTCAGTTGTGTATTACACTGCAGATTGTGTGGCCCAGTCTGTGCAAACTGTAGTCAGTGTGCAGTCAGTGCAGTGTGGCCATCAAACCGTGTCACAAAGACACATATTACCAATACCAGTGCCATGGGGGCACTTGTGGAGTACACTGGAGTGGTGACAGTGACAAGTGGTGTTTCCAGTGTACTCTATGTATGTGTGATTAGCACTGGGTAGTTGGGCACGTCATGGCTCTCCGGCACGTTCTGGCTCTCCTGCACGTTCTGGCTCTCCTGCAGTTTCTGGCTCTCCGGCACGTTCTGGCTCTCCGGCACGTTCTGGCTCTCCTGCACGTTCTGGCTCTCCTGCACGTTCTGGCTCTCCTGCACGTTCTGGCTCTCCACGTTCTGGCTCTCCGCCTTCTCAGTGCAATACTATTTTTTTTAAGGTTCTGCGTTGTGGCTCTCCGCCTTCTCAGTGCAATACTATTTTTTTAAGGTTCTGCGTTGTGGCTCTCCGCCTTCTCAGTGCAATACTATTTTTTTTAAGGTTCTGCGTTGTGGCTCTCCGCCTTCTCAGTGCAATACTATTTTTTTTAAGGTTCTGCGTTGTGGCTCTCCGCCTTCTCCCCGAACAAAAGAAAACTAGAGGAAAACAAACAAGCACAAGAAGCAAGAATGACAGGAAAAGCAGAAAATATGAGAACATGGTATAAATGAGCACGGCAATCAACCTCAGCAGGGGATAGCCGCCTCGACAACAACAAGAGCAGCTGAGTCCGGTGCATAGAGCCGCCTAGCACCCCTCAGGCACATCACACTGGATCGGACCAAGGCAAAGCTGATCTGACACCGGATTGAAGCCATCGCGGCACTGTAGGCCTCTCCGGTCTTCACTGGGTAGTACTGACTGAAGAGGTTTGTACTGGAGATAGCGGTATGAAGCGGTATGAAGCCGGACCTGAATGCCTACAATGGTCATGTTGCCGTTTGCACAGTACATGCATGAACCACGTACTCCCGGTGCAGTTTTGCACCCTTCTTCTTTAGGGTTGCAGGAGCGTTGGAACCGGTGCTGCAGGTGCAGCCAAAGCCGCTCCAATAAGTTGATGTTGGGATGTTTGAAGCAATGGAATATGGGCTACTTAGTACTTGGGCACAATTTCCCTGACATTTTCCCGAAGGACGACCCCCTGGACCCTCCACCCATTCATGGCCGCACCAATGTCGAATACCTTCCGACACCCCTGGACTGTCCAAGGTTCCTGCCTTTTTTGAAACCCGGTGTTGTTAGGGGGGGGCAGGTTTGGTTGAGGAAATTTATCTCTTTCTCTCCACTCTCTCTCTCTCTCCTCTCTCTCCTCTCTCTCCTCTCTCCTCTCTCTCTCTCCTCTTTCTCTCCTCCCTCTCCCCCCCCCCCCCTCTCTCTCTCTCTCCTCTCTCTCCTCTCTCTCTCTCCTCTATCTGTGTTTCAGGTAGGAGCATCATGCCTGCTACTGTTCATGTCCATAACATTGGGCGTTAGCTACAAGATGCTGACGGAGCGTGCGCTGCGTAACGCCTTTCTGGATACTACACGTAACATGGAGCAGGCAGAGCGTATCAATCAGGAAACCAATCATCAGGTAATGTAACAATAGACTGGATTGAAGCAGAGATTGAATTTATTTACTTAGTATTTATTTTAAGAGAAAAGCCTCTTACAAGAAACTAACTCTCCTCCTCCATGCGCTCTAAAGCCGACCATTGCTACCCTCGGTAGCCATTACTCACACCAATAACTTCAAACAACGAAGGGGTCACGCGTAAAATATTTCCTTCTGACAAAAGGTACCGTTCAACAGTTTATTGATAGAAAAGCCTCTTGTACGGGCAAAACTAGAAAGAAACAAGAAGAGATAGAATGAACCGGTCTGAGGATTGCCAAACTCCATTGCACTCATGTACACATTACATGTACGTTGCTCGATCCGAACACTCGCACACTACCGCGCTCTCCAGCCGACCTCGACACTCCCGTATTGACACACTCTCACTCCCATGTACTCTTCTGCATGCTCTTCATCATTTTTGTCGGAACTAGGTCTGTGGACCTGGTAAGGAGGCAGAAATGCCTGTTCACTTGGTGAAGCAAAATAAAATAAACAACAACAACGGCAATCATGCAACTCTCACCCCAGTGGCCTCACGCATCTTTTACCGCTCCCTGATACTCAAACCAATGACCACGCATATATCCCCGCTATTGAACACTGCTCGAGACTGCTGCTGGCCACCTTTGTATATTCCGAACACTCAAATGTTTCTAAAAAATAGTAAAAATGTTGCGACATCGGCGGTGATCAGTGAAGAAAGTGTCTGCTCCGAACGTCGAAGCTCGCGCTTCCTGCCGACTGACTTGACACTTGACTGACTCACGACTGCGTCTGGAGCACACGAGAAGCCAGTCGAACCTTCCACTCGGCAAACCTGCAAGAAAGCACCACTCCCTGCTCAGTACACAGTGTTTCGGGGAATTCCCGCCTCATTAGTTGAGCTTGAGTAGGCGAATGAAATGTCTGCTCCGAGAGCACTGCATTATGTAGTGCTCTCCGAGCCAAGACATCACTAGGGATACCAACTTATAGTGACGCTCCGCTTCCAGCGCAACAAACACCTCGTGAGAACCAGACAGCAGTGTGAGTTAGTGTCGCACATGGAGTTGTGAGAAGAAAACGTTGAGGGCCATTTGCCCTTCGCATCGCTGTCACCTCCAACCTCCGACCGTCTAGTCGCATCCCCACACTACATGTACACTCTGTGGTGTGAAAGTAATAATGGAGTTCGCACATCCACATTGCCGCCAGCTGTACACTGTTGTTGGGCACTGATTGTGAGGCGTAGAACCTCATTCTCACCTCTAGGCGCTGCAGCTATCATCCTGGTATAACTTGGTGTGGTGGTGGTGGTGCTGCTGGTGGTGCTGGTGGTGCTGGTGGTGCTGGTGGTGGCGGTGGTGCTGGTGGTGGCGGTGGCGATGGTGGTGGTGGTGCTGGTGGTGGTGGTCGTGGTGATGGTGGTGGTGGTGGTGGTGGTGGTGGTGATGGTGGTGCTGGTGGTGGTGCTGGTGCTGGTGCTGGTGATGGTGGTGCTGGTGGTGCTGGTGGTGCTGGTGGTGGCGGTGGCGGTGGCGATGGTGGTGGTGGTGCTGGTGCTGGTGGTGCTGGTGGTGCTGGTGGTGGTGGTCGTGGTGATGGTGGTGGTGGTGGTGATGGTGGTGGTGCTGGTGGTGCTGGTGGTGGTGCTGGTGATGGTGGTGCTGGTGGTGGTGGTGGTGGTGGCGGTGGCGATGGTGGTGGTGGTGGTGCTGGTGCTGGTGGTGCTGGTGGTGGTGGTGGTGGTGGTGGTGCTGGTGGTGCTGGTGGCGGTGGTGGTGCTGGTGGTGGTGCTGGCGGTGGTGCTGGCGGTGGTGCTGGTGGTGGTGGTGGTGGTGCTGGTGGTGGTGGTGCTGCTGGTGGTGGCGGTGGCGGTGGTGGTGGTGGCGGTGGCGATGGTGGTGGTGGTGGTGCTGGTGGTGCTGGTGGTGGTGGCGATGGTGGTGATGGTGATGGTGGTGATGGTGGTGATGGTGGTGCTGGTGGTGGCGGTGGTGGCGGTGGTGGTGCTGGTGGCGGTGGCGATGGTGGTGGTGGCCTGGCATACTATAGAACGGGTAATTTCAGCGACTATTAATTTTAGCGTTTTCCCATTGTCAACCGGTTGGCGACGTTTTATTTCAGCGATTTGCAGCGATTTTACTCACGGATCACCAGTGCACTACCAATGTCTCAACGGATTAGCGACTTGAAACTTCAGCGAAAATGAGTAGATGGCTAAATTCGCTAGGGTTTTTACGTCGCTAAAATTACCCGTTCTACAGTAAGCACAACTTCCTAAACTGGCAACTCAGGCCTGTTTTACAGGCAAAAATTAACACAATCGATTAAAATGCAATAAATCATACACTGGAGAAGAAAACAGGGAAACTCCCTAAACTGGTGGTGTTTCTCAACACAATGTGTGGTGTAGTCCCTGCACAATGTGTGCTGTAGTCCCTGCACACTGTGTGGTGTAGTCCCTGCACAATGTGTGGTGTAGTCCCCGCACAATGTGTGCTGTAGTCCCTGCACAATGTGTGGTGTAGTCCCTGCACAATGTGTGGTGTAGTCCCAGCTAATCCTGCCAGTCACGGTACAAATGCTGCTTGCTGTGGTGTGGAAGACAGTGGGAATGCTAGCTATGGTGTGGAAGACAGTGGGAATGCTAGCTATGGTGTGGAAGACAGTGGGAATGCTAGCTATGGTGTGGAAGACAGTGGGAATGCTAGCTGTGGTGTGGAAGACAGTGGGAATGCTAGCTATGGTGTGGAAGGTATTGGGAATGCTAGCTGTGGTGTGGACGCCACACACCCTTTTCCAGCCTGCAATAATGCCGCTGTAGTCGCCTATCTCACATCTTTCTTTCCAATGACAATACTGAACTCAACTGACCTATCCTGGTTATAGTGGTAGTGTAGACGTGGAATGGGACAGTCCATTGTGCAGTGCAATGCTGCTGGGTCTGATATCGTTCTGTCCAATGGTCTCGATTGCAGAGCTGTGCAGCGCTATAGTGGAGAGTCCTTTAAAGTATAACTGGACAGCCTTCTTATCAGCACACGAAGCACAGAAGCCATATATAGTTTCGACTAGGCCTTTCGTACCATTACTCTTCAAGTTGAATACAATGGTGATTAACACGGTAGCAAGCAAGTCCTTAAAACCGGCACTTTGGTGACCAGGAATCTATTATAGCCATCTTAGTTCTTATATGAACCCCACATGGTACTAATTGGATAGACGCTCTGTGCGCTACCATGGCTGAAGTTGCTGGAGATAAGCTAACAATCGAGAAGCAATCTGTTGTGAGGAACTTGACAAGAGCCTTGGGTGTCAGACAGTCGCAGGACCTCTAGTTTTTCCTCGTACTTCTATTCTGCTTGAGGATGAACTCGGATGTAGATCCAAGGATTAATTTATAGCCAAGAGCAGATTGTCAAGCCACTCCGTGGCGGCGTTGCTGGTCATATTAGCCCAACTTGTAGTTCCTTGGTCCTTTCCTTTGCTATAAATTTTGATTTTAAAATGCATCCTGGTATAACCTGGTGTATTGGTGGTGATGGCCTGGCATAAGCATAACTTCCTCAACTGGCAGTGTTTCTCAATACAATGTGTTCTTCTTTTTCCTTCTTTTTCTCTCTTTTTCTGCACTTACTCTTTCTGCACTACCTTGTAGGAAAGTCTTCTGGTCTCCATCTTCCCTGATAGTGTCTGCAAGGAAATGACCAAGGAGATCGTGAACGACCTGGAGGAGCACTTTGCTCTCCATGGCGATGCCGATGCCGACCTGCCGTTCCTCCTGCCGGGTAGACCTCAGGCCCAGTTCTACCGCAGCTTCATGGATCGGTGCGAGAACGTGAGGTGAGTTCAGGATGCCGACGGGGAGTGAGATGTGACAAGCTGACGGTATATGTAAGTATGTTTCGTCTGTCTTTTTGCAGGACTGTTTGGCTGGCTATGAGTATATATGTCTGTTTGTCTGTTTGTCTGTCTGTTTGTCTGTCTGTTTGTTTGTCAGTCTGTTTGTCAGCCTGTTTGTCTGTCTGTCTGTATGTTGTCTGTCGTCTCTGCCTGTCTGCTGTCTGTGTATGTCTGTGTCTGTAGGTCAGTCTGCCTTCTTACACACTCATCTCCGCCCATGCCAGTTGCTATTGTAACACTGTATATGACTGTGTTCTGTGTGCGGATACACCCCTCTTCTCCAGTATACTGTGTTCTGATATAGTCAGCTTCACAGCGACATCATCCACCATGTCACCGCAGGAACTAGTTTCAATGCTCAACGACGTGTTTGCAAGATTTGACCACATTGCACAAGTAGGTTCAACAATCACTCTGCACTTCTATACACTACAGTGCTGCACTATGAAAAACAGTCGAGTCACTCAAGTACGCGCCGGGCGCTGTGCAGTCCCAGACAGGCGATCACTGGCCTGCGAAATGGTGCACGCAAACGTGACTCGCGTGGCTGGATTTCTTTGAGCAGCAGTGTATATTCACAGTATTGTGTTGTGTGTTTTGATATTCTCTGAATGTTTACAATCAGCCCGCTTGCACGCTGCACGTCTCTGTTGTCTGCAATTTTGCATATGATTCACAGTGTGTGTGTGTGTGTGTGTGTGTGTATATGTGTGCGTGTACACGTGTGTTTGTCCGTGTGTGCCCGTGTATGTGTGTCCATGTGTGTGTCTGTTTCCGTATGTGCATGTGTGTATCCGTGTGTGTATGCATGTGTGTGTATGCATGTGTGTGTGTGTGTCCGTGCACCTGTGTGTATGCGTGTACATGTGTGTATGCATGTGTGTGTGTGTCCGTGTGTGTGTCTGTGTGTGTGTATGTGTGTGTGTATGTGTGTGTCTGTGTGTCCGTGTGTATGTGTGTGTGTATGTGTGTGCACATGTACATGTGCAGGCAGAGGGCTGTGACCGCATCAAGATCTTAGGTGATGGCTATGTGTGCGTAGCCGGTGTACCCCAGGAATGTGATGATCATGCCGATCGCTGTATCAAGACTGGACTAAGACTAGCAGCTAGTGTCGGGTGAGTCACTCATGTGCGTGCAAACAGACTAGAATTTCTTACATGACACGTGATCGTTGCCCGGGCCGCGGCCAATAAGCGGTCTTCCCGCTGCGGGCATAATCAGGCCATCAGGACCGTTTGACGTGATTTCGAGAATTTCAGTACCGTTTGACGTCATTTCGGGAATAATTCGCCCTTTCAACCTTTGACCTTTTATGTTGCTTCGTGTTGTAAGAAATCAAATCAAGCATGCTCTGTCTGTCATGATGGCTGAATATTGCCCTTGCCTGCAGCCCTCGGGCCTGCGGCCCTTGGGCTGTAGGCTCGAGGGCTGCAGGCAAGGGCAAGATTCATCCATCATGACCTTCTTCTTAATTTCGTATTTAGCGCTTTTGGGCGTCATTATTTTCTTCTCATTATTTCGCACCGAATTTACCGAAAATAAAACACCACCGACAATTTCTGCTTTTACAGTACATACAGTTCTAATACACTAAATAGCAGAACAGCGTAGGCTAGGACTCTGACCTCTCGGACAGTACCGCAGTGCATTATCAGTACCGGTCAGGTATTGCTGACCATGCCGACAATGCAGTGTATTGCGTGTAGTTTCATGCCGACGTCTTGTGTCAGTTGTACTTGTGTGTAGTGGAGGCTATGCTGATGGGAATGCCACAGTAGAGTAAAACCTGTGACTAATGACCACCCCTTGGGGCCAGAGAAAGCGGTCTTTAGTGGCAGGTGGTCCTTAGTTAGAGGTTTGCACCGCACAACCATAATATTAATGTGAGACCGTCCGTGCCTGGCGAAGTGGTCTGTAGTACCAGGCTGGTCGCTAGTCACGGTGGTCTTTAGTTACAGGTTTTACTGTAATTGAATTTTAGACCAGTGCACATCGCTGTCCAGTATGTACCGGTGTGTCTGGACTTACTCCTGGTGTGCTGCTGCCATTGCTGCTGCTGGTTCTCTTGTAGTGTCGGAGATGTTGTCGATACTGCTGCTGCTGCTGCTACTGCTGCTGCTACTGCTGCTGCTGCTGCTGCTGCTGCTGCTGCTGCTGCTGCCGTTGCCATTTCTGATTCTCATGTAGTGTCGGAGATGTTGTTGATACTGCTGCTGCTGCTGCCACTGCTGGTTCTCTTGTAGTGTCGGAGATGTTGTCGATACTGCTGCTGGCGGTGGTGCTACTGGTGCTGCTGCTGTTGCTGGTGCTGGTGCTGCTGCTGGTGCTGCTGCTGTTGCTGTTGCTGGTGCTGCTGCTGCTTGTGCTGCTGCTGTTGCTGTTTCTGCTGCTGCTGCTGCTGGTGCTGCTGCTGTTGCTGGTGCTGGTGCTGCTGCTGGTGCTGCTGGTGCTGCTGCTGTTGCTGGTGCTGGTGCTGGTGCTGCTGCTGTTGCTGTTTCTGGTGCTGCTGGTGCTGTTGCTACAGTAGTGGTGCTGCAGTGGTGGTGGAGACTGCAAAGGACATTATTGCAGTTCACAAGATCACTCAATGCTGTTCTAACCGTTCTGTTGTTTGTAATATTAGGGCGGCTGGGTTGGCACATGGCAAGCAGCTACAAGTGCGTGTTGGAGTTCACAGTGGAGCTGTGCTGTGTGGAGTGCTGGGACTGAGAAAGTGGAGTTTTGATGTCTGGGGAAACGATGTGCTCATTGCCACACAGCTTGAAGCCTCCGGGAGACCAGGGTATGTTTGGTTTGCAGTGCAATAACGGCCATTCAGTGCTCGGCGCACGAATTCATTGGACCCGTTGGCATCTCTCTTGACGAACAGGGAACTACACATGAAACTATGAAATGACGAAAACTGTGCAAAGCTATTAGGAAAAGAAATAAACAAGAAGGCTAACGCTTTTCCCGTTTGCAAATTTCCCTCAAACAAATGATGACTAACACAGGGTAACACAGGGTAACACAGGGTAACACAGGGTAACACAGGGTAACACAGGACTATTTAACACAGTACTGTCGGGCGCTGGAGAACGGACCGCCGAAGAACGGACCGCCGAAGAACGGACCGCCGAAGAACGGACCGCCGAAGAACGGACCGCCGAAGAACGGACCGCCGAAGAACGGACCGCCGAAGAACGGCCAGGCGAGAATTTCACCAATTTCTAAGAACGGTGTAGGCTGGATTTTTGCAGCTAAGAACGGAAGCAGTAGTGTACACTATAATGTACACACGGACGTATAGCTCTGCAAAAATGTACATGTAAGACTGCACCATCGAATTAGAACGAAACTGCTGTGTTCGCTAAAAATAAGAATGGGCTAGGCTAGAACCCTCACACCCAGTTCTTCTGCGCCCCACAGTACTGTACATAATCATGCATGCCCATATCAACATGCCCTCCGCTTGATAAAGACACTTTGGAGAATGTCACCATGCCCTCCGCTTGATAAAGACACTTTGGAGAATGTCAACGCCATGAACAACACTAGGCAGTTCTGCAACTGGTACAGTTCAGGAAGTTTGCAATGCAACCTCAGGTCCAGCATTGGTAGTGTACAACCTATACTTTTGCTTAGGTTCCTGTGCTGTCCCTACACGTCTAACCAAAAGTTCATAATCCCCCAGAGTGCGCAACTTCACTGATCAGATCTGGGACGGCGAAATCCGTGTTGCACGTCATAGTGTGACATCATCAGTAGGGGAAGTGTGTTTGAGTCTCGGAACTTGATGGACCGCGTCGACGGAATGACGCAAGTCCGACCCAAAAATAACGTACATCACGGATTACGCCGTCCCACAACCCCATCCCAGTTGCGCGCTCTGGGGGATTATGGACTCTTGATGTATCATACACAGGTGTGTCTTTTTACATTACCCACATTCCAGTGGTCTCTCACAGCATGACGGAAACTGGTATATGGTGTGTGTGTGTGTATGTGTGTATATGTGTGTGTGTGTGTGTGTGCGTGTGTGTGTGTGTGTGTGTGTGTGTTTACATGCATGCTTGCATACGTGTGTGCATACGTGTGTTTGTATGCGTCTCAGTCAAGTACACATCAGCGAGGACACAAGAGAGGCTCTGCAGGATGTAGATCGGTTTGTGATAACCGAAGCGCCATCGCTTTCCTTCCAGAAAAGACAAATTGAGACAATGTTCATCAAACAGGTAACTGTCTATGTATTGTATTCGCTCATTCTCTGGACAGCTACTGTATTTTACCGGTTGTAAGTCGACCCCGGTTATAAGTCGACCTCCAAACTTGGGGCCTCGATTTACCGGTTTAAGGGCAGTTGCACCCCGGGTGTAAGTCAACTTTCGCTTTTTAGGTCGGTTTTCAGGTCATTAAAAGGTCGACTTGTAACCGGTAAATATGGTACGCTCGACGGCGGCTGTAGCTGTTTCAACCTTTTTACTTCTCTTCATCGGAGCACGCACTGACTGGCTGAGCTGAACCCGCGGGGCCATTCGTCTAGTGAACAGCAAGCTTTACTTATGCTCAGTGAAACCCGGCCTAAAGTGCATACTTGCCCACCCTCAACGTGCATGGCCCTTGACGCCCCGGAAGTGGTACGAATGCTGCTGGACATACACATGTACGAATACATTCATGCCATCGGAACCGGTCCAGGGCGCCAGTGTTGCACTTTGGGTCGGATTTCAGTGAGCGCAACCGTAGCTGAAACCATCCATGTCCGAGCGATCAAACTGTGAGAAGTTATGACTGTATGTCTGTATACGTGCTATGGTTTTCATTTGCGTACGTGTGCTTGCATGTACGTGCGCGTGTGCAGTATTTAGCAACGCTAAAAACTACGTGCATGTGCATGTGCGTGTACGTGCGTGGATGTGTGCGTTCTTGCATGCATTTGTGTGCACGCATGCATGCGTGCACTCGCGCATTCCTGTGCTTGTTTGCACGCTCGCATGTGTATAACAATGTGTGCGTGTGGAAACCATGTACTGTAAATATACAAAATTTCGGCGCTGCAAAATTTCGGCACTTCACGATTTTTGACATTTCGGCGGCGATTTATTTTCGGCGTGGGGTAGAGGGCATGGTATAGCGCGACAGATGCTGTGAAAAATTTCATCGGCGTTTTAATTTAGGCGTTTTGGGTCGGTGCCGAATATAGCCGAAATTAAATAGCTGCCGAAAATTTGTATATTTACAGTACACGGATAGAGCCCCTGGGTACTCATCCACACGTCCTCAGTCTCCTGAGAGATCAGAGAGACAGTGAGAGAAAATACGGTGTTTTCAGGAGTATAAGCCATACTGGAGTATACCGTATTATCTCTAATATAAGCACAATTTCCCATAATAGCACGTCTCCAATAATAGAACACCTTGGGGCGGCATTCAAAAAATAAAGTGCTCAGTCTCCATTATAAGCACACTGTGTAAATTCATTATCTGTACCGGCAAAAAAACCCTGAAATGTGTGTGTCTGACATGAATTTGGCATGGCAACATGCCTCTGAAATGAGGTTGAAATAATAACGGAAGTCTCCAATAAAGGAACGTCTCCATTAATAGCACGGGGTGGAGGTACATTGAAAAAATAAAGGACCGTGCTTATATTAGAGATAATACGGTAAGCCACACTGGAGTATAAGCCGCACTGGAGTATAAGCCACACTGGAGTATAAGCCACACTGGAGTATAAGCCGCACTGGAGTATAAGCCGCACTGGAGTATACGCCGCACTGGAGTATAAGCCGCACGCATTCTCTTTTGTCACAAAATGCAGACATCTACCCCGTTTAGCACAGCTATTGTAAGACCAGATAATTTAACGTCGATTAAAGTTAAAGATCTCCGGATTGTGGGTTAGCGAGGTGAAATTCTAGCGAATTCTGTCTCAAAACCGACAATTGACCGTACATGCTGCACATGTACATATCGTTTTGCACGTAACGACTTCAAAATAATGTTAGCGATTCTTTCTATTTCGTTAACTCGTTAGAATTAAATGTTCGTTAACAATCGACGAGGAGACAATAGTCGTAAAATGGCAATAAATAAGATAAATTGTGCACTCATAACAACAGCATTCTTCATTTTTTTTGTTATCAGTGCACAATTAAATGTTCTATATGAGTATTATCGCATTTTTGTCTCAGAGGAAACTGTTTATTATTACGAAGTCTGAAGAAAATGTTGAACGGCCTCTGCTGGGATGACGACTACACCATAGCTCAGTGGTTAGAGCATCGCTGGCTACAAGCGAGGGTCCCTGGTTCGAGTCCTGGTGGTGACAGTCAATTTTTTCTTCAGACTTTTCCCCGTTGTCTCTTTCCCTCAAACCAGTTAATATTATTATTATTATTTATTCATATTTTACTAGGGCAGTCCCCACAGACCTATGGTCTTCTTACAGGGTGCCCTAGCCACGTGAAGATAGCGGAGCGAAATGCAGCAGGTAGGGATATGGTGCGAATCGCGGCAGTGGGGGCGTTCCATCGGTCAGCTCCAAGATAAGATACAGAGTGATAGCCAAAATACAATCTGGCATGGGGCAGTACCAGGCCGAGCAATTCCTAATAACGGGTAATTCTAGCAGTGCGGGATGATGAGACAGCACGAGGAGTGAAAAATCGGCAAAGTAGGGGACTAGCACGAGCATTTATGCATCTATGTAGAAACACATAGAGGTTGGCAGCATAACGAATATTAAATGTTTGTTAACATTACTGGTCTATTAGACATTAATTATTAGACTACGGTAAAACCTGTAACTAACGACAACCCTGTGTGGCTACAGAGAGAGAGAGAGAGAGAGCAGTCTTTAGTGGCAGGTGGTCTTTAGTCGCAGGTGGTCTTTAGTGGCAGGTGGTCTTTAGTGTCAGGTGGTCTTCAGTGGCAGGTGGTCTTTAGTGGCAGGTGGTCTTTAGTGGAAGGTGGTCTTTAGTGGCAGGTGGTCTTCAGTTAAAGGTTTGCACCGCACAACCATAATGAATGTGAGACCGTCCGTGCCTGGCGAAGTGGTCGGTAGTACCAGGCTGGTCGCTAGTCACGGTGGTCTTTAGTTACAGGTTTTACTGTAGTACCAGGCTGGTCGCTAGTCACGGTGGTCTTTAGTTACAGGTTTACTGTAGTACCAGGCTGGTCGCTAGTCACGGTGGTCTTTAGTTTCAGGTTTTACTGTAGTACCAGGCTGGTCGCTAGTCACGGTGGTCTTTAGTTACAGGTTTTACTGTAGGACCAGGCTGGTCGCTAGTCACGGTGGTCTTTAGTTACAGGTTTTACTGTAGTACCAGGCTGGTCACTAGTCACGGTGGTCTTTAGTTACAGGTTTTACTGTAGTACAGTCGTCCCTCTCTAATCCGGCACCTTTTGCTACGGCGTTTTCTGCTGGATTAACGAGGGTGCTGGATTAAGAAATCCTGCCCTCTGACCCGGCCCTACCCAATTGCATACATGTATCATATGTACGTCAAAACGCAGGGTTTTTCCGTGTCGACCCAAGTATTTGGTGCACGGCTTTATATTCTCAATTGTTCTCCGGGAATATACACAGTGATAAAGTGATAAAGTAAAACAGAGAACATGTTCACATGTACTCTTGCACACACACGCACACACACACACACACACACACACACACACCTGAAAATTGGCAGGACACTACTCCTTGCTTAAATAAGAAAGTATGGTTGACTGCCGTTGTCTCCTGGACAACATTGACCAGACTGGCCTAGCCTGGCCTGGCAAGGAGTGCACCTGTACGGTACGCGATTTACGACTGCCGGATTATGAAATCAAACTACGTGCAGTTTGAGCGATTCGTTTCAAAAAGTCACTGCCGGAGGCGGAATTCAAGTGCCGGATTAAGATGTAGGAATTGAACGAAAAAAATCGGTTTCGTCAGAAAGTGCGCCGGTTGGCAAGGGTTCCGGATAAACAAGTGCCGGATTAGAGAGGGACGACTGTACCAGGCTGGTCGCTAGTCACGGTGGTCTTTAGTTTCAGGTTTTACTGTAGTACCAGGCTGGTCGCTAGTCACGGTGGTCTTTAGTTACAGGTTTTACTGTAGGACCAGGCTGGTCGCTAGTCACGGTGGTCTTTAGTTACAGGTTTTACTGTAGTACCAGGCTGGTCGCTAGTCACGGTGGTCTTTAGTTTCAGGTTTTACTGTAGTACCAGGCTGGTCGCTAGTCACGGTGGTCTTTAGTTACAGGGTTTACTGTATCGCAATGTGAGCCGCACCAATTTTTTGGGTGGATAACTGGCATTTAAAGTGCGTCTTCTGCTCCGGATAATACAGTATCATTCTGTCTGATCTTCTTACAATGCCATAGGTCTCGGGATTTCGATCAGTGTCATTACGCGGATCACGCATCGGCTCACTAACGTCCGAAACGCTCCGTAGTATTCAGCGACCGTTCGCCAACCTGCCATCACTGACGTCCTTCGACTCCGACATCGTGGACCAGGCTGATCTTTTCGACCCCGACGATATTGTTTCCATGGATATTGTTCCTGTGGAGAATGCCACCGCCGCCACCGCTCTGAGCGCCAGTGGCGTTGCCACGGCGCTGGATCCCGTAACCATGGCAACACAGGACTCTGCATTGCCGCCGTCCGACACAGCGCAGGATGTAGAGGAGCAGCAGGCTGCAACTGACACCATTGGGGATGGTGACGATGATGATGATGATGATGATGATATGGCAGCCATCTGGAAATGCTTCTCCGAGAAGCTAGAAGAACGGAGTTATCTGAGGTAAGACTCGTCGTCACGACTACTTCGAGTTGAATAGCCTTGAGTCGTTACCGTACTCGCGCGATTAGTGCCCCTAGGCTAGAGAACTATTTGTGTTCGATGTCCATCACAGGTGGGGCACTATTCAAGATAGGGCACTATTCAAGAGAGGGAACTATTCAAGATGGGGCACTATTCAAGATAGGGCACTATTCAAGAGAGGGCACTATTCAAGAGAGGGCACTATTTTTTATCAATGCTGGTACAGTTGCGTCGTCCAGCATAAACAAAGGAAAACAGAGCCTAAAGTGTACTGTAAACTATCACGACTCAACAGAAAGGGCAACAAGAACTGCGATTTTGATCCTGAAAACACCAGTGCAATGATACGGCCGAAAACATCAGCAAAAGAACACCAAACTTGCACATACACTTGGTTTCAAGCCGGGGGAGGGGGGGGGGGGGGGGCACTATTCAAGAGAGGGCTTTATTTTTTCACTGGCTCTTAGAGACTGGGGCACTACTCGACAGGGGGCTCTAATCGCGCGAGAACGGTATAATTATATTGACTTGATGCTGTAGCTTCCAAAGCGTAGTAGGTTCATCTCGCTCGGACTAGCATTGGGCGACAGCAACCAAACGTAGGCGTAGTGTGTGGTGACCACCTTGTGAAGACTGCATGCCAACTTGCCAGATCTTTTCTCTTAAAATAGTGTACAATTTATTTTACTCGTGGGGGAGGCTGAGCCAAATTTTTTGGAAATTTAGAGCCCAAATCAGGGCATTTTATTGATGCATGGGGTACCTGGGGCAAATAGTGGTACGGTCAATACCGTAGTGACCGTACCGTGTGCGACGCCCCTGAATCATGCTTCAAGGAAGTACATCCATGCATATCTTGAAGTGCATTTCTTCAACTGAACAGAATTTCTTGGGCCCTGGCACTCCTTAGAGAATGTGAATAGAAAGTCACAGAGTTTTCGTTCCCGGAGGAGTACTAGTACATGATTGCATGCCTACATGTAGACCATGAGGCTCTACAAACGCTCAGTGAGTGGCCTCGGCAGTGAGTGGCCTCGGCAGTGAGCCGTGCCAAGGTGAAAGTTAGATGTAACGTGTAGATCTTGTCTCACTGCTGGTGCATGCGCTCGCTGCTGGTGCCTGGACTCACTGCTGATGCCTGCACTCGCTGCTGATGCCTGCACTCGCTGCTGGTGCCTGCGATAGTCACACTAGGCAGGACCGAGGGAAGCAGTTTTTGATTTGTCCAGCCATATCCTAGTCTTTCATACAGTGTCATGTGTGTGATATGGAGGGTATACACATGACTTTCATACAGTTTGTGTATGATATGGAGGGTAGTCACATGACTTTCATACAGTGTGTGTATGATATGGAGGGTAGTCACATGACTTTCATACAGTGTGTGTATGATATGGAGGGTAGTCACATGACTTTCATACAGTTTGTGTATGATATGGAGGGTAGTCACATGACTTTCATACAGTTTGTGTATGATATGGAGGGTAGTCACATGACCTCCTCAGCAGTAAACACACGTTGCTGGCCAAGAAGTTGGTCCGACCGTGGCCTGAGCACCCAGACTGGTTCCGCGGGGCCTGCTATGATAAAGACAGGTTTCGGACTGTGCCGCTGTCTCCAACTGATGATGTCCACGCTGTTCATGTTGCTTGCTTTGTGTTTTGCTTCTCGCCAGGACGTTCTTTGAGCACTTGAACTTCCGAACACTGTCGTTCAAGAAGGACTTCATGACGGAAAGTGTTAGTGTCACGAGGATATACTGCGATAACTGCATCATGTGTGTGTGTGTGCGTGTTTGTGTGCGCGTGTGTGTGTGTGTGTGTGTGGGGGGGGGGGGGGGGTAAGAAAAATGAAAAAGACCAAAAGTAGAGATTCATTGGCCAGAAAAAGCCACTTCAAATAGCTGTGTGATGTAGACCAGGCTGAATAGTGGCGGTCAATTCTTCAGCCTTGCAAGCTGCTTTAGAAGTGGTGCAATCCCAGCACAAGTTGCTATGGCTTCTACCGTAGCATCGACGGGCGTCAAAAGGTCAAAGGCGTGTGTGTGTGGTGGATGGGGGGGGGGGGGGCATACTGTCGTCCTCCATTTTCAAAGCTTCATTCACTGCCCCGGTGTACAAATTGCGTTTGCTAGGATTAGCTGCAACCTCAGCAGATACTGTACCAGCGGAAACTTAAGAATTTCATCCAACTTCGAAAGAGGGAGTTCCTCCAGGGACTACGGAACGTCACAGTACTGAAAAGCTGGACAAATGGGCGGACGAAAATAATTCCCGGCGACTAGTTCTACTTATGCGCAGTACACAGCAACTCTGTTGTGTGCCGGGATGGGTTGGTGGCAATGCAAGCAGTGTGGTGCAGTGCAGTCGACCTCATGAATAGAATTGACCCAGAAACATGGTGTCCTAGTATCACCACACATGCACACATGGTGTCCTAGTATCACCACACATGCACACCACTCTGTGCTCTTAGGTGCGGCGCTACGTTATTCAAATTTCCCCGGCCTGGTCTGTAGCAGCTACCCAGCAGATGATGCCTAGATGCCAGTCTGCTGTAGGTACGTGCAGGGCGCGGACCGTGGCTTTTCTTGTGAGGTGATTGCTCAACAAGATAGATCCTGCTAACAACTGTGCGTTGTTTCGTTCGTTTTGGTTCTGATCTCGTGCGTTTGTTTCATCAGTACAACAAGATGCCGGACGATACGTTTGAGCTGAACATCATCATCTACTCCCTTGTCATCCTGACCAGCATCACAGTTATACGCCTTGGTGTTGTCACGTGACTACAGTCTGTTATACCGTAAAGTCTTGTATAAAAGCCGCACTTGAATAGAAGCCGCCTTCGAATAGAAGCCGCAATTTTGGGCCCATCAAATCACACATAAGCCTGGTTTTAGTGTTGACATACATAGAAATACCTGTCCTGTATAGAAGCCTGTCTCATATAGAAGCCTGCAAAATTTCACCAAGAAAGTCATAGAAGCCGCGGCTTTTATACAAGACTTTACGGTACGCCTTGGTGTTGTAGTGTGAGTGCAGTCTGTTATACGCCTTGATATTGTAATGTGAGTATGGGCTGCTATATGCCTTGATATTGTAATGTGAGTGCAGTCTGTTTTACGGCGTGGTGTCATTTCATGAGTTTAGTTTGCTGGTGTCTTTTTATGAGTAGATCAGGGCGAGGAATCAGCGTTTTACCTTGCGTCGTTCGTATTTTTCATGTGCTTTGGCGAAAATACTCCTGTCTCTAAAATCGCTAAAATATCACTGTTGCTAAAATTTGCCGTTTTGCAGTATGTTAGACTATGTTGTCATGACGATGTCACACTTTCTGCCGCTGCATAGGTCCACGTTGATTCGTCTGGTTGGCTGGCTAGCCTTGGGCCCAGCTGTTATCGTTGTTGCGGCCCTCGTTTGGTCACGCTTCTGCGAGTGTGTGAAACAGGTGAGCTGCTGCTGCTGCTCTGGTGCTCTGTTGCTCTGCTGCTCTGTTGCTAGTGTATTCATCTACCGTAATGTTGCGTATAAAAGCAGGTGCTTGCGGCCGTATAAGCCGGGGTTCGAACCGTACTACTATTGAAGGCATGCTTCTACTCAAAACATGCTGCTACGTCAATATCATCAGGCCACACTGTGCAGTGCATACTGCCACGCGTGGTCTTGCACATGTACCTTGCAGAAAGCGGCTTCTATTCAAATCGTGCTTCTGCGTCACAACACGCGTCGCAAAATCGGCTTCTATTCGAGTCATGCTTTTGTACGTGACACTACAGTATTCACCGTACTTCCCTCCGATGATTAAAGTCGCATCTTTTACAGTAAACTTCAAGGGTAAAAACAGGGGGTGCGACTTACAATCGAGCATGACCTACTACTGAAGTCAATAAATTGAAACGAAACGATAAAACATTGTGAAAAAGAGGTTGGTGCGACTGCGGCGATGCTTAGGGCGTTGTGTGTTGCTCCCTACATGGGAGCTCGCGCTTTCCTACCGACTTGAATTCACTTGACTGACTCGCGACTGCCATCCAGAGCACACGAGAAGTCCGTCGAACCTTCCACTCGGCAAACCTGCAAGAAATCACCACTCCCTGCTCAACACACAGTGTTTTGTGTAAAACATGCACCTGAAAATGAGTATACCACTTACAATCAAGTCAGACTTACAGTCATGGAAATACGGTTCTTGAACTCGTTGCCTAGACAGTATAAAGCACGACTATCAAGAGGGACGAACACTTCATGCCAAGTCAATTTACCCTATTCCCCGGAATATAAGCGCTTGTAATTAACCCAAGAAAAGTCTGTTCGGTTTATACTATGATAATCAAGTGAATAGTGATATATACAGGGTGGATGTATGTATTTCATGACAATCTGGTCCAGCTTAGAAGGTGACAGAACTGTTTTCGTTGTGTTTTGTTTTGGCATTGCTGCTCACGCGGCAATGCAGTGGCAATCAGGCAGACTGAGGTTGTACTATGGGTGAGTGTGGTGTGCGCATGCGTGTGTCAGGATGAGCTTTTCTTTCATCCTCCTGGATGGTTACCAACAGCCAGTGCATGCCGGAGTATGTGGTGTGATGTTAGTGGGGGGGGGAAAAAATGACCAAAAAGTAGGGATACACTGGCCAGAAAACGCCACTTCATAGCTGTGTAGTGTTGACCAGGCTGCATAAATAATAAAATAAATTTCACGGTTCGCGTGAGACTCGGCTAGAAGCCGAGTTTTCCGCATCCGCCATGGGAACGCCACCACCCTCTAGGATCAAAGGCGCAGATGCAGCGTCAAAACGGTGGGAGGTGAGTAGATCAGACCCACCACCAAGTGGTCAAAGACCGAAATCCCATTAGCTGCATCCATGTTACCCTCATGCCAGGCCACGAGTTCCCCTGGCAATTAACTGTGGGTCGCAGCACGGCTGGAAAAATTCCTTCCGCTTCCAAGCAGGACTTGAACCTGGTACCCTCTGTTTCTCAATCATGGTCTTAGACCATCCCACTATGTCTGCCTGCTTTCAGGCTGAATAGTGGCGGTCAAGTCTTCAGCCTTGCAAGCTGTCGAATGGTGCAATCGCAGCACAAGTTGCTATGGCATCTGCTGTAGCATCGCTATCATCGCCTCCGGATGGGCGCAAAATGGTCAAATGGTGTGTTTGTGTGTGTGTGTGTGTGTGTGTGTGTGTGCGTGTGCGTGTGCGTGTGCGTGTGCGTGTGCGTGTGCGTGTGTCCCATATGGTGCAGTGGTATGTGCAGTCGATTTCCAATCGAGAGGTTGCGGGTTCAATTCCCGACGATTAGGCCACCCTTTGTTAATTCATTGTTTAACGTTCTTTTTTTCGCGAAAAGGTACGCGGGAGGGCGGAAAAAAAACAAAAGCCCATTCCAAAAACTGGAAACCCCAATCAAACATTTTGACCAGTAAAGCATGTGATATATACAATATTTCCGGATCTAAGGCCGCGGTCACACCAAACAAGCCGTTTCCCGCTTGCGCTGAAAGTGGCTTGTGCTGAATGGGGCGGTTGGTCACACCACTTCGCGAAATCGGCTGGATTTTTTTGTGTGCTAGAGTTTTTTTCTTCCCGCTCATTTTTGAATATGATTTTCTCTTGTTGTCCTGTCCGCCTTTTCCAGCACACTTCTTCAGTTCGTCCAAGATCCACGCTCTCTTTCTGGTATTTTTTTCATAGTGGTCTCATACTTGGTTTTTGTTTCAAACCAAAACTCCAGTAGTCGCCGCTCCAGTGCTACTGTCCAGGATTCCATGATGACCGACAAAAAGGCAAGGAGAGAAGTTTCACCAACAACGAAAGCCGGAAGGTGGCAGAACACGATGCAAGCTGGAAGATCCTGGCGAGCTGAAATTCGCTCCTCAAGGCGCTCGACTCGAGCCAGCAGGGGGTGCAGGGCCGTCGACACGGCCGCCGTAACGGAACGTGGATTTAGGCCAGTTGTGAGTAAGCTGGCCGGCTGGGGAACGGCGGACGGGATATCGTCCTGCTCCGCACAGGCATTGCCGGAACGATCCGCACGGGCATTGCCGGAACGATCGGCCGCATGGTCCGCAGGGCTAGGGGCTCGATTTGGAGTGTCGGCATACGGGGACGACGAGGTGCGCCTGCGACTGGAATGCCTGGGCCCGGGAGCCGACTGCTTACGTGCACGGGGCATCTCCGTGAGCTGTGGTAAACCTTGAGATCGATTGAGGTTGAGAAAGAAATCCACTGCCAATGCGGACAAAGCAAGAACTGAACGAGTTTATTTTTCCCGCCACTGCGCCAGAATGGCTGAAAGTGGCTGAATCCATTCAGCGCTCCCATTCAGCGCTTTGAAAACGGCTGACTGCTGAAAAAGGCTGAAGCCGAAAATTCAGCCGTTTCCGTAGCGACGATGACGTCAAAAAGCGCTTTTTTCCGCTGAATGGCTGAATCGCGCTTGGTGTGACCGCGGCCTAACGGCACTTGCAGGCATAGAACAACACTCTTCGATGGTACATTGGAGCACATGCCTGATGAATCCAACAAAACAGGTACATGTACATGTACATAGCATGGAGTTAGCATGTCATGAATTCATTACATCTGGATTTTTACTAGGACACACACCGTACGATATTTAAAAGCCAACAAAAAAAGAAAAAGAACACAAGACAAAGGCATGCCCGGGAGGCAAGATTATAAGTTCAGACATGACACGTGCTTGTTGCCAGGCCACAGCCAATGAGCGGCCAGAATAAGCGGGCAAGATCAGTCGATCTTGCCCGCTTATTCTGTACGCGATACGGTACAACTGCTGTTCTTGCCCGCATATCCGGGCAAGAACAGCAGTCATACAGCACCGCGCCGCACATGCGTACTTACCATTTTTTCGAAGTCCTTGCCTTGGTCAACATCTCCGACGAGCTCTTCAAAATTTGTCTCGCTTCTCCAAAATAATTACTCACTACTGTCTTGAACGTCTTGAACGTCTGTAGGGAGGCCAGAAACGCCATCCGACCTTGCAGCTGGGCATGTTGCTCGGCGAAACGCACGTAAGGGAAGCAGACCTCAACAAGTGTAGCTTCTCAGCACTAGCATTCGAACCTTACTCTGACAATCATCAATCTTACTCGGAGAACGGGTTTATATTACTGGTACTACTAACGTTACTACTGCCTTCAGTCGGCTTCACTGTACTTGAATACTTTCATCTCAAAAGTGGAAAGTCCTGACCAAACAAATAGCTGTTTATGATGGACATTGCACACAATGTGACTAGGGTGACATTGCGGCATTTTGCCAAGGCTTTTTTTCTCTTTGAACATCTCCATATATGTGGGCCTTGTCTGAACCGCAATCCTACACATTTGCATCGGGCATGACGCTCTGATCAGGCCCTCGGTCATGTGAGTGATCTTGCCCGCGGTCGCGACGCCCTCGGGGCTACGCCCCTTGGGCGTCGCGACCTCGGGCAAGATCACTCACAGACCTCGGGCCTGATCAGAGCGTCATGCCCTCGCAACTGTGTAGGATTATGTATTTTAAGGTCATGATCGGCACACTGCACTGCACTGTAGCTCAGTGCACTGTGAAACTACACAATCATGTATTTACAACTTACTTCACATATTATTGGTACTACTACTTTATAATAGCTATAAAGAGAACAAATTCTGCTGTCATCGCCACACTACAACGAAGTCATGAAGGTTTACCAAAATCGATTTTCTTGTCACAATCATCAGTGGAAAGCCGTGACTAAAGAATAACCATGCCAAATCAATAATTTATATACATTTAGTAAATGTGTTACGAGAACAAAACAAAGTGCTAAAAATAGAATGAGGGAAGGTGAGACAATAGAAGTAAAGTGAGAGCTAAGTGCAACAGGGGTGAGGAACTAATTGCAACGCTAGAACTGTGTAGTTAGACAAACAATCATGCTGTGCACCTACGAAAACAATCTTAACGCAACTACATGTTTCTTCTGCTTACAAAGATCAGGCTTATGCAAACGAATACAAACAGCCTCAAGTACTTTCAACTGACTAGCGTACCGTGCACGACAAAGAACAGAAAAACTAAAATCATCATACACCTGCAGACACTTAGGGTGAGACAACAGATGAAGAAAAACGGCAGACTTCTTACGATCACAATCACCATCCGATTCCTCGTCTCCACCAACCGCAACCTCGTCCCCCGTCTCATCTTCCAACTCGTCCTCAGTGTCGTCCTCCGTGACAAGAAAATCGATTTTGGTAAACCTTCATGACTTTGTTGTAGTGTGGCGATGACAGCAGAATTTGTTCTCTTTATAGCTATTATAAAATTGTTGTCTCCGCGTCGATTATTTACTACTACTTTCTTGTTTTTTTCCGGTCGGAGGCAAAAAGGTACGCGGGCGCGGACGTTAAACAACGAAAAAAGAAAGGGTGGCCTTATGGTCGCACACGTCACGGCTTTCTTCTCTTTCTCAGACTCTTCCTGACTTTTCTTTCATTCTCCTGGGTGGTTACCAACAGCCAGTGTATGCCGGAGTATGTGGTGTGGTGTGTGTGTGTGTAGAAAAATGAAAAATAGGGATTCACTGGCCAGAAAAAGTCACTTCAAACAGCTGTGTGGTGGATACCAGGCTAAAAATAGTGGCGGTCAATTCATCAGCCTTGCAAGCTGTTGAATGGTGTAATCCCAGCACAAGTTGCTATGTCTAACATAGCTGTTCGCTATCATCGCTTCCGCGATGGGCACGTCTGAGGTCTGAGGTGTATGTGTCTCTGTCTGTCTGTCTGTCTCTCTGTCTGTCTCTCTGTCTGTCTGTGTGCATGCGTGTGTGTGTATCTGCAGAGAACACAGGCAATTATCAAACGTATCCGAGCGGCACGCACAGCGCGCACTGTCATCACTCTGCTTGCATACTTCGTTCTCCACATCATTGTCAACCTGGGAATGGTAAGCCATACCACCACCTTCATACAGTCAGTCTCCACTGTATGTACAGTACAGTACAGTACAGTACAGTACATACAGTGGAGACTGTACTGTACTCAGGGGCGTCGGAACCGGTGCGGCAGGTGCGGCTAAAGCCGCACCAATAATTTTGGAAGTTTTTTTTTTTTTTTTTTTTTTTTTTTTTTACATTTTCAACCTTGTTGATGGCTTGTCGACTCTTGTACAGGTACCATGTTTTACATCGACAATGCGGTGTGTCATCAGCATGCATATTCATATTTCTCATAATATTCGGTAGCATTAAAAATATGGCCTTTTAGGCCCAATTTTCAAAAAAAATCCCGGGGGAGGACCCCCGGACCCCCCTCTCACACTTTCGCCGCACCAATGTTAAACTGCTTCCGACGCCCCTGGTACTGTACTGTACTTTACTGTACTGTACTGTACTGTGTCGGATGCCGAAGAACTGGGGGATCAGCCTCCTAGCCTGCACTGTTCTTACTGTATTGTACTGTACTGTACTGTACTGTACTGTACTGTACTGTACTGTACTGTACTGTACTGTACTGTACTGTACTGTACTGTACTGTACTGTAGTGTACTGTAGTCTATGCACTATTGAGAAACCGTATACAGTCAAACCTGTGACTAACGACCACCCCTTGGGGCCAGAAAAAGCGGTCTTTAGTGACAGGTGGTCCTTAGTTAGAGGTCTGCACCGTACAACCATCTAGGGATGTGAGACCGTCCGTGCCTGGCGAAGTGGTCTGTAGTACCAGGCTGGTCGCTAGTCACGGTGGTCTTTAGTTACAGGTTTTACTGTAGTACCAGGCTGGTCGCTAGTCACGGTGGTCTTTAGTTACAGGTTTTACTGTAGTACCAGGCTGGTCGCTAGTCACGGTGGTCTTTAGTTACAGGTTTTACTGTAGGACCAGGCTGGTCGCTCTTGGTTAAATCGTAGCCTGTTCGTTCTTCGGCACACCGTTCTTCGGCACACCGTTCTTCGGCACACCGTTCTTCGGCACACCGCTCTTCGGCACACCGTTCTTCGGCACACCGCTCTTCGGCACACCGCTCTTCGGCACACCGCTCTTCGGCACACCGCTCTTCGGCACACCGCTCTTCAGCGCCCGACAGCACTGTACATGAATCATACAATGCATCCATGATGCATGGTGACCTAAACATAACACTTCGCCATGGGATCGACCTCTATTTATTGTCCTTATGCAGCATGGGATCAGCCTTATGCAGCATGGGATCGGCCTTATGCAGCATGGGATCGGCCTTATGCAGCATGATGGGATCGGCCTCATGCAGCATGGGGTGCAGCATGGGATGAGGAGCTGTTCACTCTGGTGTTGTACTCTTGATGATAGCCAGGGACGTAGCTGGCCTCCTTTTAAGGGGGGGGGGGGGGGGGGGTACGGTTTCTCAACCGAGAGGAAGGCCCGCGACATCATGGATTTCTAACATTAAAAGTTGGACGGGTCTTCCCTAGGCCCTTGCATGCTCTCTCTCATGCAGCACACGATAGAGTTGGATTCAGAGACATCATTCACAATTCTCTCGCTGATTAATGCCTCTACGATCACCTTGTGATTATGAGTTATACATACATACATACATACATACATACATACATACATACGGCCGCATACATTGTATGTGTAGCATGGCTGGTGCATGTCATTCAGGGTCATTATGTGCATGCTGAACCTACAGTCCATTTCAAAACTATAGACGCGTACCTAGGCAAAAACCGTTATGCCAGCATCTATACCACATAAAATCTGTGATCACTTGTGCATAATTTTTTCCAAATTGGGCGTCTGTTATCCAATCATTTAGAAACTATATGAGAGTAATTGTGGAGCGGTCCTGAGCAATATTCCGAAAACTATTCTCAAAAAGTTGGTATTGGTATTGATTTATTTGAATTCGGTATCTCAACAGTACATTGTACAACTTGGGAAGATCCAAATGACATAGATACATAAACATAAAAGTGGAAGTTCCAGCCAAATTTGAAATATTTCAAAAACCCTACGCGTCTATAGTTTTGAAATGGACTGTAGATCGAAATTTTTAGGGGGTGCACGTGCCAAAAAAGCTTCAAGGTTTGACCCATTCACGGCCAAAAGCTAGGAGTTCATATTTTTATGAATGGACCAAGTCGCGGTATACCGGTAGTAATCAATTAAGAAAAAAAGAAATGTCCTCCCCGGCCGGGAATCGAACCCGGGTCTTCCGCGTGACAGGCGGAGATACTTACCACTATACTACCGAGGATTGACTGGCAACCTGGGCAGAGATTGTCGAATTTATCCACGTTTTTGGCAAGCGCACTTAATGGCCTGAAAACGTCTGGCCAACTGCGGGCGGTTTGAGCAGTTCGGCAGTAGGTATGCCTTGGATAGGATTTTGCATTATGTGTGGTGATGGTTGCGAGTTTCTCCTGCAGTGCATTGTACAGTAGCTGCTACTTCAGCTCCTGGCATATTGCTCGGATCAGCACTGTTTGCTTCTCTTCTTCATGTGTGTGTGTGTGTGTGTGTGTGTGTGTGTGTGTGTGTGTGTGTGTGTGTGTGTGTGTGTGTGTGTGTGCGTGTGCGTGTGCGCGTGCGCGTGTGCGTGTGCGTGTGCGTGTGCGTGTGCGTGTGCGTGTGCGTGTGCGTGTGTGTGTGTGTGTGTGTGTGTGTGTGTGTGTGTGTGTGTGTGTGTGTGCGCGGGTGCCAGCTAGTTCGGTTGGTGGGTACACTTATGCCGGATAGTGTTGGGTCTGTTGCCAACGGGCTCGGCTGCTTGAAGGTGTAATGTTGTACCTACCACCTTTGTTGGTTTCAGGGTTCATCTACTTTCTTTTTGAAGTATACATACCTGTTAACCATGGACTGCTTCTGGCTAGATTAACTCTTGTGTAATCAATGGTGCTAGTGAAGCTTATATCAGATTCACTCTGATTTAGCCACTCACACTAGTAGCAAGTATTACCTTCACTGGGGGCAGGGGTAACTGCAGTTGGATCCTGGGACGAATACCCTGATGCCGTCAATCCTTTTTCTGCACCTTGTCCTCACCCACTTACTGAGGTGTGGTGAGCCCATAAGTGGGATCATTTCAAGTCCACCCAGAATTTTGGGGATTTCAGGGGGTGTCGGCCGTTGGGCGGTTCAATAGCCAATTGAGTCATCTTTCCAAGATTCCTTTTGAGTCTCTCTCCCCTCTCCCGGGGAGACCCACGTGACCAGTTTTGGCAGTGAGCAACAAGTACAAGTTCCTGTGTGTGTGTGTGCATGTGAGTGTGTATGCGCGGATGTGCATGATTGTGCATATTGCGTGTGTGCGTGTGTGTGTGTGTGTGTGTGTGTGTGTGTGTGTGTGTGTGTGTGTGTGTGTGTGTGTGTGTGTGTGTGTGTGTATATGTATGTTCTGGTAGGTTGTTTGTGGAGAGCTGGCTAACCAACCCCATTCTATCATCATGCATAACTGCACTGCGCGCACCATCACCGCCGACACCACACCGTCCACTACCTACATCATACAGTGTGTTCTCGTTGACAAGAGTGTTGTTATCCTAATGGATACTACACGATGCTTTACCAACGAGAGCATTCCGGTCATTTCCTCCGCCCCGATTTCATCCGCACCAGCCACCATGTCATCAGACTCATCACACAATATCACAACACCACCGCCGAACTGGACGTTATCCACAAACAGTTCACTGTTGCGCAATACTACGCAACCACACGGCTATGCGTATACATGCAACGTTAGTAGTGAGGACGCTGGCGGCTTTCTGCCCATACCCACACGACCGCAAGAGAACAGATGCGACTTCCCACACGTAAGTCCACTTGTCCCCATGTTTGCCAAGCCATGTCTCCGTCTCCGTCCATGTGTCTCCTTAGGGCGTGTTCAGACTACCGATAAAAAGTGACGGAACGGGAAAGTCGCCAAGGTGATTTGATCACGTGACGTTACTAGCACGTTACCGGTGGAAAAGTTTTACTGCCGCGGCTGCTGCGGCAGTAAAAGATTTCGGGCAGTAAAAAAGGTGCTCAGGCTGCATGCGTGCTGGGGAAAAAGGGAAAATCCCTTTTCAGTGCCACGGTGAGAGCTGCAAAACTTCACGGTAACGTTTGTTATCGGTAGTGTGAATGTCCATCACGGTTTATCGGCGTTCACGGTTTGACGGGATTCAGGGTAGTCTGAACGCGCCCTTATGCACACCATTCTAGGTTGTGCTGTGAAAGAAAAGGGAGATTGTTGGGCTAGGGGCGTCGGAAGGAAATTTAGTGTGGTAGGGTCAGTCATCTGAGGTACAATTTACTCGTTGGGAGGAGGGGTGGCTCCTCTGAAAAATTGCAAAATTTACTGTAGAGGCAGAAAATTTCGTCGGTCAATAATTTCGTCCAACTCCAAAGAAAGGGAGTTTGTCCGGTTGAAAATTTTGTCCATGGATCATAAGAGTGTATGGAAAAGCTGGACACATCGACATTAGTCCGGCATTTAATTTAGTCCAAAAGCTCATTGGACGAAAAAGACAAAATTTAATTCCAGACGAATATTTTCTCCTTATACAGCCCAAATCAGGCAGTGCATTTGATTGATACATTATAGTACCCGGGGCAAAGAGTGGTGAGGTCAATACCATAGTGGCCGTAGCGTGTCCAAAGCCCATGTGGCCTCTACCATTCCGGGTACACTTTCTCTGTACTGTATAAGCAGAAATATTCGTCTGGAATTTCATTTCGTTTTTTTCGTCCAAGGAGCTTTTGGACTAAATTAAATGCCGGACTAATGTCGATTTGACCAGCTTTTCAATACACTCTTATGATCGATGGACGGAATTTTCAACCGGACGAACTCCTTTTCTTTAGAGTTGGACGAAATTATTGACCGACGAAAATTTCTGCCTCTACAGTAATTGCTGTTGCCATCCTAACATTTACTGGGGGTGATGGGAAGGTTCTATTTATGCCGATCCGTGATTTTGTAACTTGCTGCCAAGAAGAGTTTGTTGTGCTGTGCTGCTGATGGGTATTGTATGACTGGGCATTGTCAGGGAGAGAAAAACAGGATGGTCGGGGTCAAAACAGCATGGAAGCATTAAGAGGGGGAGAGAGAGGACCTGGTACTAAGCCACATTAGAATTTGGCAAATGTATCCTTGCATTAATAGTCTAGTAAAGTCCCATTCAGGACCTGACTGCTTCAGTGTCTGTCTGTCTGTCTGTCTGTCTGTCTGTCTGTCTGTCTGTCTGTCTGTCTGTCTGTCTGTCTGTCTGTCTGTCCACATATCTGGATGTATGTCTGTCTGTCTGTCTGTCCACATATCTGGATGTCTGTCTGTCTGTCTGTCTGTCTGTCTGTCCATCTGTCTGTCTGTCTGTCTGGTCTATCTGTCTGTCCGTCTTCATGTATGTGCGTGTTCGTCTGTTTGTCTGTCATGTATGTTCACGTGTGCACAGCTTGTCCTGCAGGCTGAGATGTTTGCCCTGGTTGGTATGCTGATGCTATTTCGCACACGCTTCCTCTACCTGATATTCGTTGTCATAGCGCTGGCTATAGTGCCGGTTATATTCACCTGGACATTATTCAAGCTACCGTTCACAGACACGCACTTCTACTGGATTGGAGTATCCAACGGGTAAGTCTTCAAGATTCAGGAGAGCTGCCTTCTCTCAAAACTAAAATCAGCGTGCTTTTATAAATGCTCCCACACATACCAACTCTATCTCCCTCTCCTGGTTTTACTCAATCTCTCGACACTCCTCACCCCCCCCCCCCCCCCCCCCCCCCTCTCCCCCTCCCAGTGTTCCGTCACACTCACGTTTTCATGCACTCTTTTTCCTCCTCCTCCTCGTCCTCCTCCTCCTCCTCCTCCTCCTCCTCCTCCTCTCTCCCTCTCTCTCTCTCTCTCTCTCTCTCTCTCTCTCTCTCTCTCTCTCTCTTTTTTTCTCTCTCTCTCTCTCTCTCTCTCTCTCTCTCTCTCTCTCTCCTCTCTCTCTCTCTCTCTCTCTCTCTCTCTTGTTGTCTTGATACAGCATCGACTTGCCGGTGTATTTCGGTGATTTCAGTATATTCCTGGCTGTGGTGGCTGTCTTGGTTGTCTTCACACATGCCAGATCCGTAAGTACAGGAGCGTGTTGTGCTGTACGGTGCTGTACGCCTTTCGTTTTCGCCATCCGAAGAAACTTGTTTTTTTACCGATTTCCAGCGTAAATCATGCATACATACACTATGTGTGTTCGACTATCTGGTTCCCTTGCCTCTCCGGATACTTTTTGTGGAAAACGATGTGTGCGGTTAAGCGAGGTGTGACTGTATCCTTGATATCCACAGCAAGGGAATGCAATCATTTAAAATGAACGTATATTGCCATCTAAGCACGAACTGGCCCTGGGCAGTCGACTCGCTATGATGCTGCTCTCGTCTACATAGTATCATAGTTTGTTCCGCACACTCGCAGGTGCTAAGCCTTGCTTTCTCTCATCGTACAGTTCTATCTTTTTGTTTCTTTTTGGCGCGTGTTTTTGGCCATGATGCCGAGACCTCAGGTCGGCAGAGCCATCAATGCCCCACCATCACTGCTGCGTCTCGGTGCAGCGCCTGCTCATTATTTGTCGCGGTTGGCCTTGTTCTCCGTACCATTGTCATTCATTATTCTTTTCAAGCTGGGTATGTGAACATAGTAAAATAATAATAATAATGACAGTTCGCATATCACTCATTGCATGAGGTCAACGCATCTGTTGACAATTTCGAGAGAGAAAATAGTAAAAATAAAAATATAAATCAAATGCTGACTCTCTACTTCCGCTTTCTCTTATCACTGTGTACAGATGGAGATCATGCTGAAGATTAACCATATATGGAACCAAGAGGTACAGTGCTGTACAACTTCATCCCGATGATGTCTGTGGCAGTTTCCTAGAATGCATGATGTCATTGTGATGTCATGGGAATAAATTATTATGGTGATGTAATGGATGATGTCATTGTATAGTTGCCAGTGTACACGCTCACTGCTTTATGTCTGTGTTTCTTCCAGCACATGTGTGTGTGTGTGTGCGTGCGTGCGTGCATGTATGTGTATGTGTATGTGCGTGTATGCAGTTCTCCCGCAGCACGCGTCAGAACAAACAGCTACGCCAGGCCAATGTATATCTACTGCACAACATTCTTCCGAAACACGTTGCAAAGCATTTCCTGTCTCAGAAAACACGCAGCACTGTAAGTAGACACTAGACAGTCAGAATGATGAGAGTACACGTGTTGTGTCACCTATCATGCGCCAGTCATGACTATGGGTGCTGTCCCGACAGAATTTCAAGTTGACGTCATTTTTATGATGCAATGCGCAGTGCGCACTGTACACGGACTACTGTAAAAGCCATTATTCTAACGAGGCGCATATATAACGATTTCCCAAAATTGACTAGTTTACGTGTACCAAAGGTAACGATTCTCACTCATTCTCAACGCTCAATAGGACAGTCTATGTATCGATTTCTGTATATCGATTTCTATTTTAACGACAGATTTCTCCTCGTTAACTCGTTAGAGTTAGCACTTCGTTATATTATATGGCTTTTACAGTATCAGACGAATCCGGAACCTGTGGTGGACCAAAGCCCATCTGATCCTGTACGAATTATTGCAAAGAAAAACGTGTGATGCGTTGACACCCGTACGTATGTTGTAAATCACTGGTGCAGGGAGCAGTGCATCATAGATTATGACGTCAACTTGAATTCTGTCGGCACAGCAGGGTATAAAAAAATATATATAAAAAGAGTTGGTGGACAAGCGTTGATTATTCACTCTCATTGTAATATCAAAAAGTATTCTTTCTAGACCAAAGAGTGGTATATTTGATAACATTTAATAACGATAGAAATTTTTACGATACTTCTCCAGACGTTTCGTTGTTCTGAACAACATCGTCAGTGGATCCACTGACGATGTTGTTCAGAACAACGAAACGTCTGGAGAAGTATCGTAAAAATTTCTATCGTTATTAAATGTTATCAAATATACCACTCTTTGGTCTAGAAAGAATACTTTTTGATACAGCAGGGTATGTGGGAGTTGCACACTCTCAGGGGGTATGCATGCTCATGCACTCATGCACTCATGCAATCATACACATCTCTCTACAAACACATACTGCAGTGCTGTACATGGGTGGCTGATGTCGGATATGGAGATTGTTCTGTTTTTTTGTTTTTTTTTGTTTTTTTAATGTGTTCCTATCCTGCACGCAGCAACTGTACAGCTGTTACCATGACAACGTGGCCGTCATGTTCTGCGCAATACCGAAGTTCAGCGAGACGTTCTACCAGGAGGTCTCTAGCAATCGTCACGGTATGGAGTGTCTGCGTTTGCTCAACGAAGTCTTCTCCGACTGGGATAAGGTGAGCTGGCCTAGTTAACGTGTTTTTTGGGGGGGGGGGGCATCTTCTTTCTCGCTGCTGCTCGCTGGAATGCTGTACCTGCTGCCAGCTGTGCCGCTACCTCTCGCTTTAGAGTTTGTTCAACCCTTCACAGGTATATAGGTTTTTCCCGGGTACCGAAAGTGAGTACTGATGGAACAGGTCACATGACCTATGGGAGACATCATCACAGAAAATTGTACTATGCAGCACGTGGTGAACATGTCACATGACCTTTTGTAGAACCATGAAAAAGCTCTATACAGTCTACAGTCTGATCACGAACAATTGGGGTGTGGGGTTTTCAACACCGATTGTTTTGGCTTATGTCAGTGAGCCTATTATCAGGGCCGCTCCGATTTGGCAACCCATACTCGTCGCAAAGCCCAAGTGTGCGTGGTTGGCGAAGTGGTTTGAGTATTGGCCTTTCAAACAAGAGGCTGTGGGTCGTATTGCCTGCTTTGCAGGTGACCCGTCTGGGATTGGGTACCTGATTGGGTACCTGACTTTGGTTGGGGAGGCAAAGGTGACGAGAGAGAGGAGGAGACGAGCACCGCACTCACTATGGGAAGCTCATTGAAACAGAAGTTCTCTAAAACTTCTTGCCTCTATGGTCAGAATTGACTATGGGCCACCGTGACCTGTACGTTACTAGTAGCTAATGCTGCTAAGTATAATTTTGTGCTGTGTGTTTGCGTATATGTGTGTGTTTGTGTGTGTTGGCGTGCGTACGTGCGTGTGTGTTGGTGTGTGTGTGTGTGTGTGTGTGTGTGTGTGTGTGTGTGTGTGTGTGTGGTGTTGGCGGGTGTTGGCGGGTGTTGACGGGTGTTGGCGGGTGTTGGCGGGTGTTTGCATGTGTGCGTGTGTACGTATGTATGTACGTATGTGTGTGCTGTGTGTGCAGCTTATGAGCCGCTCGCAATACAGCACTGTGGAGAAGATCAAGACAATCGGACCTACGTACATGCTAGTGGCTGGACTGCATGACCCGACGGGACAGCATTGCGCTGTCAGTGTACTGGCGATGCTGGCTCACGATATGAACGCCGCCATCGACGAAATCAACGCAAATGCCTTCAATAACTTCACGCTGAGAATAGGTGAGTAGATGACTACACGTATATGGATAGCTGGGAAAGCCCCCCCCCCACTGGCTTGACATCAGAGAGGTTCCGCACTACGTAAAGTTGAGCAACTTTACGTTAGTGGGTGGTAAAACCCGTGAATTCGTGAGTTTGCACTCCACTTACGGAAAGTTGTCTACGCAGAGTACGTAGATAGGGCTCTGATAACGTACCTGCTCCGTAAGTGAATTGTGGTACGAATTTATGATTCTCTCCCCAGGTCGATCCGGTCGTACACTGCCGCGTTCGGAGTTGCCAAGGGCAGCTAGTACGTGATTTGAAAACTCCGTATGGCGGAACACAGATCCGCATGCAGTTTACGTAAGACTTTCCGTAGATCGACTACGTTTTTTTACTAACGTAATTACGTTAGGCGGAACCTCTCTATCGGCCCAAAGCCCGCACTGGCTGAGCATTGTCTACCTCCCCTTTTATGTTGCTGGCCAGTGCTTTGTAGTAACAAAAATTAAATAAAGCTATTCTTGTAGTATTCTAGAACTCTCATCACCTTCTATTGCAAGTGAAGAAGAAAATGTTAAATTGAAACAAGGAAAACTGTGGGGCACAAGTTATGCGTGAGAGTCCACTAACTAAACCAGGTTTGGAACAGTCAGACGTGCACAAGGTAGCACAAGACTAACAAGGAGTACTGAGACATTCCACGGCCAGAAAGTGAACTTGAGCACTGCTCGATAGCGCTAACCAACGGCCTTCCAACTTGGAAGGTTCCACCGTTTTCCTTGCTTCAGTTTAATATTTTCCTTGGCTCGCCATCTGAAGAAGAAAATGCTTGGCAATACCCCGTATGTGCATGCGTGTTTGTGCGTTCATGCGTGCGTGTGTGTCCATGTGCATGTGTCCACGTATGCGTGTGTGTGTCCGTGTGTACATGTATTTGTGTGTGCCTGTGTGTGTGTGTCCGTGTGTACATGTATTTGTGTGTGCCTGCGTGTGTATGTATGTGTCTGTGTGTGCATGTTGTTGCACATTATGTTTGTGTTTCGCTACGTTCCCACGACCCTAGGATTGCACACGGGATCGCTGGTGAGTGGTGTCATCGGTGCACGCAAGCCGCTGTTCGATATCTGGGGTGACACGGTCAACCTGGCAAGTCGCATGGAGTCCACCGGGATTAACGGCAAAGTGCAGGTTAGTTGCGAAACACTGGATCACCAGGTAAATTAGTAGCAAATTATTCGTGATCTAATAGGCCTACAGTCCATTTCAAAACTATAGACGCGCAGTGTTTTTGAAATATTTCAAATTTGGCTGCAACTTTTTGAGAATAGTTTTCGGAATATTGCTCAGGTCCGCTCCACAATTACTCTCATATAATTTCTAAACGATTGGATAACAGACGGCCAATTTGGAAAAAATTATGCACAAAGTGATCACAGATTGTATGTGGTATAGATCAGGGAGTCGTAAAATACCCGGGTATTTTACGACTCCCTGGTATAGATGCTGGCATAACGGTTTTTGCCTAGGTACGCGTCTATAGTTTTGAAATGGACTGAAGATGGAGACTGGTAATACAGTCAACTCCACTTATAACGAGCTTGCGTGTAGCGAATTTTGTGATATAGCGAGCCCGAGTCCATGTCCCTGTTTGAACCCATACAAAATTGACCCTCTATAGCGAACAGTTTTCGTTTATAACGAACAAAATCTTGTAGATCTGCATGTAAACCAAGGCAAGTGCAGTTATACTGTCATGGGCCATTTGCCAGTCATGACTTGCTGCTTGTATGGTGTGAGTGCATTTCTGTTATAACGAACGCCGGCTATAAAGAACTAATTCTCCTCTACAGTGGTATTCGTTATATCACTCAGGAGTCGACTGTACATTAAAAATTCAGAGTATATTAATATTAAATCATAACTGATCAGAATGCATGCACACTGCGATCACTATGCCATTGTGCCTGTCTGTCTGTCTGTCTGTCTGTCTGTCTGTCCGTCTGTCCGTCTGTCGGTCCAATTCCCCTCTCTCTCTCTCTCTCTCTCTCTCTCTCTCTCTCTCTCTCTCTCTCTCTCTCTCTCTCCCTTCCCTCCTCCCTCCCTCCCTCCCTCTCTCTCTCTCTCTCTCTCTCTCTCTCTCTCTCTCTCTCTCTCCCTCCCTCCCTCCCTCCCTCCCTCCCCTCCCTCCCTCTCTCTCCTCTCTCTCTCTCTCTCTCTCTCTCTCTCTCTCTCTCTCTCCCTCCCTCCCTCCCTCCCTCCCTCCCTCCCTCCCTCCCTCCCCCCTCCCCCTCTCTCTCTCTCTCTCTCTCTCTCTCTCTCTCTCTCTCTCTCTCTCTCTCTCTCTCTCTCTCTCTCTCTCTCTCTCTCTCTCTCTCTCTCTCTCTCTCTCTCTCTCTCTCTCTCTCTATCTATCTCTCTCTCTCTCTCTCTCTCTCTCTCTCTCTCTCTCTCTCTCTCCCCCCCCTCTCTCTCTCGTCCACAGGTAACTGTACAAACTGGGGATGTGCTTCGTCGCCGTGGTTTCAAGCTGGTCGACCGCGGTGAGATAATGGTCAAAGGCAAGGGCTTGATGAGAACTCAGTTCATCACCGAGTGGCCGAGTGCCAGAGCAACGAGGGATGCTGCAGTGTTGATGACTCAGACGTCGCTCTAGCTAGTCTTGAGGAAACGTCGGCCACGCCAGGGTGCATACATGGTATGGTGTGTACGTGTGCAGGCTACGCTACCATGTCACTGGCTGTAGAGTGACACACTAAACGAAGCCGCCGCAGTAAGAACTACTGAGAACACTTAGAAAGGCGTTGCAACTGCAGTGGGGTTTTCATTCCACTGTCAGCACACTACAGTACTTCCTGGTGTCCGACCCTGGCAGGGTGCTGGCAGGGTGCTGGCAGGGTGCTGGCAGGGTGCTGGCAGGGTGCTGCTGCTGCTGGTGACAGTGACTACGACAGTGCTGGCAACTGAAATCCGACCCCTGGGCGATGAGTACAGATTCTAGCGCTCTCTATTTGGTAGTGTTACAATCCTGTGTTGGGTCTTTGCGATGTGAGTGCACCGCTCGGGGGTCGGATTTCAGTTGCCAGCACTGTATTGTAACAGTGAACATACGTTTTAAATTATTCTTGATTGAAGTTACATGGCTGAGTTTGAAGTGACACGTGAACTTTCCTTTTTTTGTTATCGGACTCTATTTAATGAACTGGTTCCACCTCCTCTGATCCACTGAACTAATTCAATTGATGAACAAACAGGCTGAACGCGGCTGCTGCTTCCGATTCTTTACGTTATTTATTTTGAGATGAGCCAGACCGTGGCAGGAACGATTTTCCGAAATTTAATTCAACTTGAATCCAAGCCAGACAATTTCTGATGGTCAAAATCCAATCCGACTTTATAAGCTTCTTTTTAAATAAGCTGTACACTTTGAGATTCTTATCATTATAACCGTCAGCTTTGGTGCTAGCTCCTCTCTTCCAGACTTACCTGTCTTTATAAATGTAACTCTTCTCTCTCTCTCTGCTGGAATGCACCGTGGAAAGCTCACAGATTGGTCCTTATACTACACAGCATGATCCAATATGTATTCCTCTGTCGAATCCCCCCCCCCCCCCTACACGCGCACAAGCATGTGTGCACACACACACCACCACTACCACCACCATGCATACGCCCATCACAAGAGAAGAACGCAAATCTGCAAATGCACTGGATGTGCACCCACAGATTTTCTCTTATAGCAACGATAGCGAACAAGATCTGAATGAGACAGATCGAGACTTGCGCCAGATAACTGTCCAATCCACACAACTGGCGAAGCCATGTGAATCGACCACCAATGCACACCTGGTCTACACCACACGGAGTACATCGGTATAAAACGGCCAAGACAGTTATCTATGCGCACCCTACACTTGCTGGGGTAATCAGTATAGACAGCACGCTGCTTTGATAGAAGCAGACACTAGATGCACTGGTACACACACACACACACACACACACACACACACACACACACACAAAATGTACCATGCATACGCCCATCGCAAGAGAAGAACGCAAATCTGCAAATGCACTGGATGTGCACCCACAGATTTTCTCTTGTAGCAACGATCGCGGACAAGATCAGATCTGAATGAGACAGATCAAGACGTGCGCCAGATAACTGTCTTATCCACACAACTGGCGAAGCCATGTGAATTGACCACCAATGCACACTACACACTACACACACACACACACAAGCAGCAGCAGCACTGGACACATGATACAGACTTCACAACCCCGCTTACGGGCCGAGCTGTGCCATGCAACATTCAACGAAAGGGCACAAAAGTGACGAAACCACTCATACAGGTACGTGGAAACCCCCAAATGACGCGAAAGAAACAATGAGAAAAAAACTGTACATGTACATGGCTGGCAGTGGATATTCGGCAACAAAAAAAAGCATTGCACTTAGCAACACGATTACCGTGACGCACATCAGAACGGGAACGGACAAAGAAATAGAAAGAAAGAAAAACGAAACAATTCAACTACAGGTACTGTCTCATGACAATTCGCATAAAAAAGAAATGCTCGGATCTACGAATAGCGTAGTTTCCATCCGATGGTGTCTGTATATCAGGGATGCAATTCATAAATCGTGAAGCAGAACTTCATTCGGACACACGCATGAGTGTGTGCGCGGCGGCCCACACAAACACACATGCGTGCAGATCATACACCAAATGCACACACGCCACTACGTATGAGTGCAGGAAAGCAGACAGACATGCATGCAAGAGGAAGAAACACACATACACACACGCACACACACACGCGCGCACACACACACACACGCGCGCGCACACACACACACACGGTCATGGACGGAAGAGGACCGCCGCCCGCTGAGGTGGCGGCTTTGTGAAATCAGCGTAGGTAATATATACTGCCACTGTCAAGAATGTACTACCCGCCACTGTCGCTGACTAGCAGTACTAACAAGCATACACCAGACTGGGGCAGGTACCAAGGCAATCAACGGTGAAAGAGAGTTTGGGCCGTCGCCGTGCACTGCACTGGCTAGCCAGGCTCCGCAACTGCTGCCGGCTACCATGCGAGAAAGCTGACAGCACCGCTCCCCACTCACTCACTCACTCACTCTCTCTCTGTAGTTCTCAAGCCTAGCAGCTAGCAGCAAAGTACATGTAGCCCCAGCATCAATCACACAGAGCTAGCAGACATGCTCACAGCCGACAGTCACTTGTAGCTGGTGATGACGGTGGGTTGCCGACAATGGCTGCAAAGGTGCTGGCCTGCTGCTGCTATCGTCACTGCCCCTCCTGCTGCTGCTATCGTCACTGCCCTCCTGCTGCTTATACTTAGTAGCTACCACGGCCGCCACTGCACATGCACACAAACACAAGCAAGACACAGAGACGTGCATTTACAGTAAGACCCATCAAGGCAACCACTCTGATACGGGGCCATCCGTAAATACCGGTATTTTTTTCGAGATGGCATTTGTTCATTTCACCCCAGACCCCTCAAACCAAACATACACAGATTTATGCAGGGGATCGATTGCGTCTCCCCGGATAACTGGCAAGCACCGAAGAACGCCGCAACAACTAATTACAGTCCTGGGCAGTGAAATCCAGTAGTCGTGTCATTCAAGTTTGCACCTTGCACCATTTCACAGCCCAGAGTTTGCAGGCCTATGGTTACACAACGCCCGGTTCGTACAGAGCTGGCAACTGAAATCCGACTCCTGAGCGGTGCGGCTCACATTCCAAAGACCCAACGCGGGATTGTGACACTACGAAATAGAGAGCGCTAGCGCTCAGGGGTCGGATTTCAGTTCAAAGCACTGCACTTGAGTGACATGACTGGATTTCATTGAGCAGTACACTGCACACTGCACAATGTACAGTACTCTGTCTGCTTACCGATCACCGCCATATCTGTCTCCGCCACCGCCGCCGTAACCACCTCCGCCTCCTCGGTAACCACCACCTCCTCGATAACCACCGCCGCCACGACCACCACCACCGCTATCACCACCTTCACCGGCTGCGTTCAAAAGGCAATGGGGCAAAGAGCAATGGGGAAGTAAGAATGCAGAATGCAGAATTTAGCACAATCCATGCACTAGTGCAGTTTTTATAGCACACGACGAAGAGGAGAGAATATGCCAAGCCAAGAAGGTCATGTAGTGCGTGCGTGCGTGTGTGCGTGCGTGTGTGAGAGAGGGAGAGGGAGAGAGAGAGAGAGAGAGAGAGAGAGAGAGAGAGAGAGAGAGAGATCATAATGACTGTATAGTTAATTTTTAACCTTTAAAATAAATTAACTATTTGCACGATGTACAAGTACTACATACCAGGTTTCTGTGCACTGCATCGATGGCAAGAGTCACGGCGGGCAAAGTTCACGTTATTGCAGCTGTCAACACACACACACACACACACACACACACGCGCGCGCACACAACACACACACACACACACACACACACACACAACACACAACATGCACGCACACACAACACAACCACATTTTATTCATCTTTCATTGGGAGTCTAGCCGTACGGTTAGATGAGAAGGCAGAAATAACCTGGCTATCTGGTGAAGTGAAAACAAAACAAACAGCAAACGACAGCAACAACCACAAACCATGTAACAGACTACGCTAAACTGGCGGCAAAGCACTGATTGAGCCCCAAACAAACATCGGTATAAGGTGCTGTGTGGTATCTCGGCATCTAAAAGAGCAGCCCCCTGCTGCGGATGACTCAAGTCAAATGGGCATTCATGCTACAGGGAGTCCAGCCATGTCACTTAGCTGAGTAAGCTCAAACCGGATTGATTTTCAAAATGCCTAAGGGGTCGTCCACAAATATCGAAGTTTTTTCACAAAACGAAATAAAATAATTTCGCTATGGGGTGGGAGGGGTTGAGCAATTTCGTTTCAGAAAACATTGCTACATGCACAGAGGAATAAGAGCAGTGACACACTTGCGACGTTTGCATGTATTTTAGTATAATTATGTCAACATTGTGTACGTTCTGAGGGGAGGGAGGGAGCGGTTGGGTCCAAACTAAAATAATTCGTTTGGTGAAAGAAGTTCTATATTCACGGACGGCCCCTAATGTTCTGTTTTCATAAAGAACAATAACAGCATGCACACACACAGCATACCTGGAACAAGTCCAATCTCCATCACGGAAGTTACCGCCGCCTGAACACACAGGATAACAACATGCGAAGGCACACGCACACACACACGCGCGCACACAAACACACGCGCGCGCACACAAACACACACAATGGCTCAGAACGCGGCAGATATTTAGGCTAGGGCCGTCACAGCTTGACAAAGAACTGGATCGGTGCCTTCAGAAACGTTTATTAGGGGCCCCGGGATATTACTACTCTTTAATCATGCTTTGTGGAAATAGCGACGTAACATGCAACAATCTCTCCTCCTCGAGTAACGTAACATGCCATATCTATGGCCTTTCCCAATCAAAATGTATGTGATTCGGAGTTGCGCACGTTTCAAAGCTACGGGCATTGACCGGTCCCAGACCGCCCGGATAAACGAGGTATGAGTGTACCCCGTTACTTCCAGCTAACAGCACAGAAAATTACCTCGACCGCCTCCGCGTCCACCACCACCGCCACCAAAGTCACCGCCGCCGCCTCCGCGACCACCACCGAATCCACCTCCACCTCCACGGCCACCGCCGCCGCCACCACCACCGAAACCACCACGACCGCGTGGGCGGTATGCAGATGGTGCATTCTTCTCAGCTTTCTCCACTTTGATCTTCTGTCCCATGAACTCAGTATCTATGTACCAGAGTCGACATACAAACACACACACACACACATACACACACACACATACACACACATACACACACGTACACACACGCAGAGAGATACACATACACACACACACACACACGCGTACACCGTGACACTTACAGAAAAGTTTGTCACCAGGAAGAAGACAACCAGCCTGGCTGGGTACTGCTGCTGCTGCTGCTGCTGCTAGTACAACACAAAACAGGCTTGAAAGAGCACATGCTCGCTACTCTCTACCCATCACATGTATGTTCTGGTGACATGTTACTAACAGCAGACTGTACTAGATGGCTGACTGGAAAATGCACTAGACTGCTTGAGAGGGTGTGTGGACCTGGTTGAGAGAATGCGTGGACCTGGTTGAGAGGGTGTGTGGACCTGGTTGAGAGGGTGTGTGGACCTGGTTGAGAGGGTGTGTGGACCTGGTTGAGAGAATGCGTGGACCTGGTTGACAGGGTGTGTGGACCTGGTTGAGAGGGTGTGTGGAACTGGTTGAGAGAATGCGTTGACCTGGTTGAGAGGGTGTGTGGACCTGGTTGAGAGGGTGTGTGGACCTGGTTGAGAGGGGTGTGTGGACCTGGTTGAGAGGGTGCGTGGACCTGGTTGAGAGGGTGCGTGGACCCGGTGTTTCTCTTCTTGATTCGTATTGGAATTCAATCGTACGTATACCTCGGAAATGTGTAGTCCTCTGTGCCAGTACAGGCCAAGTACAGTGGTACACAGGGAGAACTTGAACACCTGGTGCCTGCCGGAGTTGCCAGGTACCCAGCTGACCCCCAGCACTCTAAAGCACACACACACACACACACACACACACACACACACACACACACACACACACACACACACACACACACACTGTCCGATGGCTGACTTACTGTTGAACCAGCTAATGGCACCATCAGCAGCCGGCGGATCGTCATACTTCACGGTGAATTCTCCCTGCGAACAAGAAACAAGAACACAGCAAACACTGTCCAATAACACCCAGCCACATCCAACAATAAATTAAGTGCGACTGATGCAGGCGTATTGTATTTTCAGTCACAGACAACACTCATATCCCTATAAAGCCACGGCAGAGTTCAGAGTTCTCATCAACCGAAAACGCTTTCAAAATGCTCAGGCTCTGAGCCCGTACTATAACATAATGACTGCACATTGCGTATTGATGAGAATTTACAGGAAGCACGTACGTATGTTCAAGTGACCCCAGAAATTGAACGTGCCAAATGCAAACTCCGTTTCCTTATGCACCGTATCCAGACCAGCAGTATCAGCCCTCTTCTGAAAGATAAGAGTAACCCTCCAACCTTCCAGTAACACCTGTGGCAATGACAATTGTAAACATGTTGTGCTGCTAACTCGGCGAACGTCTGGTGACTGCCGAACAGTGGTTTCCGCCGTGAAACGTTGGAACACCCTGTCACAGGAGCTCACGCCCACTCGTTGCTCAAATAATTCGTTTAAAAGATTACTGAAAGTGTTCTTCTATGGTTGAGCTAGCCGAACATTATCTCCTTCTGCCATTGGTCTTCTCATTTTTTCCCATTTCTTTCTGACTCTAAATTCTGTTAGAACTTGGCTTGTAATTACCGCTACATATAGGTATGGACTCGGATGGAGAGCCAAGGATAAAATTATAGAAAAGAAAAGCTGATGGAGTGCGCATCCAAGACGTACTAAAGCTGTTAGCCAGTTGGTTGTAGAACGTCAGTACTGTCGGTCAGTGTCATGCAATGTGATCACATGAGCTGATTGTTTAGTAACTGGCAGTGCTAGTGGACATTATAACGTAACTTGTAGTTCCTTGGTCCTTTTTTCTTTACTATACATATAAATATCCTATTGACTACATATTTATAGTTTCTCATTTTCTCGAGTACAGCTCACGCTCTATCGAAGCCACACTGCATCTTTTAATCTATCGCCATCATAATATTGAGCACCCATGTCCGTTGGGTTGTGATGGATAGAAATCCAAACAAAATGACGCTCATTTTGATATTTCATATTATGAGCTAAGTGGGTGCTGTATCGATGATCGGCGCCTACCTTGGACTCTCCACTTTCGTCGCTGAAGATTTTGATGTTGGGCAAGCGCGTCTTCTTGTCAAGCTGTTCGTTGTAACACATGCACATGCACACGCACACAGCCACACAAAATGCACACAGGTATCAGTAAAAACAAAAAAATACAGGCCGACAACAAGGCAGGACATCACCGTATCAGGCAAGATGTGTTCCCTGCGTAGAGGCGGTCACCTTACCTAGTGTTCTGGTTGTAGTGGTCGTCTAGGACAGGTGCCCAACTCGTCGGAGTGGTCATTTCGACAAGGTTGACAGTACCAGTAATGTCGCGTATTAACGGGGGGGGGGGGGGCTTATTCCTGTAGAAGCCGATGCCAGAGCTAGGCTTGTATTCACATCAGGCTTGTATTCAACCGAGGTATTTCTATCTATGTCAACACTAAAACCAGGCTTATGTGCCGACAGTGTATCTTGTATGTGCCGACAGTGTATCTTGAAAAGCAGGCTTGTATTCAACACAAGCTTCTAAAAGAGACAGGCTTTAATACAGGACACAACGGCAACTGCTTTAGGCCATGTATAGCACGTAACACCTCCAACTCCAATAGCGGTCTTTTTACTCCGAATCCACTTCAATTGCACAAGATTCTCTGACCTGGAACATCAACATCATGGTGAAAAGAGCCCTAGAATACAAGTATGACATCTGCCGGCAGCAAAGTAAAACGTGTAAAGCAGGCAACGGGCAGACCTCAGGCACTAACACCTCGACAATACAAATCCGTGACGTAGCGTTCACACTTCACAGGGATCAACCGGTACTTTACGACATCACAAGCTACAGACGGGAAAGACAACTTTCCATGGACATTCTAGAGATGGATAGCATTGCGAGACGCTCCAAAAGACTTCTTCACAAGGCTACCAATACTGTATATAAGTACAAAGCTTCATTTGGAATTAACTTTCGCTATATTTGTTAGGGGGCACGGAATAACTAAAGTTTGCACCAAACTAACGTCTTTTTTCTGAAAGTTCGGGGTGACAGACCTCGACCAAAAACGAAATTTAGTACGTAACGAACCTGCTGGTGGAGTGATCTAACGAAAGATTTCGTAAACAAAAAAATGTCCTTATACAGTACTGTAAAAGCCATATTCTAACGAGGCGCATATCTAACGATTTCCCAAAATTGACTAGTTTACGTGTACCAAAGGTAACGATTCTCACTCATTCTCAACGCTCAATAGGACAGTATAATGTATCGATTTCTGTATAACGATTTCTATTTTAACGACAGATTTCTCCTCATTAACTCGTTAGAGTTAGCACTTCGTTATTATATATATATGGCTTTTACAGTATACAATGCCTTGGGTAATGCTACTACTCACAGCTATGATGCCAATGGCCCCGAAATGGTCCTTGACTTGCTCAACAGTGACTGACTTGGGCATGCCACTTATGAAGACAGTGTCCTCTGCAATGATCTTGCCTGGTGCCAACTCACGGCCTGCGATACAGGCACAGGCACACACACACACACCCATGCACACACACAGACACGCACACACAGACACACACAGACCGACAGACAGCCACATAGAAAGCTAAGACAAAACATACAACACAAGAATTGACAAGTCCAGCGGACAGTAAAACAGAACTCCCCTCAGCCCTCCGGGTCGGGCGCACACACTGCACCACAACCAGAGGTCCCAGAAGATATCGGCACGTTGAACAAACATCACCCAGGCTTACTGACCACAGCACCACCGTAGCAACAGCAGCAGTAGTAGCAACAGCAGCATTGGGTAAAGAATGTCACAACACTGAGTGCGCAAGGATGATCTCGTCATCGAGGAAAACATTGTTTGAGAGAGAGAGAGAGAGAGAGAGAGAGAGAGAGAGAGAGAGAGAGAGAGAGAGAGAGAGAGAGAGAGAGAGAAAGAAACAGAGAACAACGTACTATGACTATAAGCTCCGCCAGCTGAGCCACCAGCACTGTCACCAGCACTGCCGCCACCACCACTGCCACCAGCATCTGATATCACAAGAACAAACAGAGCAGATAGACAACACACGCACTTCAGTACAGAACGGAGCAAGGACACATTTTTACATTAAATACAAAGTCAGCCAGCTGTTCTCCAAGGAGCAATTTCAAAGTATTGCACATCAAAGTGCAGTGGTTTGTCATTGCACACTAGAAGAAGACCAGCATTGCACCAGTACTGATGCATTATAGCCACACGCATCTTGCTATTTACGGCACACCAGGCTTTCAGATAGCGCTCTCACACCAGGCCATAGCTTAGGACAGGCATTCGGGCACTCGCAGCTTTCGTTCCGGCGCTAAAAGCAAAGTAAAGTTCGCATGTGCGCGTTACAACCGGCTACAACCAGCTTTGGAGGTTTCGCATGTTCCGGCGCTAAGCAGTGGCAAAAAGGCGGGGAACAGCACAGGAGCGAGAGCTTAACTTTGAACTTGGGTGGGACCTTGCGTGCGTAGTTGAAATAGCACTTTGATAGAGGAATATGTGTTTTAGTGTATTGCCACCAGTGGCTATTGTGTGATGCTCAACACCGAGTGTTTGACAATAAGATCCCCAATCGACGACACCTTGCGCTTTTAAAAACATTGGCTCAAATGATAGCAGGGACGCAATGATGAACAGCTCCAGTAGAACCAAAGCCCTCGGACCCAGTCTCGCTGAGTCTCGTGCGGACCGCAAAAAATGATGGATGCAAACTCTCAAAGAGGGTCAATACATTACAAACATAAGGAGAGACAACTTGCACAGCGCCCGCTGGTATTAAGTGTAAGCCAAGCCAAACACCCCCCTGCCCCTGACCCCAAGGAAAAAAAGGAATGGGTAGATTTCCGAGCAAGGTTTGGGACAGTCAACATGTAAATACTCTTCGTCCTAATCACATCGCTTTTGCGGACAATGCAGAGAAGAATGCGGTGTTTCCGATGACCATGGAAGCGCCAAATCAGATCCATTGCTGTTTGGCCTCGTTTACGGTTGATTTCTGGTGTTCGCCCACTCCGGTGGTGCATTTCTGGCAACCAGTTTGAGGGTGGGTGCGCCCGCCGGACTTTTCACCTGCCACCACGGTTCGGGGACTTCAACCCCAGACACGTAGGCCATTTGCTTATATTAATGTCTATAGATTAAACGAACGGAAACAGGACACCTGATGTATGTGAGCGCTGTCTCTTACAGCCATATCCGGACATATGCGGAACAGTCGACTCCAGCTTTTCTTTTTTTTTTACTCCAGCTGGAATTTCGGAATTTGGTTTGCACTGGCAAGAGACCACCTGCACCGGAACCCCACACACATACAGACACACAATACAGGCGGCTTGTGCCAATCTTACCATACCAGATTCACCTTGACAACCGAATACCGTGTGTGTGTCTGCCCACCGCCGCGGGCCAGGGGGAGGTTTTACCGAGCGGCCAGAGCGGCTCGTTTCCAGAGGTCCCGCACACGCCCCCTCGCTCTCTGTGTCTCCGTCCCCAACCGTGCACGCGCGCACACACCCACGGGACGGTGGCGGCGGTGCCGGCGGCAGAATCTGATTCAACGAGGTTGCCATGGAAACTACTTACCATAACCCCGTGCTCCAGACGAGGCAGAATCCCTGTCGCGACCTCCTCGGTAACTTTAGTAAGGGGACAATACACACACGCAAGCAACGGGCAGCAATAGCATATTGTACCGACAACACTCTTTCAAAACCAGCTTGCCACTACGCAATCCTAGGATCAGGCTGGCTTGTTTTCTTTACAATATGGGCGAAACTGGTGCCGTCAGATAGTACCACGAGTAGATAAACAAGAGTGTGCAACTCGTGGATGGGTTCGCCCACGGCGGCATTTTTTGTTGACGTAATCTTTTCTACGACGCACGCGCGCACGCGCTGCGAGCCTTTGGAAAGTTTTGCCTCGTGCACGTGGCCGGGCTTTACATTACAAGGTCGGTGCCCAGCACATGCTCTCACACTGCTCTGCGGCAAAATGCGCGTTTCTCTAAAAAAAGTGACGTCAACAAAAAAATCCGCCGTGGGCTGCAGATTGTGCAGGAAGAGATCCGGAGTTACACGCTCTTGTTTATCTACTCTTGATGATACCAATAATACCCATCTAGAGTAAAAATCCCCATATCCGACTCCTAGTTACGGCCCTTACGGGCAGTGCTCGGTCCTGACCTGCCCGATACTAGGAATCGCCCGGTACTCGGAATGTACATACTTACTGCATGCAAGTACCTTTTACTTTTATTTGTAATGCCAGACCAATAGTTTTTGGGGTAATTTTTCGATGAAAAGCCCGTTTTTGTGGCTCTAGATGGGTCAGAAAGGTGTCTGGATTAGGAGGGTTCTACTGCACTAGTACTCAAGCACCCAGAGGGGTTACGCGAGTGGCATCATTGCGTACGCTTTTTACTCTTAGCACGCACCAATTGTTTTTAAACGGAAGCCGACAGACAAACAGAACAAAATAAATGAAGACGGATACAATGCAAGGCAGAGGCTGCGATGGCATGCTGCTGCTGGCTCCGCTGACCAAAATGCTTCGGCCTCGTGTTGATCGGCAAGCTAGTTCATGTCGTGCCACAGCTTGCCATTCCGCACCAAGCATCTCAAATGATGTGTTGTAATTGCATAACCTATACTAAGAGTGTTGCCCGTGGTGCACTGGCCTCTGAGTTGCCGTACAGTGCGCATCTGGGCTCTGAGTTGCTGTACAGCACGTATCTGTTCTTCTTCGGCGCCCGGCAGTACTGAATGTCAATGCACTGAGGTCTTGTGAGTCGCAAGTCCGTTGAGAAGAAGATGATATTCGGCGCATTTCAAACCTAATTTTGGTCAGATTTCGGCTTGAAACCGGATTTTTAAATCGCCCAGAAGGGAGCAACAAACCCACAACTCAGCACAATACAGAACAACAACAGTACATAACCAAGAGTGTGCAACTTCTACTTTGAGCTGCGATGCGCTCACCCAAGGTGAAATGTGGTTGTTTTTGATTGTGGCATTTTTGGTCAAAAGTAAGATCAAGTGCATAGGCTTTCCGTGTTTATCTTGCAGACGGAGTTTCAGTACAACAGGTTCAGGACGTATGGATTGACCGTTCACTGGTCCGCTACAACTTCAGCAGCTGTCATGTACAAGCTGAGCTCGCTGTACTTTGATCTCTGACTATGCATGACGGCAGTAGCGAGCCTGATGGCTGTGAAAGACTCATGTCAACAAAATGATTCCGCCGCGGGCTGGGACATCGTCGAGTCCCACACTCTTGGTTATGTACATTGGTAACAAGAAACCAGGCTGAACATGGAGCTCCCCTCCCCTCTCTTTGACAATTCCAGCATCATAATTTCATAAACAGAACTGAACAGTAAATTACGAAGAGGCTTGCCGGAGAATTTTGACGGAAACTCAGCTTCCTTGAGTTTTGTTGAAAATCAAGTCTCAGATTTATTCAGAACGACCTGTAAATCAAAGTATAAGAATGTGGACTACTGTAATTTCATAAATTTTCGGTGCACTTTTATTTTCGGTACTTTCGGTGCATTTGTTTCATACCTAAAATTTCAATACACCGAAACAAACCCTGACACACATAATCCAATAGGAAACTGCTTCTCTGTACCTAAATTTTCTGTCCACCTAACCTGTCCTTTTGCCCTCATACCGAAAATATTGAGCACCGAAAATTTCTGAAAATAGAGAGTATGTCCAACGAATAAGTATTGCTAAGGGACAGTGTATTTCACAACAGATTCCACAACACAATCTTATTGTGTGTTTGCTGTTGCTGTTGCAAATCCGTAGTATTCTCAAAAAAAGGTCAGGGACAACAGAGCTAGTGTTGCTGCTGCTAATATTGCTGCTACTGCTGCTGTTGTTGGGGTCGTTGTACAGAAAGAACTATGCGCATGTTGGCATTACATCGCACCCTGGTTCACACTTCACTTCGCGTACGGGAAATGCGCCGCATCACAGAAAAACGTTAACTACAGTTCAACAGGTTTGGCACATCATGCGATGTGTTTCCCGCACGCGGCGTGAAGCATGCAGCAGGCTTTACGCAGAATATACGCAGAGCTGAAACGTCAACATGTCGGACCAAGGCCAGATAGAGCAAAAGAAATTGGGGAACGCGCCACACAGTACCAGAACCTCCCAACTTCCATTGCCTAGTTTGTGAGCAGTGAACCTCTGCATGAGGATCACAACCCGCTGGAAATCTAAGGCTACAGAAAATCATTTGTAGTCTGTCTACTTAAAAAAAAACGAAGTACTTTCATTATCAGTTTTGCTGTAAAAGTAGCAGAATACATTCTCCTTTGAGATACCCTCAAGCCCAAAAAACCATCTACACAGCAGAATGAACTGTTAGCCAACCAAAGAACTTCAGCGAGGGAACCAAAGAACTTCAGCGAGGGAACCAATTGAATTGCACCCTGGCCTTCCACGTTGCCATTCGAATTTGTGGGGGACAAGCAGACGCTAATCGAGTACAAACTCACCAAGCATGGCAGCTGACCAGCTTTCTCAACGCAGATCCGACTACCCAAGTAAGACAGTACAACAGTCGACCAAAACAACGAGAGTGAGAGAGAGAGAAAGAGAGAGAGAGAGAGAGAGAGAGAGAGAGAGAGAGAGAGAGAGAGAGAGAGAGAGAGAGAGAGAGAGAGAGAGAGAGAGAGAGAGAGAGAGAGAGAGAGAGAGAGAGAGAGAGAGAGAGTATCTGGCCCACAAGAGAACCTCACCTGTCATCGCTGTCAAAGCGGCTGCCACCGCTTCGTCCACCACCACCACTACCACCGTAGCCTCGGTCCTCACGGTCCCGGTCACCGCGACCGCCGCCATAGCTGCTACTGCCGCCGCCACCACGGCGATCGTTATCCCTGCTACCGTAGCGATCTCCACTGCCACCGCGGTCATCACCGCCACCGCCGCTAGTACCACGACCACGGTCATATCCACTACCACTACCACCGCCACGCTCATAGCCACCGTAAGAACCACTGGAGCCACCACCACTGCCGCCTGTGCTGGAGGATCCCGCAGAGTAACCGGAGCTTCCACCACCGCCCGCACCAGATGATCCCGTAGAGTAGCCGGAGCTTCCACCGCCTGCACTGGATGATCCTGCAGAGTAGCCGGAACTGCCGCCGCGCGACGAGCCATATGCTGAGCTACCGCTGCTGTACGAGGATGCCTGGGAGGCGCCACCGGCACTGTAGCCGCTAGTGCCACCGGCGCTGTACCCTCCTGCGCCAGCCGCTGCTGCTGCTGCGGGCTGCTGCTGTCCATAGCTAGCAGCGGCGGCAGGTTGCTGTGGAGTGGAGTTATTACCATAGCTCTGTTGCTGGTAACCTCCAGCACTAGCACCAGCACTAGGAGCAGCAGCTGAAGCACCATATCCGCCTGCTGTAGCAGCAAGCATAAAACACCAGACAGTGTACCATGTCAGAGGAAGAGTGTGCACAAGGTGGCGGTGGTGGGGCAGAGTTGGCCACCTTGGACTCAAGAGGTGAAAAAGTGTAAAACACCAGACAGTGTACCGTGTCAGAGAAAGAGTGTGCACAAGGTGGCGCAGGGGGGGGTGCAGAGTTGGCCACTTTGTTGTGACTCAATAGGCCAGGAAAAAGTGTAACACACCATACAGTGTACATATCAGAGAAAGAGTGTGCGCAAGGTGGTCCAGGGGAGGGGGGAGGAGAGAGAGAGAGAGTTGGCCACTTTTTTTTGTGACTCAAGAGGCCAGGTGCTTAGCACAGTGGAGCGCATATTTGTAGGGAGGCGGTTAAATGCATGCCCAGAATTGCACCAACACAGACAATGGTAAATGCTACAAATGCCATACTCAAGTCACCAAGAGCACAGTATCAATATAGTTTTGATGTTCAGGGAATGCAACAAACTATCACCCAAGTCATGTTTATACTAGTGTTGAAACGAATAATCGAATAATCGAATAATTTAGATTATTCGTGGGGTGAACGAATAATCGAATAGTCGAAGGAATTATCAGAAATCGAAAAAAAACAAAAAAAAACAAAAACAAAAAAACGATCTACCAGTATGCTCAGTGCTGACCCTACTGATATTTGCACTGCGTAGATCTGCTCGCAGTATTTCTTCTCAATCTCTTCTCCTCCAAGTCTTAATCTCCTATCGGTATCTAGTATTACTTCTGTTCTTTCCATACGAGGGAAACATGGCTGCAGTGAATGTGATTTTCGGTCTTTGACCAATTTCGACCAAGAGTCAAGACCCTATGCAGATCTGGATCAGGCGTTGCACACTCTGGGGGGTTATGTACTCTCAAAAAAATTCAAAAAAAACTACTAGTACTTAAAAGTGCTGAAAAAGTGTTGAAAAATGCCATCATGCGTATGATAGAATATAGATTATTCGTTCAATGGAGGGCGAAATTATTCGATAGATTATTCGTTCGAAGAATCCGTGTTCGGTTTAAACACTACAGTGCATTTCAAAACTATAGACGCGTAGGGTTTTTGAAATATTTCAAATTTGGCTGGAACTTTTTGAGAATAGTTTTCGGAATATTGCTCAGGATCGCTCCACAATTACTCTCATATAGTTTCTAAAGGATTGGATAACAGACGCCCAATTTGGAAAATTTTATGCACAAAGTGATCACAGATTTTATGTGGTATAGATGCTGGCATAACGGTTTTTGCCTAGGTACGCGTCTATAGTTTTGAAATGGACTGTAGTTTATACGCATTACACAAACCATACATAACCTCTCGATTCCGCAAAACACAGTAGCATTTAGAGAAATAACACTAAGAGCAACAACAGTGAAATTTACAAGTGTGAATTTTAACAATCAAAGCGAGAAATGAACAAAGGAGAAAGGAAGGAAAGACAACGTGATAACACATAACAGCAGTACATTACACCTAGAACATTAACGGCCAAGCTTGGCCGCACTAAACACGACACGTTACTTGAACAATTTCAACCCAATTATACTATCTTTCTGTACACACAAATTAGGCTTGTACAGACGCTGATAGATAGCTTCCAACACTTTTAACTGTAGTCCATAACCATGACGACCACGGCACAATACAGTGAACGAAGAGTCGGAATACGAATTGCAACAATCAGGACTAGCTAGCAGATGATTGTACACTGAAGACTTGCTACCACGAAACCTACGCACAACACTAACACTCTCACACAGCAGCATTTCGTAAAATTATAAGCACACACATCTTTGAGCGCGGAAGTAAGGTGTTATAATAGTATTATACATTGGTTGAAGGGCTACGTTGACCGACACCGTCCACATACCTTGCTGTTGTTGCTGGCCACCGTAGTTGCCATAGCTACCAGCAGCCTGTTGCTGTTGTGGCTGTTGCTGGGAGTAGCCTGATGCACCAACCGCACCGGCACCATAGCTGACGGGGAAAGGAGAGAGAACACAAATCAGATCTTCAATTTCGTTCTGGGACAAGGGTCTGGCTCAGCACTGTGCCCGGGGACAATAGCGGAAGAAAATAAGCATCATGATCCGCGGCTGAAGTTGCGGTAATTACTAGCATGATTTGCGGCAAAAATTGCAACTAATCTTGGAAAGCATAGGAGCTGCATCTGGTTCTCAGGATATCAGATTGAACAAGTCTCGGGTGGCTATGGTGTGTGGATGTCCACGCATACTGTGCATGGCGAAACTTTCGACAGTGCTTCCACCATCACAACGTGCCTTGAGAGCATACTAAAGGCTGTATGAAACTCGTGTCCAGGAATATATGCCTGGCAGGAGTACCGCATTTGAAACATTGAGATGTCATGCAGGCCCGCGCATTGCTGGGCAAGCAGGCACAGGGCTGCATGTGCAATAGTGCATGATGTATGGTTTTCACAGGTTGTGCTCCTCGCCTACTCTAGCACCAGATCGTGCATCCTTAGGGTCGCCATGACGCCCATATTAGAGCTCTACATGTACTTCCTTCTGTTGGGAAATGTGACTGATTGTATGTGCCCGTACAAATCAAAATACCCCTTGATACCTATTGGTAATTAGTAATATTTTAGTATTTACCTCCCGCCGTAGGAGTTTCCGTAATCTACGAGCAGTGGTAAGAAAGAGAAAGAACCGGAGAGGATTAGGCTGCATTCCGCAGCAACATGAAACTGTAGAACATGCAGAACTTACTGTCTCCCATTTTCTACTTCTCTCCAAACACTTCGTGTGTTCGGCAAAGGAACAGAAGGAATTTCTATCCCACGAATTCGACTGTTCAGACTCTAAAACCAACAACTAAAGCTATAGATGCGGTCGATGCCAGCACTATTATCTAATGGCAATCGTCACCAAAATGCACAACCTTCTGTTTATGAAGGCCAGAAAATCTCCCTTCAAGTTCGAAGTGCTTTCCTTGGTTGAAAAGGAACGGCACTTTGACAATCGATAATCGATTTTTTTGCTTTTCCTTCAAAAAATCTTGCCCCCAAAACTGGGTCGCCATTTTATTTCATCTTCATGGCAACAGCCCATGCTTGGGCCAGCTGAAAAAGAAAAAAAGAAAAAAAGTAGCAGAGGATGGTTTCGATCCATCGACCTCTGGGTTATGGGCCCAGCACGCTTCCGCTGCGCCACTCTGCTTCACCACGTCTATGAAAAGACAAAGATGGTATACAAACCCTTTCGGAGATATGGCCTATGCATTGTGAGATGTTGAAGTTTGGCGGGAAATAAATCACTTTTCGAAAGAAATTCTTCTTTTCAACCTGCAAAGCAAGCCTGTACAGCTAGCTGTACAATGTACATAGTCATTCCTTCTTTATCGTAGCTTTCAGAATCTTACTTTCTTCACCTGACAGCTTGCTTGCTTGCGCAGCATCTGCCACGCTGGTGTACACTTCTTTTCATAGTCCTCGGCGTCTTCTGGCGTGAGTTTTTCACGGCAAGAAGCTCTTGGAGAGCTGCGCATCGCCGTTGTTTTGAGAAAGGCCACAGAATGTCCTCCAACGGTTCAGCAGATGGAAAACGTCGGTCAGCGAGTGCATCAGAGATGTTGGCTACTCGGAAGGGGCCTAAATCTCACGTACCATGGAAAGAGGCCTACAAAGAGGTAGGCCTGTTGTCTCACTGGCATGTTGAGATCTATAATGATGCCGAAGTGTAGTGATAGAGAGAGTTTAGTGTTTCAAATACGTCATGTACAGTCCTGTGCAGCTGGAGCCTATATGTGCAGGGGGGAATGGGTACTTTCTCTCCAGCGTAATGATTGTGTTGAATTTTGGGAAGTATTTCAGTTTAATAAGACCATAGCTTTATCAAAGGAGGATTGCAGAACACAGTGAGCTACGAACGATTTCTCATGTTCTTGTCAGGGGGAATCCTGGTCATGTAGCTATGCCTTCACAATACCGTAGTGACGCACATAAAGGCCCATGCGCTTATGAGTGAGTTATTGCGTTATTTGCTATTTTTGCGGGTCGTTTTGTCTCACACATAGGCGCATGCGCTTGAGTTGCTAGTGTACCGGTACCTTGCATAATGATGCACATAGTGCAATACCGCAATGCACATTGAACTATGTGAATATGGTGTTTTTGTTGAGTATGTGTGCTACGGGATGGATTGCATTTAGGTTCACTTATAAGCCCATGCGCTTATTTGCGAGGGTGTGCTTATGCCCGGGTATAGGCACATGTGCTTATATGCGCGTCACTACGGTATACAGGGCCGTCGGAACCGGTGCGGCCAAAGCCGCACCAATAAGTTCGTCTTGGGATTTGAAGCAATGGAATATGGGCTATTTGGGCGCGATTTCCCTAAAAATTTCTCCGGTGGCGGACGCCCTGGACCTTCCATCCACTCATGGCCACACCAATGTCGAATACTAGTGTTTAAACCGAACACGGATTCTTCGAACAAAATAATCTATCGAATAATTTCGCCCTCCATCGAACGAAAAATCTATATTCTATCATGCGCGCATGATGGCTTTTTTCAACACTTTTTAAGCAGTTCTTTAAAAAATATTTTTGCTCATTATCGGATTTTGTTATGTGGAGGTGCAAAACCGGTTAACCTGTACCGCCAAGAATACATAACCCCCCAGAGTGTGCAACGCCTGATCCAGCTCTGCATAGGGTCTTGGTTGAGCGTAATAATTATTGGATCTTCACTGTATCCATGTTTCCCTCGTATGGAAAGAACAGAAGTATTACTAGATACCGATAGGAGATTAAAACTTGGAGGAGAAGAGATTGAGAAGAAATACTACTAGCAGATCCACGCAGTGCAAATATCAGTAGGGTCGGCACCGAGCATAGATCCTTTTTTTTTTTTTTTTTTTTCGATTTCGGATAATTCCTACGACTATTCGATTATTCGTTCACCCCACGAATATTCTAAATTATTCGATTATTCGATTATTCGTTTCAACACTATCGAATACCTTCCGACGCTCCTGAACATACACTCACTGGTCTTGTTTCATTCATGAGCGCACTCGGTGTGTATTCCGTCAACAAGAATCAGTCACGGAGCACAACTGTGTGTGTGGGATGCATACTAGTATCTGTAAGGGCCGGCGGAAGCGGATTTTCATTGGTCTGGCCCTACCCTAGCCTTTCATGCTGTGTAGGTGATATGACAGGCACTGTAACCCATGACCTGCTCAGCAGTAAACACATGTTAGTGGCCAAAACACTGGCCAGCTTGATGTACTGTGATGTATTCTGTTCTTCTCCGTGCATGGCATAACCTGTGCCGCGTTCTCAGGCACGTGCGCCGGTGCCCTTCAAGGGGGGGGGGGGGTTCCGGGGAACCTCCCCCGAGAAAATTTTCAAAAAATGAAGCAAAATCCTGCATTTTGAGCGAAAAAAGGGGGGGGGGTTCCGGGCACCCAGGAACCCATACAGGGCACGCGCCTGTTTCTATCTATCTTCCCATATCTGTGTATCTGCATGTCTGTGTGTGTATCTGCGTGTTTGTGCACGTGCAGCGGTGTCGCACGCGTCTGAAGAAGCGTCGCGTTGAGATCCTGTTTCGCCACGGCCTCTCAGAGGAGCTACACACGGCGGTGGCCGAAGACTGCGACCTAGAACTGGGAGATGAAGCTAATGAGGTACTGTGAATGTGGGTGGTTGTTACCAGGAGTACATTGGCTAGAGTGTGTAGCTCCGGTTGCTTTGACCCATGGCGGAATTGTGGGTGACGTCACCTTTTCTGGAGATTTCTGGCCATTGTACGGTGTGCAAGGTCGTCATACCCAATCTTCACAGTGCTTATCTGCTTGTATGTCCACTTGTATGTGGAGTATACTCAGCATGAACTGCTTGTGTGTCTACGTGTGTAGAGTATTCTCAGCATGAACTGCGTGTCTGTCCACGTGTGTGTAGAGTATTCCCAGTATGGACTGCTTGTGTGTCCACGTGTGTATGGGTAGAGTATTCTCAGCTTGAACCGCGTGTCTGTCCACATGTTTAGAATATTCTCAGCATGAACTGCTTGTCTGTCCACGTGTGTGTAGAGTATTCTCAGTATGAACCGCGTGTCTGTCCACGTGTGTATGTGTGTAGAGTATTCTTAGCATGAACTCCGACTGCCCGTTGCAACGACGATCGTCTCCGACATCGGCTGATGACCACTCGTTCTTCGCCGACTCCAGCAGTGCGGCCATAGCAACGCCTATGACCAGGGGAAGCGATGTGGACACACGTATGGAAACGCGTCACATGGTCTGTGAGGTGATGAGCGAGGAATGGTCGGCAGCAGTCGGTGATCTAGCACTGCCGAGCTTTTCGACAGAGCAGCTTCCATTCATGCCCACGTTCAATCCTGCAGAGGTATGGTGAAACTGTTGACTTTCTCGGTGTGTGTGTTTGTGTCTCTCTCTCTCTGTCTCTATCTATCTCTCTCCCTCTCTCTCTCTCTATCTATCTCTCTCTCTCTCTCTCCCTCTATCTCTCTCTCTCTCCCTCTATCTATCTCTCTCTCTCTCTCTCTCTCTCTCTCTCTCTCTCTCTCCACCATCCCATGTCCACTTTCCATCCTGTGATTATGTGTTGTCTCCACTACAGTACCATTGAATCCCTGATGGCAAGACATTGAGTTTCTTGTCCTCTTCATTCTTGTTGTGTTGCTCGTCTAGAATGTGCCATCCGATGTGAATGAGTTGTGCTCGCTGATGGATGAGCTTGAGGAAGAGCTGAGGGCAGACGGTAAGACCAGTCTCTCCTGTACAGTTCTGTGTTCTTGTATCGGGTGTCTTGTGTAAAGGTGGTGGTGGTGGTGTGTGGCGTGACATTTGTACTGTCTTTGTTTGCAAGCGGACCCATCGTGCTAACAAATTTGTATATTTTTGCGTCACATCTCGATCGTGCATTGCTGTTAATGACCATCCCCCAGGGTTCTATTGATTGCTTCGGTATGAAGCTTTACGCAACAACTGAACAGACCAATTGAACCTCTCTACCTTTCTCTCTCTCTGTCTCTATCTCTATCACGTGCGGATAAGCTCTGTGCATTTAGCACTTTCCGGCAGGTGGGCACAACTTTCTTCGAACCAAATTGTACATGTATGATCTGCTTACTGTTACTAGTACTGTGTATTGCATTGTAGAAGCAGCTAGAGCAGTATGTAAACCGATGGCAACTGAAATCCGACCCCCTGGGCGGTGCGTTCACTTTCTAGCGGCCTCTATTTCGTAGTGTCACAATCCCATGCCGGGTCTTTGCCATGTAAGCGCACCGCTCAGATGTTCGGATTTCAGTTGCCAGCACGGTATGATCTATAAATTGTTACTGGGTGTATTGCATTGTGGAATGTATGTTCTGCTAACTGTTACTATTGCTGTGTGTATTGCATTGTAGAAGCAGCAATACTGGAGCAGTATCGTGAGCAAGTAGCAGCAGCGTCAGAGAAAGACCTGTGCTCCGCACTCGCCAGCCTGTCTACAGACGAACTATTGTGCCCTCTGTGTGAACAGTAAGAACTATTGTGCCCTCTGTGAACAGTATTGACTATAGGGCTTGAAAGTGCTACGTCACAGCATAGCAACACTTTCAAAAATTCAAAAACTGGATCCAAGCACATTTCAAGCGGTCTTACTCACAGGAAGGTGATATACCCGGTGAAATTGACTGGGTTGGCTAATGGGGGTTGGGTGACAACTGGTGGCGAAGAAAAAGTCACACCCGCATGCGACATGGGTGTGTTGCTATGCACCCACACACTGAGGCAATAGCAAAGTCACACCTTAGTGGGTCCAAAAGTAGAGATCTGATGTGAACTTACTACTTCCTGGCCGTTTTGACGTCTTCACTTTCAAGCCCTATTGTGCCCTCTGTGTGAACAGTATTTACTGGTTTTTAGTTTCTGCCTTATATAGCTATTGAATGCCTTTGTGTGTGTCTGTCTGCGAATGGGTATGGCTTTGTACTTGTTTCAGGAACTATCTCCTGCAACATCTCTCCGTCATTTTCTGCCAGTGCGGTCTCAGAATAGACACCGAGGTGAGAAACTGAGCCATGGGGGGGGGGGGGGGAGGGGTATGTGCGCGCGCGCGCGCGTGTGTGTACTTCGAAGTACATGTATATGTGTGTTCACCGCCATGCTCAATAGTTTCTCCTTTTACCGACGTGTGACGAATATCGCTGCAGCATTTGCAATAGTGAAAATCTCATTGCAAACATCCACTGCAATGGACTGTCTGCAAGCCTGAACGATTGGTGAAAACGTTCCCAAACTCGTCTAGAAAACATTTACACGTGATGGTGAAATTTGTGAGGCTAAGTGTGTCTCCATGGGTGCCTCGGGATGTCCAATCCACTATGATGGTCTATTGCTAGCAGTGGGGATTTCGAGAGCAATTGATCGCTTCTCCTTGCGCATTCACAAACATGAAAACACACACATGCGCACACACACACACACACACACACACACACACACACACACACACACACACACTTGTATGCACACCAGTAGCTAGACGAGCCAGCACCTCGAAACAGATCAAGAGCATTTCAGCAAAGAACAGAATACATCATCTAATCCTGGCTCCTGGGGTTGAAGCAGCACTTTACTCATGGGCTTCCATTGGTGCTTTTCTGGTGGTGCCTTGTTTCTAATCACTTTATTTACCTGCATGTTTCTTGTACTGTGTGTGTGTGTGTGTGTGTGTGTGCGTGTGTGCTCGTGTGTTTGTGCTTGTGCGTATTCAGCAAGACGGCATAAACCTACAGTTCATGAAAACACAGTTACAGATGGCCACTGACCAGCATGGGTAAGCTGGTACTGTTTGTTTGCATGTCTCCTGTCTCTCTCTCCCTCGCCCCTCTCTCTCTACCTCTCTCTCTCTCTCTCTCTCTCTCTCTCTCTCTCTCTCTCTCTCTCTCTCTCTCTCTCTCTCTCTCTCTCTACCTCTCTCTCTACCTCCATCTCTCTCTCTCTCTCTCTCTCTCTCTCTCTCTCTCTCTACCTCCATCTCTCTCTCTCTCTCTCTCTCTCTCTCTCTCTCTCTCTCTCTCTCTCTCTGTTGAACCCATTGCCAGCCACTGTGTCATGCGTACACATAATGATGCTACATATCAACCGTGTTTACGATCATCTTGTATGGCGTGTGGGCCATTCAAGGCTACGGATTGGTTTGTGTTTAGTTTGTTTTCGAAGTGAAAGGCTTTCGTTTTGGGGCAGTATCATTTCAGGGACTTCTGTTCCTAAGATAATTGAATGCATAAGACCCTCAGTCAAACTGATGATGCTGAAGGCTGAGTCCTTACCGTAAAAGTCCGTAAGTAAGTACGTATTTACTTTCGAATTTAGTGACCACACCCGTACTAACTTTCGGGCGGGTACTGACTTTCGGGCACGAACTAACTTTCGGACCTGACTTGTGTGTAGTGGAGAAGTCATTTTCATGTCGATGTACATGCTACGTGCTGCATTTGCGCACCGTACCGGTACTTATTTCGGGCAGTATGTTTATCGGGCTTGACTTGACTTCAACAGACAGAGCCTAAAGAATGAAGGGGTATTTCTTTCGGGCAGGTACTCATTTACAGACCTTTACGGTATTTCGTTGAATTTTGTTTTGTCCGCCAAAATGGAGGCATCTGAAAAAGGCTAAAACTGTTCGTTTTACTAAACCCTAACCGTGACCGTCGGACAGTCCCTCAGTATTAGCATTGCGTTGCATGCCACACTGCTGTTCAATGTCGCATCTTGTGTGGGTGTGTCTGTCTGTCTGACTGTGTGTCTGTGCATGTGCACGTATGTACGCGTATGTGCATGTGTGTATGCATATGCAGGAGTCAATGTTCTGCCAAGCCGGCCTTCTCTGAGCAGAGTCTGGACGGTCGGTCAGACGTGAAGAACCTCATCCTGCTTTGCGCTACTTGCGACTTTTTCTTCATCATACTATAAGCATTACATCATACCTTGTGTGACTATGACATGACATCATTCCCAACGTTACACGACATCATAATAACTCCTCTATGATGTCATAGCAGTGTGACACCATATACCAGTGCACTGTGCTATGGCTAGCGTCACTGGGCATGTAGTTGCGTACCACACGAACTACCAGCACCACCTATGCATCCGATTCGTACTCCTTGGATGCTCATGCATTATTGCATTGTAGTTTCCACTGTAAGAAAACCTAACTATGGCATCGACTGTCGTACCTGCTAGCCTCGTCTCCGCCGGCCGTCCTTTGCAGTGCAGTAGTGTAACGTCCTGGCCGTGTGTGCTGCAGGTTTGTAGCTGACGTCTTCGCAGCGACTTCCTGTGCATTGCACCGCGGCACTGCAGTTATGTATTATGTACAGACATTCTCTCTCTCTCTCTCTCTCTCTCTCTCTCTCTCTCTCTCTCTCTCTCTCTCTCTCTGTGACCATGGGAACGAGCCGTATTGTCCACTGATCGAATCACACCAGCAGCAGGCAGCGCTTCAACCTGTACAACAACCATCCCGCCATCGCCATGTCCGGATAGCTTCTCTCTTCCACCTGCTGCCTGTCCAGATGTGGCTGCTTCCGTTCTCTTTCTTGAGTTGTGCGTCATTGGGCGCGCAGCAGCACCTCGATTCTCGACACTGTTATCCCTGCGTCTGACCCACACGGCCACAGCACATCAGCCGTCATCGACCCCCGAACTGATTGCAGACTACTAGTACTTACCTTGTAACTAGATAAACGTGAACCTGAGATCAGCAGCACTATTCTCCGTTGAAAGGATATCACTTCACAACTGTACTCCCCCCCCCCCCCCTGCACACACACGTCACCAAGAGTCCAAAAACCGTGTTGTTTATGAACTCTTGGTGACACTCACATTGTATCTCTCCATCATCGCCTTGAGCCAACAGTGAAACCAATCACCGGCACTGCACTTTTCTACACTCGTATTGTTTTCTTACCCATAATGCCCAGCACCCAGGTGTAGCCGTCCTGTTTGTTGAACGTTGTTGATGCTGTTCATTTTCGCCATGCGCTTTCCTATCTTTCCTGGCAGCTAGTTTTTTTATGTTTTCAAGAGTTTAAACCACCTTGATTGAGTACATTCTTTTTCTACCATTACTGAATGCAAGACTGTACAGGCTTTTCCATCGGTGACAACTTTGCACCAAGGAGAGCATGCAATGTAGTATGTATGACTGCTCCCTGCTTGGCACAGTGCAATGGAGTGCTGTGATTGAGTGAGTTGCGGCAGGACTGGAGTGCACTAATCAGTTATGTACTCTTGGTTGCCGGCTGGGTTTTGGCGTGCGGTATCATGGTGAAGTTTTCATCCAGAGTACAGTAAAACCTGTCAATGCGACCACTCGGATAAGGCGACCACCTGTCCAAGAGGACCACCACAACCACGACCAAGCAAGGGATGATCAATCTCAGTCATACTAATCACCCTGGATAAGGAGACAACCTGCACACAACGACCGCGTTTTGAAGTTACCTTTAGCGGTCGCCTTTGACAGGTTTCACTGTACATCAATTGAAGCGCCGTAAAACTATTCACAGGATCTGACCGTAATCTCTGCACAAAATACTATCAAGAGTCCATAAACACTGTTTATGCACTCTTGATACTAGTACAGTACTTAGTAGTGGTCCAAAGAGATGGAACACATCATACCACAACCTCATGCAGTCGCGTAGACCTACACTGAACAGCTGAAATCTTCCTGCATGCATCCGGATATGCATGGTCTTCTGCATGCATGTAACAACTTACTAACAACACTCTTTTTTGACCTACAATTGTAAAGGTGTGGCGAATGCATGCATGCATGCAAGAGACTAGAACACACACAAAGAATAAGTCTCGCATGTATGCTTTGACCAAATGCACGAGAGAGCTTTCGTTCGTGCACCCTCAATCACTTTGCTGGCCAGTCTCTCGTGCACTGTGGCAGTCACCGGGTATTATTCATGCAAACACACCATGCACATACACCATGCACATACACCATGCACACACACCATGCACATACACCATGTACCATGCAAACACACCATGCACATACACCATGCACATACACCATGCAAACACACCATGCACATACACCATGCACACACACCATGCACATACACCATACAAACACACCATGCACATACACCATGCACATACAGCCCACAGCCCAGACTGTCACATGCAGACCTATAGAGCTGATGTACCCTGCATAATGGCCTTGCCAACTATGCACGGTCAAACAAGTCTCAAGAATAACTGTGATTAATTCTTGTCTGCATATGAAAAGAAGAATTGTACATTAGCACGGGGCCTACTAAACTCTAAGCATAAGAAAGATAAAAGTAGAAAGAATTCAAAACTAAAAACGTTCTGGAACACTTTATTCGTTGCGATGATTGTGATATGAGTGCGCATATAGTTTTATTCTGCATTTTTATGATTATTGCCTCCATGTAGCTAGCCTTTTTCAATTCAAAACTATAGAGAATTTTTGTACAAATTCAAAGGAAGCAGCGTGTTGATAAATCCTCGTGCCGAAGCGAACTACAGTGACAGGCAAAGAAGCCAGACAAGTCACTGAGATTGCATGGCTGGCCAGGCCACACTGCCCCGCACTCTGTACGACTGCATTTCGCGTTGAACACTGTGCAAACCCTGAGCTGTTTGTCAGGATTTTGTGCTAGCATTGGCTGTTGCGTTCTAAGTTAGGTCTAAAAAAGTGATTAACGCAATCGCTGGAAAGTAGTCTAAATCAGTGAACAGCAAAAAAAAATAGTAAGAAATATTACCGCGGCATGTCCTGAATGATACAGCCATCTTGGAGGCAATGGAACTCAACTAAACAGAGAGGAACACAATGAAACCGACACCTTGCAACGTGCACCATTGGCATTCAGTACATAGCCACGGGTTACAACGACAGGCTAGGCAAACTGCCAGGAAAGTGCTGAATGCACAGGCCGTTTTCAGATTAGAAAGAGAAAGAGGTCCGGTTGGACCCCCCACCATCGAGTATATAGTTCAGGCAAAACGTGACCAGCCATGAATTATCTCACTGTCCGTACATGCTGACTCTTTGAATGCACTCGTACCAAACAATGCCTCCATGTACTTGTGCAAGTTCGCTAGCCGATCCGGTATCACAAAGTTCCGATAGTGCTGGCCAGCCACGCGGATGTGGAGCAGTTTGGGTCCAAGTGAGCAGTCAGGTAGTGTCAGCGTGTCTCCACAGCAAAGGAATTTGCCGGGATTAGAGCCGAGCCAGCTATCCACCAGCTCCAGTTCTGTTGAGCAGAGGAGAGGAGAGAGTGAGAGTGTGAGAGAGAGAGTGAGAGAGAAAGAGACAGACAGAGAGAGATAGAGAGAGAGAGACAGAGAGAGAGAGAGACAGAGATAGAGATAGACAGAGACAGAGACAGACAGACAGAGAGAGAGAGAGAGAGAGAGAGAGAGAGAGAGAGAGAGAGAGAGAGAGAGAGAGAGAGAGAGAGAAAGAGAGAGAGAGAGAGCTCCCGCGAGTGCTCAAACTAAGGGCCCAGTTATACATGCACAGAGGTTCCCATATTCTGTTCGTGTCTCTCACTCCACACCAGCTACTAGTAACTGTTGTAGACATCTTATTCTACGTCATTATCATAATGTGAATGCTGTAGGCAGCTAGCCGATTTGGCCTCGGCTACCTAGTGTCTAGGCCTCATCAGTACAGCTAGTTAGGTGTCATCAATCAGGAAGTTCTTTGCAACAGCCACAGCCACAACGGTGAAGAAGTGCCTGCTCTACCAAGCATGGGCATAAGTCAGGTTATTACATCAGATGTGCACGTACTTAGTAATATTATTACTACTAGTATCACTACAGTGCACGTAGTAGTAATATTATTACTACTAGTATCAACTACAGTACTTAAAGGGGAAGTGCATCGATTTTTCGAGTATGGTCCAGAAGAAAGACAATTTGATATCGGTTCGAATGGCATATCTCTCGCTTCCATACGATAAGCCAAACTTGCCAAAATCGCCAATTGTATACTCACGTTACTATAGCGACTAGCGCAGTGATGACGTACGAAAGGCTTAGCTCCACCACAGAGAAGGTCGATCACTGCAGAATTTGTACATTTTCAATTGGTTTATTGTATTCACGAAGTGAAAGAAGGGCTGTGTTCAAAGCTGTTAGTGCAGTGAACTGTTTGTTAGTAGTCCTCTCGGTTGTGTACTGGGACGTGACACCGACAGGAGAAAGCTGGAGTGCGGAGACACCAGGAGACAAGAGAAAATATTGACGAAGAAAATGCTGAAATCTGGGTTGGGACAAATCAGACGTTCAGCATTTCCCCCAACCAAGGACCATGCCGTTTGCTCTTTCCACTTCCTGAAGATGAATGTGATGCTTCCTGGCGACTCTCCTATCTCTCGTAACATCTTCTGAAGCCAGGTGAGACGACGGGTGGTGGAGATTGACGAATGAAATAATGTCGTAGGTTTGAAAGTTTGCTGAAAATGTCTCAGGAGAGATGGCGAATTCCAAGCATCTTGTCCTGGAGGAAACCATTTCCTAGGCACAGTCAGCCTAGGGAAATGCATGAGAAGGGCGCCGATAAATAGTTCACGGCACTAACAGCATTGAACACAGCACTTCTTTCACATCGTGAATACAATAAGACAATTGAAAATGACCAATTTCTGCAGTGATCGACCTTCTCTGTGGAGGAGCTAAGCCTTTCATACGTCATCACTGCGCTGGTCGCTATGGCAACGTGAGCATACAATTGGCGATTTGGCAAGTTTGGCTTATCGTATGGAAGCGAGAGATATGCCATTCAAACCGATATCAAATTGTCTTTCTTCTGGACCCTACTCGAAAAATCGATGCACTTCCCCTTTAAGCTACACAGCACAGCTACACTCAAATGCATGAGTCTGACCATATGACGCGGGCCCTGGATGTATCTGCAACTATGCATTGACCGTCATACCGGCAAACACAGAACAAGAGTTTTGAAGCGACCGAAGAGACACTGACTCACCTTTCACCAAGCGCTGCTCCAGCTCCTCTCGTACACTCACGTCTTTGTTCTTCATCAGGCCGGCGAAGGCCGAGAACACACCCTTGGTGGTGTCGTTGACCTCCGCCGAACGATCGCACTCCATATTCGGCTCTGGGTGCAATTTCTACAGGAGCAGCAATAGGAGCCGGCATGCAAAATAATCATATAGCAGAGGAAGGACAAAATATTATAACAGGCCACCAATGTACAAGTAACCAAATGATATTCAGCAAGGTAGTGCGACACCAAAGGCACGAAATTGACAGGACTAGAGTCCGTTGTGTTTCTCAACACAATTGAATAGTTGGTGGTAATGCGGACGTGTAAACTTTACTTTGTTCATTGTATATAGGAGGACTGTGCACAGTGCTATACCAGCGAGAGAAAAGCTTGCAGGTCAAGAAGTAACACAGCTGGTCTGCACAGAGAGCAATGCCCTGTGCTATTCATGACGCCGTGTTTCGCGTGCCCCCACTGATGTGTGTATGCGCACGTGACGTCATAGAAACCGCCTTGCCAGTGGCCACTGGGTGTGCGTGACGTCATAGAAACCGCTTTGCCACGGGTCACGGCGATCCTGCATCCCCGCCTGTGAGCTCATTTTATATTCGTTTGATGAGTTCCTGAAGAGGCGAGTTGTTTGTTCCCGGGTTCCTGGTGCTGTTTGAGAGAGTGAGTCGGATGCATGGAGTCGAACATAACACCACCATGCACAGGACCGGCGGAAGCAGCTTTTGATTTTTTTTAAATAGTTTCAGTGCCTTTCATACAGTTTGTGTATGATATGGCGGGTACATATGACCTCCATAGTAGTAAACATGGTTGTGTTGGTGGCTAACATGTTGGTCCGGTGATACTGTAAGACCAGATATTTTAATGTCAATTAAAGTTAACGATCTCCGGATTTTTGTGGGTCAGCGAGGTGAAATTCTAACGAATTCCGTCTCAAACCGGCAAATGACTGTACATGTACATATCGTTTTGTACATAACGACTTCAAATGTTAATTAACGAACTGTTTAAATTCGTTAAATTGTTAGAATTGAATGTTCGTTAACATTACTGGTCTCACAGTAACCTGACCAACTGGACTGGTTCCGGCGGCCCTGATACATACCTGGACATACTCTGCAATCTTGGACGAGTCCGGGATGATCGTGTCACCATGTTTCAGCACCGGCACACTGCCTCCAAACTCCCCAGCCATCTCTAGGAAGCTAGCCGGTTTGTTGGCCAGATCGATGAAGACAAGGTCGATGGCCACCTTCTTGTGAGCAAACACTATCATGGAGAACTGGCAGAAAGGACAGTCGCCCATGCTATGGCCGTCTTTGCCTGCCTGAGAAACAAACAGACAGAGGAATACACATGGACATACAGAAATGCACATATGGACATGCACACGCACTCTCGCGTGAGCGCGCACACAAACACGCAGTTGCACATGCACACACACACACACACACACACACACACACACTACTACTACTACTACTACTACTACTACTATTGACAGCTGCCAGAAATGGCCACGCCGCTCCCCGAAGGGAGGTACTGTCAGAGAGGTTAGGGGAGAGGTAGGCAGTGCTTCAAATGGCGCTCCAGGTCCTGTCGCCTCCGAAACTGGCGTCGATTACAGACTCGGCAATGATGTTCAAAGTGCTGGCGATCAGTCACTGTAGGGCGATTCGGGCGGGGTCCACAGCGATGGCGCTTGAGGCCAGCAGTAGACTTAAAAGTACGCTGGCACACACACACACACACACAGGTGCATACCCACACACACACACACACACACACCTACACACCCACACCACACACCCACACATACACACCCACATGCACACACCTGTGCAACGATTCCACAGTAGGGCCACTCGTGCATGTGCATGTACATTGGAGAGGCGTAACATCATGAGAGATGACACGAGACCATAGCACCCGAAACCATGTCTGTTTCGACCCCGGATTTGAAAGCTCTACGTAATCCGTGGTCTGTGCAACTCGCCATATCATGGTCGTGGCCGGTATTGACCTGCTGACCCAAAGCAGGGCCCTGACAAGCGATGCCACAAGATTTATATTACAGTCAAACCTGGTTTAAGCAACCACCCCACGGTGCAAGCAAAAGCGGTCGTTAGAACCAGGTGGTCTTTAGAACCAGGTGGTCTTTAGAACCAGGTCCCACACAGTGTCTGTGTAGAACTGTCGGTGCATGGAAAAACGATCGTTAATAGCAGGTGGTCGCTAAACACAGAGGTCGCTAAACACAGAGGTCGCTAAACACAGAGGTCGCTAAACACAGAGGTCGCTTACACCCGGTTTTACTGTATGGGAGGGTGGATAAATCGTCACTGCTGCGATAGCGATCAGAACAAACACAATGGGAGCGAAGTCCACATTGTTTCACATTTCAGTCGCCCACGTCGTCTCCCTATACTAGTAGGTGCTCCGACACCGTACATTATTTCATGTACAGTTAAAAAAAACTGTACATGCATACGTACTCGAGCGGTTCCTCGGATTGTGAATAATACGTCGCCGTACAGATAGGCCCGGCGCAACTGGTCCGGTTGGTTAGGTCATGCAAGGTTGGACAAACTTTCGGTGGACAACGCCGGTTTAGTGCTGAGCATGAGGTGGTCACGTGTATGCGCTATATATTACACAACTGTGAAAGGCTTAGCCGCTATGCTATGTTCACGTGACCATCGTAATAAGGTTTTTACTTGGCTGAATTGCGAGGCTTATACTCCGGAAAATACGATACATGGGGTTTTTCGGAAATTTGAGCAGTTGGCTAACATGTACCTTCACGAACAGCTCATATTTCTGCGACATGGCCGCTGCAGTGGTGTTGATGCGACGGTGACTGGGAAAGGCAGCTGTGCTTGTCGATGACCAGGGCCTCGCGCAGCTTAGCCTACACAAGTCGGTTTTACTGGCGTCAGTAGCACAGCCAACCTGCTGCTTCGAGAAGGGCCTCTTCGACGTCAGGCAGAATCCAATGCTAGGTGAACGCGAAGGGAGAAGCAACGATCGAAGCATCAAAAGGACGGAGGATACTCCTAACTTATTCGACAATACTGTACACAGGAGTGAATGGTCTGACGAACTCAAAATTTCGAATCGAACCTTTTGCAAATCCTGAAAAAGAACAAGCGTCTGAACGCCATATTCTGTTGTCATGGCTTCAAATCGCAGGAAACACATAGATTTTGGTACAAATCTTCTTTAGCAAAGCTGATATCACTGGATTTAGAACTAAAAGACGAGCTTTTCGTTGAAACCATACGATTACATGCAGAAATTGTTCAACACGCTCATGATCTGGGAGAGGGTTACCGGTAGCAACGAACCAAGCCGGAGAGTTCCTTTTCTACGTTCGAGCTAGCTATCGATCTTTCACTCACGCTTGAGTTGAAAAGATGAAAAGAACATTGTTTTGATGTTTTGATTGAATGATAAGTGTATTTGTGATGGCGAATCAGTTCGTCCCTTTCTTCCAATAATGCCGAAGTCCAAAGGGAGCAGCCCAAAGGGCAAGAGGAAGCGGCAGGATGACGTGTCGAACGAGGCCGAGCCGGTGGAAAAACGAGTTTTCCCCGACCGACAATTGGTGAGTGTTAGTGTCGTTTGGAATGTGGAGAACTTATTTGCGCACGTGCATGTACAGCGGGTGACCTTGTGGACGGTCCTGTTGGGACAGCATGGAATTAGTTTGTATTACATGCTTAGCTTGATCTACACGTCAGTAGTCGCCCATCGCTCACCTGTTTTGCGAAATCGTTATTCGGAAAATATTTGAAATTGCAATGAAAGCATCAGCTACTGTGTTGTGCTTGCATCACCTGATTTGAACGAATAAGAAATAAGGAGTATCTGTAAACTACAAACCGCCCAGTATTCATGTCGTTAAATTTCGCGATTTCTCAGAACCAGCGAGTTAACGATGGCAAATGTTCGTGGATCGCTGTGGCCACACATATACACAACCACTGTTGAAGCTTGGTTTCACGCTGGTTAATTAATACTCGCGTTATGCTCTTCTCACGGGAATAGCAAACATCAACACGTCGTGAGCAGTATGCAGTCTGCACAATCCACAGCTACACGCGGAAGCATTGTGAAAATTGACACCGCTTTCACTCTTCTCTTCGCACGACCAGTCTGGCTGTTCCCAGATGGTATGCCACGTATAAAACTGATAGGTTTGAATTTTCTATTCATTTCTCATTGGGTTGAAAAGGTTGATTCGTGGCCTCAGGCATGTTTCATTGACGACTGTACACAGTGAGAGTTGGAAGGATTGATCTGTCATGTGCGTATTGGCACAGCACTTGACGAAAGACAGCCTTGTGTCAGTAACCACGACTACGGCTGCTCCGTCTTTCTATGCACCTGTCCCGTAATTGGTCGTTTCACTCGATTTTCCGAACTTTCTACGAGGGACCC